TTTTACCCCCCCCCCCCCCCACCCCAACCCTCTTTTCTATGCAATACTTAGGAGCTAAAAATTAAATATTTTATGCTAATTTTTCTTATGGATGAGCTATGGTGTCAGATACAGTTATTTGTAATATAATTTTTTTAATATTTTTACAAGTATATTGAATATTGAATCAATTTTATTTGATAGATACTTCAAAGCTTCGTTCTATTCCATATTGATTCTAAAGGACGAATTTTTGTTAACGTGTGTGTAAAACCGTTTTCTTAAGTATATTTCAAGGATGAAAAACCTTGTTTTTCCTTAAACATGTTAGTAGCCTCTAAAAAAATTATTCTCATTATACAAATATTGCGTAAAAGTCTCCAAACAAATTTTCTTAGCAAACTTAGCGTCCCTACAAAATATTCATTGTGATTATTCAAAGTATATGGTAAAGGTAAAGGGAATAAATTTTTAATCTACACGTTGAATAAGAATAAGCCGGATTGTGAAAAAGGTCGGTTCAAAGCAACGTTCGTCTAAATGGGCCTTAAGTCCTTGCTGTATTGTGCATTGCCCATTGTCGTGCATATAAATAAGGCCTGTTCATAATAAACCTTATTTCGTACATAGCTAGGACAGGTAGGTATAAGGTGAAGGTAGAGGATCCCCCAGTTTATTCGAGTAGTAGCCAGTGTGTCAATGAGACAGGAGACAGTGAAAAAATTTTCACGCTGCTACGTTTCACTGCGACGTGTAAGTGAAGAGAGTTAAAATCAAGGATACAGTATTCGTACGTGGGTTTGGTTAGAAAAAAATTTCTTAAAAACCTTGATATTCGCCTTTGGCGCTTCGTCAAAGCTCCGGATCATGATTTTGGCTTTGTCAGAATTCTGTGATTTTTCGATAAGTGATGGAGTTAGCCGAAAGACGGTATAAGGCACAAGAGAGGGGAAGGGACGAAGGGGCGACGGAGAGGGACGGGATATACTCGACGTACCGAAGAATGAAGATGAGGAATTGTGCTTGCTGTGTGAAGATCGCAGCTTGTCAGTCGACTCTCGACCGTCTTAGAGCGAAGACGTACACGAGCGTGTAATGAAGTAAAAATAAAATTGATAATAAAAAGAAAAACAATGAAAGGACCGATCGTAGGGAAAATAAATGTTTTTTACAAAAGTGCAATTTCTTTTTTCTATAATTTATAGTCGAATAAATTGAGATAATAAAAAAAGTGAAATTATCTGACACAAGTGTCACGTGGGTTATTTGAAAAAATAAGAATACTGTATTAGCTCCTCGCTGATTTTTCTGTGATAAAGATTGTATGGACGAGAAAAATATTGTTTACCAGGGTCTAAGAGTTGTTTTGAAAATTTATTTTAAATAAGGTTGATCTTTCTCACGATCCTGCACCATATAAAAAGTGTATCAATCCGTTGATCTTGAATGACTAAGGTATCATAGATTTCGTAATTGCCTGACGTCGACCTTACGCGATTTCCCACGATGCATCGGTACGCGTGAGCTAAGCAGGCGTCGTGCAAGTCGCCATGACCTTGTGAGCGTGTAAACAGGTAAACGCATAAACATTATTTGTGCTGGACTCTCCTACGTAAGCTGTTGGTAATACGCGGGATTTTGCTGCTGGGAATGTCATATTTAAATTTTCGTAATGCCTGGAAGTAACTGCCAGACAGTTTGGCGCGCGATTCAAAGTTGAAGAGAAATTTGCAGAGCTGTTTATACCTTTATTTCTGGAGAGTAATCATGCCAGATCAAAGGAGTGCTTAACGTTAATTAAGCGTGCTGAGAAAAAGGGGACTGCGAAGATTTGGAGAGAAAAAAAAGAAGAAGAATGGCGTCCATATGCGGCAGCAGCAAGAGTCATCCTGGGTTGACGACAAGCAGTTTCTACAGGCCTGGCGCTTATCCTTATCAGGTAAGAAGCTTTATCTGCAAAATTTTTTTGCCAAAATTACGTGAAGTTTAAAACAAATATTATTACATCTAAACAACGTAATTAATATTAAAGGACGCTCCACTCGTCATATACGATAAATGTATAGAACTGTTATTTTCTAATTTCATTCTCTCTTGCAGTAATAAAATAATTTCAAGGCTCGTTTGTCGCTCGAGCGATTCAAATAATCGATTGCGTCCGTTTCCATAAAGTTGGTAACGAATTCGCGACACTAATCGTTATTGCCGTAACCGGAAGGCATCCTTCTCTTTCTTTGTTCTTACATGTCGTACAAAATTGTATATCTGTACTTGAACAGATCGCAAAAGAAAATCTTGTTCTGCTCCCTGGAAGAAGATCATTTAAAATTAATCGTCAGCCATCTGTCGATAGCACGTGTAATTAAAGCAAATTACCATTGTCCTGAAATTACATTAAGGGGGCCGCACACGTTGCTTAGTAGAAACGAGACCCTGGCCTTGTCTCCCAATAAAAGCTGTATTACATAAGTTGAATGTAAACCTGCCCATTCCTACGCGAAGATGATATTCTCCAATCTTTCTTCCTTCTTCAACCTTCTTCATGATTCTTCGACCTTCATTTTTTATCGTTCAGCCACCTCTGATCACGTGGCGGACATAGTGTGCGGGCCGATGATCTTTTTCTAACCTCGATTTAATGACCCACAGTATATTGTATATATAGAACTGTACTCTATATGGTACCGCGTATATTGTACGATGTGTATAATTGTGATATTAGGTTTTTTGTATGAAAATCGATTAAGCGTGGTCGAAAATATAAGACTAACAAAAAGAAGGGTTGATGTATTGAAATTATTTAAAATCGATCTGCTGCAAATAGCTATAAGAAATTGTTAATATTCATAGCTCTGACTTTAGAGCAACGGCTGATGTCGTTTTGAATTTTTCTTTAAAAAATCTCAATTTCTTTGGAATGGAATTCCTTTTTTTTTTGGGTCCTTCAGATAAAACCCTAGTCTCACTTAACTTACCTGACAAGGGTTTTTGATACTGTATGAACAAGGACTCCTTTATGACCAGGCTGAGAGTCAATATTGACTGGCAGTCGAGTATATTATCTTTCTTCTTTTTACCGTTTTTTTTAACTATTCGGTAAAAATACGAAGAAACAAACTTCTTGTTCAATATGAATTTGGAAAAGAGAAAAAATGTTCAACATGACGCGAGAGCTCGTATTATAAAACAATTTACACGTAATTTTTGAGTAGAGTCTGACTTAAAAATTTTGTTATTAAAAACGTAAGACATAGTGCTAATGTTTTAGCACAATTATGTAGATCAGCAAGAAATTTTATGAACAACTTAGCACCTATACGTGTTCTACTAGAGTATGAAAAAAAAAAATCAACACTAAAAAATGATAAGAAATTATTGATATATAGAGTTATTCAGTAGAAACGCACCACCTGAACATGGTTCTGCCATAAACATCAAATGAACTAATATAAGAACTTCAGGTGGTGCGTTTCTACTGAATAACCCTGTATTATAATAAATCAGTGTAAAAAGATATAACAAAAACATAATAAAGTTACATTATGGTAGCTGCAGAAAATATTAATTGGATGTAGAACACGCGAAAGAGCACGAATCACAATTAGCAACACACGAATTTGACCGTCGATCCAATTCAAATGAAAGAACCATGAAATATAAAGCGTATAAATACATACGAATCGAAGATCACGAACTACCTAAGAATGAAGCATTTTTCACTTCTTACTTATCTACTACAGAAGTTATCAAATTCTAAGGTATTTCAAGTAATCGACACTACTCGAATCTAGAGGTTTCTTTTTCCATATATTTTTTGGTTATCCACGCCTTTCAATGGCGAGACACCTTTCCACGTTTTCAGTCGAGTTCACGAAGCTTTCCGGCGCGGTGCCGAGGATATCCGATAATACCCGATTACACCGAATAATCTGAGGTGGCACTGACCTAGCAATGGCGTATGCTTAGAATTATATGAGCCGGGCAGGACCGTTGGTTCCACGACAGGACCGAGACTCCGCGTGTGGTACTGTTATTCCACTGGCATACTTTGGCCGGAATACGAAATAACATTATAACGTATATGAAAATGCACCAGGAATACCAACCTTGAGACCAGAGCTGGCCGTTACGTCGTGACGCCGTTATATTTACATCTCTGCGGACATACGACAAAATTCGTAACGCCGACTGCATGATAAATGAAGTAACAAAAAAAATATTTTATACACAAAAACAAAGTACTATAACAAAACAACAATAACTATCATACATACCGTAAGAGCTTTCAATAATCAAGTCTAACTTCCGGTAAGAATTTTAATTATTTATTCCAAAACGGTTATTCTTGTTCAATGATTAAAACAGTTAATGACTGTATTAATCATGGCTGATGCTGATTACGTGATTTAATCTTACGATTAAACGGCACCCCGAGTGCTTATAATCAAAAGGACTGGCACGTGACGAATGAACCGGAAGTGTTGCAGGTTTTCCGGAAGTCGCAAAATTTTAGAACGAAATTACGAGATCAAATAAAAAATATATATAATCCTAAATAGATATACACAAGAATATGGATATCGCGTTAATTTATATAAGCGTAAACGAAGCGTGTCGCAGTCGGTACGCATAAAACTACTGTGCGTGCGTGAAGATGTAAATAATGCATATATATCCATACACGAATAAAAGTCTACGTACACGTATCTATATCAGTGTCGTCGTAGATTCCCTGACTGGTAAAGCGTGCAGTGTGGGAACCCAGTTCTTGCTGCAGGATGTATGGGATGCACTTTGTAATACCCAGCTATAAGATCCATCTGAAAAAAAAAAATGAAAGAGGAATTCATCTTGGAGTTAAAAAATAATATAATCCATTATAAAAACAGAGCGACTGACGTCACGTAAAATAATAAATATATAGTATGACTTTTGATAACAATCGTGGTGCAGACTTCTCACGATATTATATACTGAACTCGTTGAATTTTTTATAATTTTTTTTCCTTCTATTCGCCATACAAAAAATGGCACGTGCGAACTCGATGTATGACAAAGCGTAACGCACGTGCGTAATACCAGCACCTTAATACTAACGTACGTACATACGTGTGATGCTTCGGGCACGAAACACTGTACGGGTTCATGTTCGATGGATAATAATAATAATAATTGGAGTTCCTTCGCTTAATGAGACTAGAGGGCGTCGGGCGTCCAGAATAAACACAGTCGATGCTCTTCTTCCTTTTTCTGTAACAGTGGCCACTACAATACCTGACAGTTAGGTTCAACGGACCCGGAATATGCCTGTAGTGTATTATAGTGTTGGGGGTATAGTATATAGTTAACTGGTAGACCTACTGTATTGTACTATACTTGCATAAAGTGTATACCTGCATATATTTATGTATATAAACTTTATGTATATAAAACGATATACATGGATTCTACTATGTAGCTATTTAGCGTGGAATCTCTTAACCATCTTGTATAGATTTTCAAATCATATGTTTAGGTATAAAGAAGATCGAATATGGTTATGTATACCTAGACAGGAGATCAGGTTATGGATACCATTGTACCCAAGCTGAACTTCAACTATTGTGAAGTCCGCATTGCGAACGTCACGAACAGTCCGAATGGTGAGTCCGAGCTGTCTGAAGTTGCTAGGGGTCGATTTTGTTGAGTTTTATTTTTCTTATTCCGAGGATACAATAGTCGGGATACACCTGCAGCGGTGGGATCATTGATCTTTGTGATTCTTTATTATTCAAGGTGGCTTCATTGTGCAATTTATCGTTTAGGCGAACGTGTGATTGATGAATTGAAAGATTTTATTGATGGAAAAACGTGAATCGTAGAGGACGAACGAGGAATATTATTGTGATGACGTAAATAGTTTTTGGAAGTCGGAGTATGAATTTTTGAAAAAGTGGGAGATGCGCAGTTAGAAAAAAATTATACGCCGCCATTGAACATCGCGAAGTAAATGTACTTGGCAGAGAGGAGCCTACGTCATCCTTAAGAAGGGGTCAGCGGCAGCTGAGCTTCCGGTCGGGAAGCAGCCGGAAACTGACTTGACGCAAACTATTATCCGCTAGACAATAAAACGTGCTACTTTAAGTCCTCGAAGATGACGCTACTGGTTACTCTTGTCTTGGGCGGCAGACTCGACATTAAATGGAGTTATAATGGTGCTTAGGCACGTAACCTTACCAGATACCGATCTCAGTTGCGTAGAATGTAATTATTATAACTGTAGTGGCAATTTTTTATTCAAGAATTTTCATCATTTTCAATTTTCATTTTTGACATTGTACGCATAATTTTTTTGAAGCAAATACTTCATTGATTGTTCATTAAATTTTATACACCGGAAATAAGGTATCCGGCTATGACGTAAAAGATGATCGATACGTGACCATATATATTTACGTTGCAAAAATCAAACAATGCAAATCGTACGTAGAGCTTTGATCATAATTATAATTGGTCGATTGGTGCTCGTAATGTGTAATATTGTTCATATGCACATATATTATCAATGCAAATCGACTATAGCGAATCGTTATATGAATTTTTAATATACTATTGTCAGTATTATTTCTCATGTACTTTACATGCGACTTGTGATTTGATTTATAATCGTGCACCTTTAACGTATCGTCTAATTGTATTACACGGTTGAAAAATTATTCAACAAGTTGTAGGTTACGTTAACGAGAATGTAATTGCGCGTTGTTTTTTTTTCTTTTCTTTTTTAATAAATGCACGCAGGGGGACACGTTGATGAAAATGAAACAATGGCAAGAAACTAATTGTATGAACTCGTAAACTGAATAACTACGTTAATGGCTGTATACAAGTGGCGACTGTTAATTCGAAATGACTGATTGCGAGTGCAATCTAATTGCAAGGTACTAAATACAGGCAATGAAGAAGGTCGTGGCTTTGTATTAACATGATAAATAAGTATCAGGCTTGACCTCACTGTTGAATTATCCATTAACGAAAGAAACGATCGACTTGTCCTATTTTCATTGTTTAAAGACGCACAAAAACTTATCGTTCTTACTCAACGTATCATCTGCTGCTTATCTTGATGTTGGCAAAGGGTCAGTTAAAATTACAGCAATTAAATTTCAAAAAATGATGTGTACATTAAAATTAAAGTTTCGAGACTAAAAAAATGTCTATTTATCTCATCCTCTCATATGTGGAAATTGTAGGAATATATTGAATACGTATGGTATCATATGTGTACTCACGTATTGTATATGTTGACTCATACGCGATCAGAGTCTCATTACTTTGTGTGGTACATGTGAGTCGGTGGATGTTACGGCCTTGAAAGATCTTTGCACTCTGGTCGCATCTTCGCGTTTCTTGGCATTGCCGAAGGCCATACACAGCCTCCCAGGTCATGGTCCAGGTATTCCTTCGACTTCTTCTTCATCCACTTCGTATGGGGCCTATAATAACGTATGGCTTGGTCTACGCCTACGCTTACACCTGTTACGCTACTAGTGCCACATGCCGTAAGGTTAGTTCAGAAGACGAAACTTTTGAATGAAAATGAGGATCGATCATGGCCAATTGAATGGGAATAATTTGTATTTAATATAAATTTTCATATAATCGATACTCGACGATAAATCGCTATGAGACATTTATATCTTCCTAATTCTATATTAATTGTATATTTTTATTGATCGTATAATTTTTTATTCAGTGAAACATACAGTTTAGAACTTTTGTACTTGCCTGTACTTACATGAAATCGATAATAAATCGAAGCTATTGATTTTTAAATATTCGCAGAAGAAACGACGAGATTTTTCAAGGTCGATTTTTGATCGAGGCTGAATCTGAAAAAGTGCCGAGACTCATCGGTAACGTGATGGATCTTCCTTTCGTAATAAGCTATAAATTATTTAGAAATAAAAGAGGTCAGCTCAGGTTGAGGTTAAAGTTGGAGTTAAGGTCGAATTGGTCTTTGGTCAAGTTAATGTAAAATTAGTTATATCCACACGTGAGATCATACAGTGAATTCCGTTTCAGATTCAATATATTATTTAATTATGTAGATGGCGCGCGCACTCGTACATAACCTATAAATAAGTTGGAGTGAGAAAAGTCAGATTAGGGTAGTTCATATTTATGATAATTTTTCACCGTCTAGCTGTTACCACGCTTTATAAGTCGCATAGTTAGACATGCTTGGTATGGTGCTTTAAGTGGCGAGGTGCCTGTAAGCGAGCTTTTGTAGGAAGAACAAAAAATGAACCGGCCGAGAAAACACGAAGAAGAACGAACGGACGCCGAAGATGAGAACGCGGCAGAAGAAAAGCAAAAGAATTAAAAGAAAGACGAAAAAGGAAATTCTCGCTCCGATTCCAGTTTGCGAAAAAGAACCTGCTTCGCGTCGATGTAGAAATAGCACAGGATATACGCGCATGCGCGCCGCTATCGAATCAAGCGTAATTATTTTCCGTCTTGACGATACCCGCAATCGGCTATAATCGGAGGACACGAGTGACCACGAAATCAGCCGAAGTACATATATCTATATATGTTTTAAATAATAAAAAATTATTGTACCTTGTGAAAAAACAATACAACTCCGCAATCTCATTGTTAACTGCAATTACGTCACTTTTCATTTCTTCGTATCATTTACTATGGGTGCAAGTGGAATGATCCTCTAATGGTATGTCAATGACAGTTTCCGTTCCAAGGCGTTCAGGGACGTACGCTGAGCTGTCAATGGTGGTCATATGGTAACAGGTGTGCATGTATCTAATATCAATACCACGTCTGGAATCATAAAGCACGTTGACTACTAAGTAAATCAGTTGACGTCCTTCGACGTTAAATAACGTCGGATCGATCTGATTCAGAGATCTAACGCGTCGGAGAATAGCGAGAATGTGCGTGGGAACGATGAATGTACGTTTTAATTCGTATTAAAAAATTCCGAAAAACAGTCGATCTATAAATAATCGATTATACAAGGAAAAAGAAACATCCTATGCATATATATTTATTAAATTTACCCGTATGGAATATTTGATATCGGCAGATGACCAACAAAGAACCTGGAAGTTACTGACGAACCTTTCAATATTCCATGGATGATACAGGAAGAGATAGAATCAAGTGAACTCGTCGATATCTCAGTCGTGGCTTGGGCGGCAAATTCAAAAAACGACCCTGAATCCTAATGAACCTTTCACGTTATAGTCAAAGGATAGTGTATTCGACTAACGAGTCGTACAATGACTTTCTAATCTTCAAATAAGATGATCGATCAAATATCATCAGTAACCTTCGATCTGTCCTTCCGTTTTACTCTTGTATAATAATTACAGTGAATCCTCAATCCTTTGCGAGTAATTCCTCATCCTATTGCTTCCTGCATTACTTAACTTTCGATTATTATTATTATGCTCGGTATATGTATGCATTTTTATATATGTATCATTTTTTTAGACTGTCACTATAAAATCCGTATACACGATAATGGATATTGTATACTTTCGTACAATTTGACTTTAACGGTACTAGCATACTTTTTAACAACCTTGTATCTGTACGACACTATAAACGTCTCGCACTACATAGTTTAATAACAAGCTCGATTACGGGTAGTAATAAAAATTGTATACAACAAAGAACAACTCGGTCTTTGCACTCCACGTTTTCTGCTTATGCTTTTCAATTTTATTTTCACTCTCAGACCAACCACCATTACGCTTCATTATTCGCCCGTAAACGCCAGACTCATATTCTGAATTAGACCCTTTGACAAGGGCCGAAAGAATTGCATTAATATTCTATATACAGCACGCAGACAATTTTGTTTCGTGTTACTTTTTTGGACTATCAGGAAAAAGAATTTTTAATTATCCGAATAAATTTTTCAATATTCATTATCAATTCTTGCATGGAAACTAGTCTTACAGGTTTACAGTTACTGTTATAAAATTAGCAACCGTTGCTCATGTACGCGAATGCCAACTACAGTCCGTGATGATCACCTACGAGCGTATCTATAAACTATGATACCCATATAGCACAGAGGATTCTACAGCCTATAGGTGTATATGGTACATGTACCTACTGTAAAAGTCCATATCACAGCATCTTGCCGGCATGATGCAGATTCTTCCTAGTCCCTGCCTATTGGCCGAGCGTGAATAATTTTCTAACGGCAAATCCTCCCTGTGTATACAACCAACAGTCGTGGAGTCAAAATTTCTCACGAGTACAGCTGTAATCCGTAGATCACGTATTGGGAGTAATAAAATCGTAATAAAATTTTTTTTCTTTCATATATATGAAAGAAATAAAAAAGAATGAATTTTGGAACGTATATTTTTAATTGATTATTTCGTATGGTAAATTATATTTTAAAAATTTACCAATTTTACGGAATATATTTTGACTTTGTGTCACGGAAAGTTCCAGTAGCGGCACAGTTTTGCATGATATTTATACGTGGTCTTCTTGTTTGGTATGTTTTGCACAGAGGTACAACTAAACGGTATTTACTGTTTTGAATTTCGTGCGAGAGGATCCGACTTTGTATTCGACGGATGATATTTTTGAGAACGCTTCATTTTCTTTATGTTTTTCTTCGTTTTGTTATTCTTACGCTTTTTTATGTTGGCTACAATAAATTGACTGATTTTACATACCAAAGAACAGAATTGCTATGTAATCGGTTCGCATTCGGATTTCCCGTTTCGCGACATCGTTTCGCAAATTGCTAAACTCACTCATCGCGTATACACTTGAGACGTACGTGGAGAAAAGGAGGGTCGGACTATTGTAGTTAGGAGTCACAGAAATCTGTATGTGCAATGCCGAAAGCTCATAGTATTTTAAAACCAGTTTGGATTTTTAGCTCTGCTTCTAATTCTCGTATCATCGTTATGATACCGCATTTTAATTATTATTTTGCTTTCAATACTTATTCACGTATTAATAGCATATTTTAAAGGGAGATAGTATATTCATAGGTAATCCTGCTGGCTTCGTTTTTTTCAGTGTACACGTCGCTCGTGCATGGACGCAGGTGGGATTTGATTTTGATTTTGATTTGATTTTGATTTGATAAAACAATATTATTTTATATAATACATTTTTGGGCGATATTGATAATTGGGTGTAGCTATGATGAAAAATATTTTCAAATTGACATTCACGATCATTTTGAACGGGAAAAATTTTTTTGAATATTAACATTGTGCTATGTAAATTTGGTTTATTATTTTAATGGCAGTTCATAATATGCAATGAGGTACAATAATGATAATAAAAATTATTTTGATTACAGAGCGAATATTATCTTCCGCCAAGATCAGCATGGTCAAGGGTGCCACCGCCGAAAACGAATAAGGCTAATTCAAAATGGAAAATTGGCAGTGCTATGTTAATAATATCTGCTATGCTTGTTCTGGTCGCTGTTCTTGCTATAGCGGGATTAGCATTATGGATGGGAGGTAGGTTAACTGTTGACTGTGAATTATGGGAAATTATGCGTTTGATATGCTATCAGTCTTGTATAATAGACCGTTTGGATTTTATGTGTGATCGGTAGGTCAATTTGAATTTATTGACTTTTTCGTAATTTGATTAGAAAATATTAATTCTTATAATGGTAATTCTAGAGATCCAATGTCTACTTGTGATTGTCAATAAGTCTGTAAACCGTTGATATAATGACTGTCATTATGTTGTTTGTATGATTTACGAGTCTGTCTATTTACATTTCAGCTCTGCGTACGGATTCGAAAGATGGTGAGTAGCACTTGACGGTTAGATGACTGGCTGAATCTAAGAAATATATTATTATGACAGATCACAATTGACCTGATGTTAAAAACGATATTGAACACTGTCATTATTTTTTTAGCCGTCATTGGCTTCACTTGCAGCTTCAGAATAGTAAGGGGGGAACGTTACAATCCAATGTTGAAGCTGAACACGAGTATGGTGTTTCGTGAAAAAGAAAGAAAATACAAAAATATTGTAAGTCGACAAAATTGACAGCGATATTTATTTCTGTAGTAAAAAAAAATTGCTTATATCTTTTTTTTGTCTAGTGGGACAGTAATGCATAAATTTTATATTTTTAGTTCGAACTTCTATTTCGAAGAAGTATCATTGGCGCGTCGTACAAACAGACGGTAATTGACAAATTTGAAAATGGTACCTTGAAAGTCTTCTTCAGACTGTACTTGGACCGAAGGAAGATACCACGATCAATTACGAATGTCGAAGACGTCATTGAAGACATAATCGTCAAGGAGACGTACTCCACTACGTCGTTATTCAAAACTATGGAGCTGGATCTGAATTCGATATCTATAAAAAGTGAGTGAAAAAAAATTAATAGTCAATTAAAAGTATTATATAACTGGTGGTAAAGTTGTGAAATTATATTTTTTATGGTTTATCGAATATTTTGAAATACATTATTTTATTGTTTTTACTGAAGGAATTAATCCGGATGCTGAAAATAGTCAGAAGGTCGGACAGCAGAGAAATACGATGATTACAAAAAATGGACTCTTACGAACGAATAGAAACAATTCTCTGGTAACAAGTTCAAAGCCAAAAATGAAGCCTGTTAAGATGGAGCCAAACGAAGCGGAAATAGATTTCACAAATATTCCGACCATTCAAGGGACTTATATGGCTACGAAAATTAACGAAACTGTTACCAAGGAGCCGAAGATTGCCGAAACTAGCCGAACAACAATTACAAGTACTTCGACGGTCGCCATAACGGAATTGCCGGTAATTGACACTACGGTACCGTATTTTTCGAAAACTAGTGAAAAATTGGCAGTCACCAAATCCAATTATCGTACAAGTACTGTTTTGGGCGAAACTACGACTGAAAAAATTGTTGACGATTTATTTAAGGACTTCGTAAATCCAGATTTTGAAACTTCACCATGGCGTCCAATTATACCGGGATACATTAATACCGGATCAAAATTACACCCGGAAAGAACAAAACCATCTTCTCAATTGGATTCCATAATTTCTGATGTACCAATTATCGAATCGGATTCCGTTAAAAAAGATGGGAAAGTATCTTCGTCAAAAATTCCGGATGACACGAAAAAAGTGGATGAAAAAATTGAAGAAAAGGTTACCGTCAAAAGTACAGTCACTACCAACATTCCTGAATTCCACGATTTCGCTATTGCTCTACCCGATTCCGGTATAGTCAGCGTCGAAGATACGGATTTCCCACAGGACAGAATCGTGCCTCAAGAGATGGTGAACTTCCGGGTGAACAGTAAATTCAAGAATAAGATACCGGAAGTTGAAGAACAGGTGACGAATTTTAATCGGCAAGAAACCGACAACATCAAGCATAACGTAGACTTAGAAGTTGCCGGACAAATTCCACAGGAAACGTATAACGTCCACTTGAGCACGATTTCCGGTTTTGGAAAGATCGATAGCAGTTTACTAGAATCCAAAATAAACGACAAGAAAATTACGTCCACATTTACCACAAAGACAGTTCCACGATTTACAGAGAGACCTGAAGTACAGAATTTTGAGATAAAGCAAAAAAACGGTACTCCAGAATTTCCAACGATCTTCTCCTTACCCACACTGGCGATCACAACGCCATCTGCTACTATTAAACCAATATTTCCAAATTACAAAGAATCTTCATCTACCGTTCCCCCAAATTTAAAAATTTCCGGTGTGGGCATAGCCGAGCCAATTCTTGACACTGAAATTGAACTCGAGGGCCGAAATCGGTTTTCTGAAACCGAAGCGATCATCGAATCGGCCGATGGCATGCAGGATCGAAAGGTTGATCAGTTTCAACCAATTTACACGAGTTACAGAACACCAGATTTAAACGGCGCTGCCAAGCCTAGCCTTCTCGAAAATCCAGGAACGTTAAAACCTTTTAGACACACTATACCATTTGATAAAATTGCATCAGCTATTGATAACGAAGATGATAATTTCGAGCCTGCAATCGTGCTTCAGCCTTTCAGCAATACTAATACAACGCAAAAAGCAATAATAGATACTGAAAAAAGCAAAAGAGATAACGAAAAACCGAAAAATGATAAAGACCCCAAAATTGAAATTCCGAAAACAAAAATAACTTCAAGTTCCGATAATCTTAAAGAAAAACTTAATCTTATCCAATCGAACATCACTGAAGAATTTACGACGTTAGAATCGGAAAAAACAGAAAATACGAAAAAAATAGAAAATTTGGTAAATACTTCGACACCGTCATACAAGAAGGTACAGATAGAGCTGAAGTACCATGAACCGATAACAGCAGACTCTGGTGAAAGCACAGAAAGCCTTATCAGAAACCCAGAAACGCCACTGAAAAGTGCTAAGATAGAATTATCAGAACAGCACAAGCCAATCACGAATAAGCATACCGCCGTGATAGATGACGAAAAGATGTTAAAATTAACGACAACAGAATTGTACTCGGAGATACTTCATCCGCATCAAAACAATATTGAAAAATTGACAGCTACCGAGCCAAGTATTGATTCTCAACCAGCGAAACTGACTGCGACGTCATTGAGAAATTTGACTTTTGTTGAAATCGATACAGTCAAACATACACCAGGCGAAGTAAAGGAATCTGTTTATGAGTTACCGGAAGTCAATGGTACTAGTTCAGTTTCGGCCAATGAAACTTCAAAGAAGATTTACAACGACACTCTCAAGGCTAATGTTGTCCAGGATCTGGTGACGTTGGCACCCGCCAAAAGTAACACTGGAGTAGGTAGACCCGTAAGACCAAGACCGAAACCTGATGAACTGAAGAATTTGAGGAAAAATATAAAGAATAATAATACCGTGCATCATCAGAGTTCATCAATGAAAAATACTGATAGCGTCCTACTTGAACAGCTTTTCTCTCTTCAGAACGACAGAAAGGATCCAGTGAGGCGTGACTCTGCCGATCAAGAAAAAGAATTATTGAAGGAACAAATTCCAGTATCGGATTTTGAACAAATAGTCGAGGTTGTCACGTCTATAAGTACTAAAATTTCATCGAATGTCAATGACAAAGTTCTTATGAAGTTGGTCGTTAGTAACACAACCTCTATACCAGTTATTAATACTGTGTCGCATTCGAATGTTAATAAGTTTGAATTTCCCGCCGTAAATCGAGGATCAGAAATTAATCATGGTTTCGATGAAATTGATGATTTATCTCGGGAGGAGGGTGTTACCGCTGTCGATAAAGAAGAAATAATTGACAGCGAAGTGGAGGAAATTGTCAATACGACAAAACACATTGTTTGGACCGAACAAAAAGCTCCACTTATATCGGCTGACCTTAGAAAGACAACACAGACGTCAGATAGAAAAATTTCAAATTCGGAACGAGATCAGATGCTTTTGGAAAAATTGAAAGAATTCGCGGAAGTCAGAACAGATGATGATATAGGTATGGTAAATACGAAAAATAAAAATGGCAACAATGGCATCCATTTTCAAAATATATCTGACACTCAGATTCGTAATCAAAGTACAGACTCGTATCAGACTTTACCGAATTTTGAGGATTTGAAAAAAATTGCTGATATTTCGACTGGAAATGAAACAGCTCTTAAAAATACTACTTCGAATTTTACGTTCAGTCGTGACGGTGTTCAAATTTTTACAAAAGTCTTCAACAAAGCAGACGAACGGGTTGATAAGATGATATCAACTACCGAAGAAAATAGGTTGAAGAATAGCCGTAAGTTGAAATTTCGTAATGATAATATTTTTCAATATTCCAATTGAAAATTAATTTTAGATTTTTTCAACTTCGTTCGATTTATATAATTTTCATTATTTTTAGAAAAATGCATCGGTTTTCAATGCAACGACGGTCTGTGTTTACCGTCAGGTGCACGATGCAATATGCTCCGAGAATGTCAAAATTCGGAAGACGAGCTCAATTGCAGTTGTGCAGATTTCTTAAAAGCCCAACTGCTTAATCACAAAATATGTGACGGAATTGCCGATTGTTGGGATTACTCTGACGAGACTGACTGCGGTAAATATATCACTCGTTATATAATAAAAAAGAATAAAATCCTTTTGGACAAAGAAAATAATACAAATTATTATTTAAAAAAATACTATATTTCTAATATACAACCAAAATAATAAAACATTTTGTTCTCAGATTGGTGTCAACATGGGCATTTTGTTTGTGGCAATAGCAGATCGTGCATCGAGCACAGCAAAGTTTGTGATGGATTCCGTGACTGTCCTGGTGGTGAAGATGAAAAAAAATGTGCAGCCTTAATAGAAGATAACGAGCAACAATCCTATGAAGGCTACAATCCTAGTCTCAAAAAAAACAATACAGATTTATTGTCAAAAGAAATGCTTAACGATGAAGAAATAGCAGTTAAAGAACCAAACCCAAATTCTGATATAGATCAGATTGAAGTTGATCAAGAAGCAGTTGAGTCATCAATTTTGGAAACGACGACATTTCGAATAATTGTAAATGACGGTACTGGGGATCACGTATCGGCAGAAATTTCCGACCAAAAAACGGAAGCTGATCGATCAAGACCAAAGGAGTTGGCTGCTTATACCCAAATGAAAACTAAAAATAATCCTGAAATGGCGCTCGTCTCCGGTCGAGAAATTTCATCTGGTTCAAAGGATAACGTGGTCCATGAGAATGCATATATCGCAGGGACTGATCTTAATATCCATTCTGCAAACCGGAAGGAAGTGAACAGTTATAGCGACCGAGGATTTTTGAGTGTTCGTAAAAATGGTCAATGGGGTAAACTTTGTTTAGGCGGTATGAATAATTTGCTTCAGGAACGTCAAGCAATCTGGACCATTGAAGATCTGGGACGTGCTGTATGCAAAGCCATTACTTACCAGTGCGTATTAAATTAATACAATGAAAAAATCAATTAACGTATTCAATTAAAAGAAATATGTGAAAATTGGGTATAAGCAATACATTATTTGAAAAAGAAAAATATGTTTCAGGGACTACGAGAGAGTCGAAAAAGTAACCGAAGAAAATCCGAAGCCAAATCGACTTTACTATAGTCTCTCTTACAGTGAAAAATTCACTGATAAAACCAGCTTAACATTTAAATCTTCAGATTGTCCTAGTGGCGAAGTCTTGCGAGTCAAGTGCAAGAATCTTGAGTGCGGAATTAGAACCCAAGTCCCGACTCAGGCCAGGTACAATAATAGTAGCATTCAATGGAAAAGCATAAACCTAGAATATAAATATTTTTTTCGAATAATTAATTTGAATTTTGTAAACCGCCGAAATGCAGTAGTATGAGTAAATTTAAAAAAAAAATATTTTTAAGATGGCCTTTTTCGCGACGTTCCAGGATTGTCGGTGGCGGAAGTTCGTCAGCTGGTAGTTGGCCTTGGCAGGTGGCACTTTACAAGGAAGGCGATTATCAGTGCGGAGGTGCATTAATTAATGATAAATGGATCGTATCAGCTGCTCATTGTTTCTATCAGTAAGTCGTTCCAATACCCAGAATCAATTACACCATCTTAACAACAACAAAAATATTAATTTTTCACGATTAGAAAAAATTGTGTAAAAAATAACAAAAATTTCAAATACATTAATTTTTTAGAAGATGTCAAAAAAAAAGTTTTACATAAAATAAGTTTATAAACAATAAATGACTGTTCAGAAATTGCATAAGAATTTTTACTCTAACAAACTATCATTGCAGTGCTCAAAGCGAATATTGGGTGGCGAGAATAGGCACAACGCGCAGAGGAAGTTTTCCAAGTCCGCACGAACAACTTATCAAATTGGACCACATTGCGCTTCATCCCGATTACGTAGATAACGGTTTCATAAATGATATTGCGTTACTGAGACTTGAAAAGTCTGCAGCGTTCGGCGATTACGTCAGGCCAATTTGCCTACCGGATGCGGAGCCGAAGAGCGGAACCACATGCACTGTGACAGGATGGGGTCAGCTTTTTGAAATAGGACGAATATTTCGTAAGCACAAAATTAATACTTAAACAATGAATACTTAATCAAAATAACTATTAATTAATCATAATCATATAATTAAATTTTTTCCTTACAGCTGATACACTGCAAGAAGTAGAACTTCCTGTTATTTCGACGGAAGATTGTCGCAGAAAAACACTTTTTTTGCCTCTCTACAAGATCACATCCGGTATGCTCTGTGCAGGTTTAAAAGATGGCGGAAGGGACGCCTGTCTAGGTGATAGCGGTGGTCCGCTTGTCTGTGCAGAATCTGACAATAAATATACACTTCAAGGTGAGCTTTTACGAAATGACTTACTATAACGATTGACTGTAAAGATTTAAATCAACATAGCGTGTTAAAAAAATTAACAAATTTGTTCAAAAAAAAAGGTATCACGTCAAACGGTTATGGCTGTGCAAGACCAGGAAGACCAGGTGTTTACACAAAAGTACATCATTATCTACCATGGATCGAACGTATCATATCAAAAAATGATATTCAAAGTTCAGTATCGTCTTGCAAGGGACACCGTTGTCCTTTGGGCGAGTGTTTACCAAAATCCCGTATATGCAACGGATTTTTGGAATGTTCGGACGGAAGTGACGAAAGTGGATGCATTGGAAGTTAGATTATGTAAAGAGAATTTCAAAAATTGCTGTAGGAAGTGGCTCTTAAAAAAAATTCTATATGACTAACGTCTAGAAAAGTATTACCTTAGACGTTTAAAAAAACAAAGAAAATAAAAAAATATTTATAAAAAAAAGTAGTGGTAGACAAGTGTACAGACATTTTTATAGCAGCGTTCGTCTCGGATAAAGATTTTTAAAAAATAATTTACTATAAAAAGGTCAGTGGTGCTCAAACGCTGTTTAACTATAGTATTAATAATCAGTGATGTACTCTACAACGAATTAACTTTAAAGTCCGCTGGATGTAAATTTGATTTTATCGAATGCCAACAATTCGATTAAATTCAAGTTGAGATAATGGAGAAAAAAATGCGAAACTATGTAGGAAAGACTGTGGTAACAGAGGATCGAAGTAACAATTAGCACTATAATTAAGGCGGGAGAATTTAAATTTTTTAAAACCGCCCTGACGCTCATGCATTTATCATTATGAATTCGATCGTCGTTTACGTTATCGTTAAATTATAAAAGTAACTACTTCGTTATGTTAATTGTAGTAGAAATGAATTGTAAGATTTCTTTTTACAAAATGTAGTACCTAAGTGAATTCTTTGGCTTAAGTTATGCATGAATAATCAATTTCCTTGTGATATATTATAGATTCGTGTGGATCTAACAATTCTGACATTTCCATCCGAACGGGTTGATAATAATACGGAAGATTGTAGAATTGTTGGACGAAAGAAATGAAACCTGGCATTTTGGTTTTTAGTTTGGGAAAAAAGAAGTGATAATCGGGAAAAAAGAAAACCTTAAGGCCATGTAACACACGAAATCACTTTTAAGGCTCTCTACGTCTTTTTTCGATTATATCTTCATACGGCTATTTGTATATATATATTATATGTAATAGTAATACTAATACGTAAATAAATAAAGTCTTTTTACGTAAAACACCTTTCCTTGACTACCATCGGAAGAATATAACTGAAGTTAATTAAAAAAATAAGGGATCTCAAAGATCACAATTAAGGTATACAACTTTTTTTTATTAAGAGACTGAGTTACGTAGACACATCATCACTGAAAATAATTTTCATGTAGACTTTTCATTGTCACATGTGTATCGATTTTAATATAATGGCTATTTAGAGACTATCCTCTGGAGGCCATTGACCCCTGAGCAAAGAGTACGCGTAATCGAGAGCGCGTCGATGGAATTAATAGAGAAACAAATTATGGATAATACGTGTATATTCATTTTGAAAAAGAAAAACATTCTAAAAAATGACATTTCTACCAAACAGTATTCTCGAGCTTGTCAATAATCAGATCGGTCCTCCGTATGTTATTTTTAAATATTATTTCGTTCTGCCAAATTTCAGTGACGTCTGCGTCAATTTACAATCTTTGCTTTTTCTTACTCTTTCAAAATTTTGTTTTAGGTAACTTTGCTAGCTTACAACTAATGGTTAGCATATACTGAAGAATCAAACGAATCACATAATTAATGTCACGATTAGACGGCACACCTTTGGAATTGCGAGTTCAGGCGTCATATATTCATTCACTCTCATTAGATTAGTTTGTGATCAGTGATCAATGGTGAGACTTTCTTGAGGATGTCTGAAGTATTTGTGATAAAAATTAAACAATGAAGCTTCAATGCGAATTGAAGTTCCGGTATCGATTGAAGGTAGAATCGACTATTAGATCATGAATGAAGTATGATTAGGAAGCCCGAAAATGTAATAATACTTTTTTAGTGCAGTGAATCCTCAAAAATGACGTTTTATGAAAGTGAGAGAAAATCAATAAGTGTCATTCACATAATATTTGTTATAAATCTTCCAGTCGACATATCCGGTTTTTACAGAACGTCAACCGCCTGAATTTGCATGTTCACCACACCTACCAGAGAGTTAAATATAAATAATTATGGATTAAATGCTACGCTCGTAGAATCCGAAAATTAATACAAAACTCTTTCAGGAATATTTTCAATTTTCCTGCGTGTATGAAAATCCAGGACGACCGTGTGACTCGAAGAAAATGGAGACACACTGGGACCTGCTTTCAACATACAATCTCCCTTCCTACTTCCTGGCAGCTACTAGCGCAATCTGCGAATCTGTCAGAGCGAAGAGAACAGAAAACATGACAAACTGAAAGTGGCAAAAGGAAAAAGCAATTCCACGGCTTATAGTATACATAGAATCCGTTAGTGGCGCTTGGACAAAAGTTTCGTTCACGGTATAAAATCGTGTAAACGTATAAAAGTGGGTAGGTCAGCATGCGCGCGCACGTGAAACCCTTGTCCAAACGTTTCAATCATAGTCGCATACTAAAGAACACACAGAAACCCGACAATGAGGTCGAGTGAATATGTTAATTTTCGGTAATCCGTTAATAAAAGAAAAAGAAAAATCTATGCAGCAAATTTATAATGAATGAACGAGTCCGCGATCCACCCGCGCAAGGATCCTTGCAACTCGTAGTATAATAAACATATGGAGAGGATTGCGCATTTTCGAAAAACTATGGACGATTAAAAAATCTCTTTTTTTCGTTACGGAGCACGAGCTTAAAATTCCCGCTACATTTATAATTTTTCGTTTTGCGCGATATTATAGAAAAGATGATAATAAATAATAATAAATTGTTGATTTCCATTACGCAAGTAATATCGCTAGTAAGTCGTATATTACGGTTCGTTATCTATTTTTTTGTTGTTTTCTTTTTTAGGCTATAATTCGGTGCATTTCTCTTTTTCTGTCTTAGCCCAAGGAATCGACGGCGGTTGTGATCAAACCCTTGGGACTCACGAGCGTCTTGAATTGTTCCGGAAGTGGATACTCGGCCTAAGATAATAATGATTAGTAAATTTTTTGATTTTTTTGCATCGATTAACCATAAATAAATTTTTCTAAATTATCAGTAAAAATTATCATTTGTATACTAACGTAATCGCCGTTTCCCTTGGGGACCATCACGTTCATTTCACTTGATTTGCTGGTGATCAATTCCACGTCCAATGATTCCGGACTCAGATACATCTGGCAGCCGTCGCTTTTGTCAATGGAGATTGTTGGTACTTTTCCGAGGACCTGTACAAAGAGAATAAAGGATTGTTTCCTGTCAGTTTAAATCTGCATTATCTATGTAGATAAATCTTAAATACAAATTTGACAATTTATTATTTATTGCACGATTGTGATTTCCAAACGATTGAGGTAAAATAGTGATTTTTTCAATGAACAGCTGACAACTATTTTTTCTTTTTTTTCTGTCACAACCGATTTTAAAAGCGCTCACGCATCCCCGACAACATTAATTACGAATATAAATATAATTATCATCAAGATCGACATCGATAACAAGATAAAGAATCAATTTTGTCATAAATGCTGACGGTTTACTTCCGGTTCTCGCAATGTGTCACGGGGATGGGAAGATGCGCTGGCAAATCGGTGAGTTAACCTAAACGTAACGAATTTTCGTATAATTCAATAAATTTCACGAAATTTCAATTCCAAAGGCGGCAACGTAGAGCCTGTAAAAACGATTTGCGAATTGAACTGGCACGAATGCCCAGGGGCCATCTTCAATTACATCTGGTCAGAAATCGTAACTGACGTCGTCGAATGCTTGTCGAGCGAGACGATGCTCTGGAGGGTGAGAAATAAATTTTCGAAAAGAATAAAATTTGCGTCCCTATAATATTCGGTAATTTTTTTTTAAATTTCCAAAGATTCTGGCAACGTTCGTCGTGTGCACTCTAGTGGCGCATACAGTGTACTACAAAATAAGATGGATGGACGAGACAGCATTAAACCGCGAGAATTTAAACAGAGTGGGCTTCAAGGTTCAAGATCTTGAGTTAAAGGTGAATATTCTAACCTATAAAATGCAATACGGCGCATGGCCGCTGCCACGTGACTTTAATGGCACAGAATTCGAAGAGAATGAACTGCACAAGCTAAAACTTACATTGTCCAATTCGAAGCAACGAAATGGCTGGATAAAACATCTTCTGCTAAGGTATCGATTATACAGAAAAATAAGCGTTCCCCGTATTTCACGTAACCGTCAGTTATCAACGTACTTTAATTTCAGTCCTAAGCAAAATGGGCGAAGCTTTATGCCTCATTCAAATAGTGGTTCGAAGTCGGTGGAGTGTTTGACCAGAATAATCGACCTAGAAGCGAAATACGTGCCATCACAGTTTTATCAAGACACGTCACCCGGAGGATCAAATATGGCGAGAACGTCCTCAAGTGCGATATTAAGTGAAAAATTAACGAGGTGAAAGACAACGTGACGTTTAATCAAACGATTAGGCTTAGTCAGATGAAATTTGAATTGATTTTTAATAATATAAGAACTCACGCTTAATTTTTGCTCAGGCATACCAAAGTGAGTAATGTTGAATCGAAAAATAAATTTCTGAGCCATCGCGATGCCTCGAAGAATGAGAATGTCATAGTAAGGAATCGAGAAATTGAGAAGACAAAATTAACAACTAAAAAATGGCCGAGAAGTGACGGTGACGTAAATAATGAAGCATACGCTAGTAATCTTCAAACAGTCTCGCATGGGAAATCAAAAAAACCGTTCGAAAAGCTCATCCGAGTTGCCGATGAATGCCAGAAGTTTATGAAAGACGTAAAGACCGGTAACAAAAGTTTTCGACTTATTGACAGTTTATCAAGCGAGGTTAGTAAGATCAACGAAGAAAATTATATAAACAATACAATCTCTAAATGAAAAATTTCATTTAATAAACGTACTGTTTATCGTTGCAGTCGAAAAACCAAAATCGTCCGATTAGTCAAACCGGAAAAATTATTGAAAAAGAAGCTGCTGGTGATCGTCATAAAATAACGAATGAAGGAGAACGAGAAGGCGGTACTCAGATAGAAGAAGATAAACTTCATGAAAAATCTTTTGAAGATTATTCGAATGCTTCGAACTTCGTCGCACTGTTAAATAGTCATGAAGAAATAAAAACGTCTTTTCCGTCTGTCTCAAAATCTGACGTTGGACACGATCTAAAAAATACAGTAGACACGAACAAATCCAAGCTGCTTCCTCCCAGCTTGAGTATCACTCTTAAAATGACGTCTAACCCTAAACAGTTGTCGGAGACAAAGACTGAAACAGCTCTTGAGATCGATGAAGGTCTAAAGAACAAAATCGTTCATAGTAAATGTGAACCTACGAACACCAATGCTATTCTACATGGTGTAAAAGACAAACTTGAAAATCTCCATAAAGTCCTGAGGTCGTACGATGCGCAAGATGATTCTAAAGCGGGACACCAAAGTAAGGTCAAAACTTTGCAACTAATATCCAGAGTGAACGATGTGATGGAATCGAAAGTAGCTGTGGATTTACTTAACTCCGAGAAAAATGAAAATATGAATAAGACTTCTAGTGAAAATACTAACAAATTTAGTGTAAAAGACGAGACGAGTAGTAGCAATGAAAAGTACGATACTAATGAAACAACTCGTAGTTCTGACAGTTCGGTTCATAATGAGCGTCGCCTGAATATATTCAATATGGATGTAACGAGTGCTGATGAAAATAGTCAAAAACTGGAAAAAAATATCTCGAACGAAGGTTGGACGTATGAAAAGGCTAAAACTACAAAAATGAAGAATAACTGTGATGATGAGAAAAATAATGAGAATAAAATCATTGGAAGTGATAGAACGATAAATGAATCCGAAATGAAAATTCGAAATTTTTATTGTTTAACACGTATCTCAAATAATGCCAGTAGCGCAAGCAGTCGGGAAAGCATCAGTGGTTCAGCTAGAAATGATATTTTAGTATCGGAAAAATTTTCCGGTAATAGGAGCGAATACGAAAATCAAGTGGACTGGAGTTCAAATGTCGAAGAAGAGATTAATCCAAAACGTAATACGACATTGGAAGATAAAGATGAAATATATTCCATAAAAATGGAAACGGAGGAAGACACGACTATGATTTCACAGACGTCGAGTCAAACCGAAATTTCAAACAGTAGTGACCTTGAACTTGAAAGCAAGACCACAGTCCAGCTACTTCAAGAGGCATTGGTATTTAAAAAGGTCCTACTTTCCCAAATGGAAATGGAGAAAAGTACTGAAAATTTGAAAGATGAAAAACAAATGAATAACGAAGAAAATAATAACGCAAGTCCCACTGACGAGTTATCGTGGAACAAAAACGAAAATTATTTCCAGTTGAAATTGCTGGACATCATTTCGGAAGAACAATCGGCTAGTAGCTCGACAGAAAAAACTGCGAAAAATAGTAATAAAAATTGCATAAAAAATCGGCTTCAAAATGATTCGAAAATTTTGACAACCTACCCAAGCAATGACAATCGTTGCGAAAAATCGAAAGATGTATTGGCCACGGGTTCCTGCGAATACTTTAGCTTGACTGATATGCAGAATAGTAGCAAAAATTTAGAAAAGTCTATACAGAACGAGGACAGTGTGTTCAGTTCCAAAATTGGGATAAAGTCAAAAGTGGAGATAAAAAAAATTAACGATACAGAGAAAACAGATGGTTCTCTAAAGAAAACTACATATACCATAAATACTCTACCGGTTAAAAATTTAAACAACATAAAAAAGGACTCTCAAGACAACAATGACGCTATTTTGAATAAAAACAAAGTAACCGACAGAGCATACAGAACCGAAGAGAAAAATTTACTTATAAACAACGTAAACCAATTGTATGTGCAAAATAAGCAACATGCCCAAAACCATAATAAAGTGTCGTTGCAAAGTCGAAACAAAGCGATCGAAGCGACACAAGAAGCAATGCGGCAGCGGGAAGAAGATGAAAATTTGAATATGGTCCAAGCACCATTTGACTGTAAATCCTGGAATCCTACTAGAGAATCTTCAAGTCACGAAGGTGTGAAAGAATTTATAAGCCCACTGCCAGACACTAAAACCAAAAGCTTAAACAATACAGGTGGCACCAAGAATTTGAAATGCCCAAGAAGCAGCGGTCACAATTTCAGCCGAAATTCAAATATCTTGTCCCTGCAGAGGCGACCTGGGATTTACTCACTTCCGGATTCCAAAACGTTAAAAATTGAAGAAAACCTTGCATCGTTTGACAATAATGAAAGATCGATAGACGCATGCACCTTGCAACAATGCATTTCTACCAAAGAAAATAATTTGGATACCAAATGTAATATCCAATCGTATTCGTTAAATGAAGCCTTGGATGAAGATGCAATGAATATAGTTACGTTAGACAAACGGAATAAAAATGATGAAAATAGTTTAGTCACGAATGAGGCGCAAGAAAATAACAGTCCATTAACAGGTCGAACTGTTGTCCTACCTATGAATAATATGTTTATCGATGATAGCGAAGAGACCGTGGAAAGAATTATAGAAATTATGCCACAGATGGATGTGACGCAGGATTTGATTTCGCTGGAAAATACGGCACCAGACTTACACAGCGTTAAAGACGAGATGGGCACAGCTATGAGCGAGGGAAAAAGGTATAACGATTGTTCGGGCCTGGAATTATCAATAAATGAAGACTGCAGTAAACGCGATGAAGAACGATTTGATAACGCAGTTCCCACTGTAAATCAAGAACAAATATTGCGAAATTCAATGTCCAATATAAATTCACAACCAAGCAGCTTGTACTTTACGGACGAAGTTTCACTTTCTGAAATCAAATTAAACTCTGTGGGTTTCCCGAATCTTGATGTGGCATCGGCTCGAAGTTTAAAAACTAAAAAAAATGTTGAAAAGGATAACACGCTAGATATAAAAAATGAAACCACTGCACTAAATAAATCAATGTGTATCATTAATGAGCTTCATGATGCGGAAGTACTGCATGACAAGCCTGTTGCAGATGACGTAAACAACACAGAATCTATAAACTTAAAAAACAATGAAATAACACAAGAATTAGATACTGAAGTATTGTTAAACACAAATACTCTTACTGAGAATAAGGAAGGCAACGAACACAAGATTCACGAGTTGAACATGAAAATGACTACTGCCTTAACAAATAAATCAAACACGGATGACGTGACAGAGACTACTGACGCCAGTAACAAAAATGAAAATGGACATATGTGCACAGCAGAGAAGAATAGCGATAATGAAAAATTGGTACTGGAGCCACTAATCAGTATTGCAAACTTAAACAGCGACACGTCAAATTCCATTATCAGTACTAGTACTCAAGATGTCGGATCTAACAGCATCAATGTTACGCTTGACAGACCAATACTAAGCAGGGCAATTAATAAAAGCGACATATCACCTGTAAACAAATCAACACGTTGTTCGAGCGCATCGCAACTCTCGCGGCTTCCTTGGAGCACAAGGACAACACCGTTGAGCAGTGCTAGTTCGTTGAAATCGAAAATATTGGAAAAGCCATTATTATCAAAACCGGAAGTTATCCACAGTCGACAAAAGATGAAGTGTAAGTCGATGGATTTAAAAATCGCACGAAACGACAACCAACAGCTGTCTGCAAGGAGTCATGTAAGTTTAAGATTGGATGGTCCGCCGGCTAAGCACTTGTCGAGTCAAAGTGGAATCGAAATTCCACAAAGAAGATCAAGATCTAGCGTTACCCCGCGTAAGAGTCAAATATCACCACGTGACGATAACGTTGATGATTTTGATAACAAAGGTAATCAAACTAGTCGATCAAGAGACTACACACCGCGAATGGCTAAGAAAAATGTTGAAGGGAACGTGACGACTCCGAAGTCGAAATTGAAGACAACGACAAAGACAATTTCGAAATCTTGTATACCGATTTTAAAAAGTAGATTAGAAACTGAAAAAAAATTAGAGCCTGAGTTGAGGTCAAAGAGTCCGGCAAGAGGACCAATGACGATAACCAATTCCCAAGTGGGTGAAGCACCCTGCTGTACACAGATTGAAGTCATGTCTGATTTATTGGAAGGTGACATTTGCCAGTCACAATGCTTGACAGAAAAAGAAATAGAAGATCATAATGAATCGGGAGACATTATAAATGTTCTAGAGTTACAAGACATATCCGAACAGTATGCTCATCTGAAACAAATAAATATTCCTAATGACAGTTATGTAGGAGATAGTGATCGGTCAATTATTTATATGAACATAGTAGCTGATCATGATCATGATCATACCGCTATTGCAGTAGTAGATCCAAAGAGATTTATAGAATGCATCGAGGATAGTGAATTGAAAGTCGAAAATATCGATAAGGATAAAATTAATGAAAATTATGAATCTGAGAAACCGACATCTATTAACACTGACGAACAAGTTTCTCCTATCTTAACAACAGCATTAACCGTCATTGATGATAATTTATTGAATGACACACGTGAGAAAATCTCAAGCAAAATTGTGATTACTGATGAGACAAAGGACTCGTGCTGCATTGAAGTTGAACACAAAGAAATAGAAGTTTCTGTAAAACCGTCAGTAACGGATATAAGTACTTCAATTTCTGATTTACCCAATATTTCGCGAGAACCGAAAAATTTAATGGAGGCATTCAAGATTTTCGAAGTACCCAAAGAATTGACTAAGGAGGAATATATTATTCTACTCGAGACACTAAATCAAGATCCGAATTTGGTACAGTTCAGAAGAATGCAGAAGCTCTGCAGCAAACTCGGTTTAGGTTTCCGAGAATAACCGAAGATTCCCGAAATCAAGCGACGGAGGTTTGGTGTGTGGCTAATTAAAGAAATTTGTCAGTGCTCGAGGTTGTTAGAATTTTTACATCGCGGCAATTTATAACACTTTTTTGACTCCTGTATCTTGTTACGCAACGTTAATGTGCACGATGTTATTTTGATAATCATTAAATTGTCATTTGACAATTATTAATAACAGCGCAAATATTTATTTCGCGATTCTTCCCGAGAGCTAACCAAATTTAATTTAATTAATCTATGAGATCCGAATTATCACCTACCTGCATCTGCACGCTCTGACAGTTGACAAACTCGATTCCCGAGACCAACGAGTCAAAGACGATCGATGATTTACGACAGGAGTCCATTACGATTGAGTTAACTTTTCCTTTAATAATCAGCGTACTGTCCTGACAGCGATACATGTACACGACGTTGTTCATCTCAGCACTGTCAATAAGCAAATCCTTGTTACCCTTTTGATATTCCTGAAACAGAACAAAATAAAAGATTTGGATCACAAATCACCTAGTTTGTACCGAGAATTAGTATTTAAAAAAGAACTATGACGTTCAATATGAGGACCTTTACAAACCGCAGTAACTGAATTGATTAACTGTACAGTTTCGTTACAATTATTTTTTTAAAATCGGATTAATTATCATGTGACGCTTACCACAAGCCACTTCTTTCCATCGCGAGTGAATACTGGTGGCTTGTCGATCGGGGCATTAGCCGGAAGTACTGTTTTCACTGGTGAATTGGTATCAGCATTATTACCAAATGGTGCCTTAAAAGGTGCAGGTCCAGTTCTCAATGAAGGATTTTTATGCGTTTGCATATCAGAAGTAACTTTCTTCAAGCCTGTAAATTTCATTAATCATATTCATCACAGTAATTAATACCATATTACACATCATCATATGTTCACATTAAAACTTTTCTAGTTCTTCTTAGTCTTTCCGATACCCTTCTTACTTTTTCTATTTGTGACAGATACAATTAAATACAGGAAGCACTATACTCACTTCTAGTGATACCTTCGCCTTGATTAATTTGAGCGAAGAGGGCACTTCTATCATCGGCGGCATTTGATGCTACATCGCCAATAGGCATCGAAGGTGGTGGTGGAGGTGGTCCTGCAGCAGGTGGTGGTGGAATGCCACGCGGACCAGCAGACTTCGCCCAAACTAAACCTGTAGTATGATGCTTACGTACGTATTGCTGAAGATCCGTCAACGTTTGAACCCAGGCCTTGCACCACTCCACGTGCGTTTTGTCTCTGCAAATAATATATACAGCAAAACCATATGTTAAACACTAATAAATACTGACACGCAAATAATTCCCAGATTATCATCACTGATGCTTATTACTTCTCTTTCCAGTCCTTCAAGACACGGTTAGTGTAAAACTGGCCAGCGTCGTTCATCTCCTTGACGTAAGGGGCTGGTGTGGGTGATACCGCAACCCATCCTAAAGCCGCAATACTCTCGCTAATAGCCGACAGATGATTGAAGAATGGCGAACCACGATTCTTCTCACGATATTCCTGGATAGCTTGAATTTGCTTCGAAGTGGGGCCCAAGAGTGACACTTGTTCAGTCTGATTCGTGGGCGCCGGTCGACTCGCAGCTGTTTTCACGAACTGCAGTTGAATTCTAGAAAGAAAAACACAATAATTGTAACTTTTGTCATTAAAAATTATTAAAAACATCAAAAAAGAAAACTGGACTCACTGAAATGCTTGGTCCACGAGTTTTCCGTGCGTGGCAACATCGCCACCGATTTTTTGACTAAGCTGCAGGTACTGCTGAACCGGCCCAGCAATGATGTCCTCATATCCGGCGACGGACATGCTGTCGCTGATTGTTTGCTGTGTAAGATTGCAAGATGGTGTCACCGGTGGGGTCGACGTCGACGTAGGCGTCGCCGGTGGTGTCGCCGGCACTGGATCACTCAGTGACGTTGAATTTCCTCCAATAAAATTAGAAGACGGCTTCTTGGGCGACGGCGTCTTCGTCTGGACAGCGGTCTCCTGCGTTTCAGCGACCTTCGTCGGTACCTTCTCAAGACGCCTTGTCACGTTCTCCAATCGAGTAACCAACTCCTCAAACTGCTCCTCTTTGTCGTCTGGTTCGCAACCTTTGCAGCAGAAGGATACTCGTTAATATATCTTTATCCCTTTGAAAAATCTCTTTTCAAAGCATTATTAATTTAAAGCACGATAAGTTCAAACGAAATTTACATACACAAACTCAATTCGAGTTTGCATAGACGTTTAAGGATTTACTTGAAATTTATATAGGATTCTGTGCAGACACGAGCAACGCTAAAAGAATTTTCATTTATTCGACAAAAGAAAATTTCCAGAACGCCAATCGATTTATTTCTTCCGCGTTTGCATAATTATACGATGAAAATTTCAAGATTTCAGAAATAACAGCATCAATTAATAATGAAAAGTATACTTTATCCCACTTTTCAAGTAACAATTTTCGCTACATAAATCGAGCACTCGCCGGGAATATATTATTGGGATATTTAAATCGTTCGATATTGCAAATGAAAGCACAGAAGCGAAGATTACAAGTTTTGTGACTTAAGTGACATGAAGAAAAAAGAAATCGAGCAACAGTACAAGAAGAAGGACAGACACTAGGAACACTTAGATTAGTTCGTGAAAACCCGACGGGTTACGGATTTATAAATAGATATAGAAACCGCGCACAAATAGTCGTGTCAACATCCACAGCCACTAGGTCAGTATTATGTTGCAAGCAGCGCATAGCAGATATAATACATAGTCGTGTAATTTTAACGGATATAAAATTCTGTAAAATAAAAAATTCTGTAAAATAAAATATCCGACCTACAGTATAGTATTGAAAATACTTGAGATCGATTACCATGCTTGATCCAAACATTTACTTAAAGCTAAGTATTAATATGTATGACGTATACGATATATGTATGTATATACTTATGTTCACATTACACGAAAGAAGAAACATAGACAATCGATTAGAACGCAAATATTCAACAAAAACTGAAGCCCACAATTTCAACGTATTAGATGAAAATAAAATTTAAAACATATATATATATATATATATATATATATATATATTTATATTCAGTCCTAAGAATCAACCGGTAAGTAAAAAAGCGCTTATTGGACATACGACGTCTTTGATGAATTCTTAAGGAATTTCCCATGTTAATAAGTACATACTGAGTCTAATAGGAAGAATGACTTATGTTAGTAATTTCAATGTTCCCATAATGTAGACGTAAGTGGAGATAGCCAACAGAAGCTGCGATACCGCTAGAGACAATGATAAAAATATTTTTATTTACGAGATAACGATCTTCAACTCAATCGAAAAATACCTTTGCGCTACGCGAGATATAATATAAGTAATCTTAAAATTCTCAAAAAATCGATAATTAGAAATTTCAATATTTCTCAATATACACGGGAATCTCGAATTCACGAATCTCCGGTACTTGTGAATTCACGAACGCGACTGAGTTTTCCAGAAACTCAGCAAGACACTCGGACGATACGGAACGCCAGAATATGCTAGACTATTATTAGACGACTGGCAAAAACTGTTACGTTACCGTTAACGCAAAAGCGCGTAGGTGTAATCCATGAAATTCGCACGCGTAACAATAATAACAACAGTTACGTACCAACGTGCTGTTACGACTACCCCTCTCAAATAACAATGTCGATCATTCAATCGTTTTATATCCTCATATACGTAATTGAGATTTTTGATTCGGTCAAAAAAATACCCGATCGGATTACCGAATTTAAAAAAAAAATTATTTCTTGAATATACTCAAATTTGAATATAAGACAATACCATTAGCAGATACATTCCTTCCACCATTGTATGAACATTGAAAACGCGTTCGTCGCGTGTGGATGTGCCATTACGTTAGGATGAATTTGATCCACGAGTCACAGAGATCATGCAGATAGTAAAACAATTATCGATATAAGATAGATAAAGGTGTACGTAGATAGTAATCCCTAACCGGTGTGCACTGTAGGTCCCAAAGGGTCGAATCTCACTCTGTGCTCCTGCGTATTGCGTGTTGCCTCAAGTAAATCGGAGAAAAATCGGTGCCGCCTTAAGGCGAGTTCATCGCGCGCGACTGGAGTCGCCGGTGGTTCCTGCATCCCGCCGCATCCACCCTCGTTTACGTTCTCGACGTCCTCGGGATCGTCCTCTTGCGACAGCCACCGCGGAATTGGCGCCACTGTTTGTGTTTTTATATATTACCAAATTACGTGCAAGCTTATAACGTGTGGCTGAGTTACATTTTATTTTATCTGTATCAGACATTTTTTAATCATGCTTAGTTATTGTTTGATTTTTCTTGTTTTTATCGATCGATATAATTCTCACGAGAAGAATTGCCCAGTGCTAATGATACTTAGTTATAATAATGATAAGTTTGCGTGAGGAATGAAAAATTTGCAAATGGAATTTTGCATCTCGTGAGTTTAGCAGATTTAGAATTACGTTTTACGCATGCGCGGAAATGAAACTTGCTAGACGTCCATTCATGTTTCACGTGGATTGAATTAGTTACACATTCACTCTCCGGAGTAGAGGAAGATGGCAGCACAATCGATTTAGTATACACCACCCCCGTCATTGTTCCTTGAGGAGGGTAACATCCTTGATTCGTAAATAAGGATATGAATTAGACCCTATGTAAAATATAATGGATAGGGAAGTTCAATTTGATAACGCGAATAAGGAATTGAGTCGCAATCTTGATATTAAGGCCATTTAAAAGACATACCGATAACGAAGTTTTCGTCGAGATATGTAACACAATGAAACGAATTGAAAGACGCAATCAGCGCTGTTTATTTAATTATTCCTATACAAGTTTTTTGACCTCGTCCAATCATGAACTTTCGATTAGGCTTCAACTGACATACGGTTAGTGAATGTTTAATCGGAGGAAGTAAGCCGAATTTGCCGTTTCGAATCATTAACAATGGCGGTGACACGTTAGGCATAGTAACTTCCGGTTTCGATCGCTGTGCTGAATTTTACAAATTTTAAAACGATAGAAATGTGAATTTTTTCATCGACAAGACTTTTCACGAAAAATCACACAAATCTGTGTACATCATCGATCTGCTAAACTCAAATTGAACGTCAATTTCCTCTTAAACAACAGTATCAAAATTTGAGTATATAAAAATTTCGTAAAATTCAAATTTAACTGAAACAGCCTATCCATCCATCATGAAAGCCTTTTATATACCTGGTGAATTTTTTTTGTCATTATCAATCTCGATGTACGGCGGACCAGCTTCAAAAACAGAATCATCGCCCTCCTCGTCAGGTCCGTCGTCCATCGTCCTTTCAATGTATGCGGACGCGCCATACAAAAATGATTTAGTAGGACTCGCGCGTTCAACATTAATATGCGTCAGGCCATCTTGATTCGTAAGTTTCGTGTCCGACGCGGTAGAATCAATTGTTGGTATGAAAATGCGTTCTTCGATTTTCTCATCTGCATCGACTGCCTTAGTTCCGTCATTATCGACTGACACCGATTTCTCTTCGGATTTTTGTAAATCGCCATTCAACTTTTCCGCCGCGCCATTTCCGTCAGCTCGATTTTTGCCCACATTTTCAACATTAACACTTTGTACGTCCCTCGAGTCGTCGAGCGTCGGGACGCCTTTTGTCTTTTCCTTTTTCGATTTCTTGTTACACACACAGCACTTGAACATCCTGGACGACTTGAATGTTCAGCACGTTCAACAGTCCAAATAGTATTTAAACTTGACGATTATATTCTATCGCGTTCCTATATTTTGTTTATACCAATCTGCGAGACTCGCAGAAATAATTCTCACTCCCGATAGATTCTAAAAACACAATGACAACTAGTAACAGGTAACAATAGAATATTTAGAAACAATTCCGTAATCTAAAACGTATAGCGTTTCTTTACAACAGTTTCTAACCTGTGGTTAGTTCCAACCTATATTACGAGGGAACAACGATATCTATATAATCCAAGATCATCGTATAACAATAAAAAATATCACCAATAACTGTATCTCAAACTATACAAACACTTCGTTAAAAACGCATCGTCCTTGTTGTACTGCACATCACTCGACCACTGGATCTTATCTTTTGTAATCACAAGTCAGACATTTAAATAATTAACGAATATCGCGGTCGTCCGTAAAACAAACAAAACCAAAATCCAATTTCCACTCAAAGACCCAGTTGTGACTGTCACTTTCACAATCGTCAATACCAATTTCGCGGCGAATTCACACCCATTAATGGGTCTTCCCTTTCCTCTCAATGAACTCACGCAATAACACATGCACAGCCAAGCAGCTGTAACGAAGTAAAGTAAATCAGATTGATATGGAATACAAGATAAGCGCACTTGTCGCGCGAACTGCTTTCTTCCTTTTTTTTCAATGTTATCTTCCCTATTGAATGTGCTTGGCACCAAATACGAAAGAGCCGAGCGAAGGGTCTTCCCACGAGCAAATCGAAAATCCAATTCGTTGACCGGACGTAACTGCTACGTCCGCACTAGGAGGCTCCCAGGTCGACCTGGAGGGAGGATCCTGCGTCTGCGTCTGCGTTCACTTGCCTATCCCATTCGCTTCTGATGTTGCTGATGCTGGCGCTTCTCGGGCTTCCAGAACCCAAAACTTTCTTCGGCTACGAGAGTTTATATTAGTAACGTCTTTTCCTCCCTCCGCGTAACGTTTCGTCCTTACTCGAGTACTTCCGGCATACGATGACGTCATATATATGTATAAATCGTCAATAAGATACACCTAGTGTATCATTCGTAGTACAAAGGACCCGACTCCCTTACGTTGCTGATGTTAATGATTTCCTTCCCTCGGACAAGTTCACTGTCGTCAGTCATTTTCAGTTTTAGATATACACGAGCTTGCGCTCGGTCTGTTTGAAATACAAATAAATAACATGCTGATTGATGTACATTTTTCCCACAGAATAAAAAATAGAGGATCGTGTTTTTTTTCAAGCGAGGTAAATTTATTTTTTTACACATACTTCATGTCTTGGCAAATACTCGCAAGAAAGTATTAAGTACTGAATTTTATAAACGGCGAAAAATTATTGTACCCAGACCAGGAGTATGATAGTCGATAGCAATGCATGACGCTGAGACAAGTAATTCAATCGCGTAACTTAGATACACGTATACGTAAACTATGGTAACTGATAGGAGAACATTCTAAATAGAAATGCTTCGAGCCGAATAGAAATGCTAAAAGCCCATTGTACTTGAATATCCTGCAGGTTTATTTAAGTAGGCAAAGACGAACTTCAGACCCCTCTATCGCCCACCATAAACCCCACTGTCTGCCAATAGCAATGAAGCGGCAAACTACTTCCAGGAAAGTCATTCACAACACTGGCAAAAATGTTAAATTTTAAAGAGAATCGACACAATTAAATAAATGGTAAAAGTACAGCGAACAACTGTTATTAACAGGATATATTACGTTGTAAGTATATACACGAACTATGTGCGCAATTTTTTTACACCAAAAATACTATATTCTTACTCGCGTCGTGCTTTTGACAATTATAATTTTTAACCACGCGACACGTTTACTGCGCATCGCGACTTCACAAAATATTCGAAGGTGTGATACTGTGGTTTCGACCGCCCGCCATGTGCTGCCACTACGAACAATGACGGCCAAGACCCGAAGTAGACGGCTCGCCGCCTTCCTCCTAGTCGTTTCTTCCTCGTACCACCCTCCTGCATTATTTTCCTCAGGATTTAAAAGTGCGCCGGGCCGTGTCACGTGGTTGGCCAAACCACACAACTCACGCGACAATTTTACGACTGTAGTTACGAGACAACTTATGTCTCGTTGTGTAATTGTAACACCTTGCGGCAAAAGCTTGAACTACGGAAAACGTAACCTTTTTAATTTTTTATTCTCGCTCTTTATACCTTTACGATCGTTCATTTTAATGACTCTTGACAATGATCTTGTTTTATTAAGAGATATCCAATGATATCATCTTCCCGTGTATGCAGGACGACGTGACATTTTATGGATGACGTAGATCAAGATAAATCGATATCGCGTATCATTGTTCGCGAGTTAACATAGGAAGGCGTCATTCTCGATAAAAAAATACATGAAAAAGATTTCGAATTTCAACCCCCTTTGAACAAGCCACAAGTGCATTTACAGTACAAGGAATAAACGACAAAGGTAGTTAAACAATTAAAAAAAGACAAATTTGTACAAATATTCGAAATCCACGTGAAATTGAATGATCACGTACATACGCATATAAATTGATTCCAGAGCTAATTAGATTAATAATTAATTAATGATTGTATTGTAAAATAAATTCAGACGAGACGTCGTTTAATAATTTATACGTAATTCAGGTAAGGTAAACAGAGCGTACGTAAAAATTCACATTTCCCGCGCTTAATTAAAAGAACGGTATTCGTGTTACGCAGATATTAATTACATTAACGACTTTACGATGACAAACGATAGAATCATCGATGAGTCGTCTAACATTAACTACTCGTCTAAGGTTCCATCTGGTTCCATTAAACGATACTAAAAAAAGGATAGATGCTTATTTATTAAAACTGGAAATTCTTATGAATGTTGATTTATAAATATATATTCTTCATTCTCACTATTGCGAGACGCACGTCGAAACTAATTTTCGAGATATTATACCGTAAACTGCAAAGCCAAGACAGCATAAATCAATACGGCACACATTTAACGTATATTATACCGTTACCGCAAAACTCAGCCAAGTTTTACAGTTACACGTGCTCGACAACAAAATATAGTTCTATTGCGATAAAACGAGAAGATTAAAAATATAATTCAAGCACAAAAAAATAATAGGTACTTTGAACGAAGAGAAGCTGTGACTTTTACAAAAAGTCCAGCCGCTGACATTTCCTTCAGGCTTTAAGTGTACCTTTGCGTTAATTCAATAAATCAATCGAACATTCATGACTGTATACAATTTATATTATACTTTCAGCAAATTCAATTAATTATCATGGGGTAGTACGTGGCAGTGAGTAAATAATTTTTCTTCTATATGTGAAATTAAATGGATAGCAGTCACGGTAGCGTATACCGGTGTAACCTAACCTGACCTCGAATATAATCTGAAACATAACCTCAAAAGCTCGCACAGGTATAACGAGAAATTACGTAAAACATGTTATCAGTGACACTGATGAACATAGAATTAGCAACTCACGATTTTTCCATAGTGACAGCAAGTTTTTATAAGTTTCTGGAAACTTCTGATTTTCATCCTGATTCTGATCCACGTGCGACATCTTTGAGGGAATGCAGGAATCCGTGACACTGATAAATACAAAAGCTTACGAACAATGGATAATTAATTAAATAATGTTTGTCGAATTACTTTGTTGCTAAATGGAAAAGAAGAATAAAACCGGCAAACAATCTTACAGCACGACACACCAGTAATGACTAATGTAATGATAACCGGACTGACTTCATCAGTTCTCATCATCACTTTTTACTCCTACCACCGTGTGTGGCGCAGTGCCGTATCTATTCAGATTCTTTGTATGGAATTAAAAGACTTTCATTAACAATAATTGATCAAGAGTTACCCTATCAGAATTCGAATTATGTTTGTACATACATCGACTGACTTAATTTAGTTATTTATTGTATTCCTGGATGAACGTGTATTATCAACAATATAGTGAATTTGTATTGTCATCAATTATAGATTTGCACAGTGATGAAACGCTGCACTTGATCTTGGTGGCAATAACAACGGAACAACTATTAAAGTTTTTAATAAATCAATGCGAATACAAATATAACAAGTTGGCTACTAGCTTTCTCCAATTTAGAAATGTGCGAACATTTTTAATCCCCTTAGTTAAGAATTAAAAGGAAATTGCGCGTTGATCTAGGTAGCCTCATCAACATGCTCGAATCTTAGCTAATTAAATGTAACGCTCGTGTCACAATTCACTACAAATTTTTATTAATAATTCCACATTTCACAAACATTGCTAAAAGTTATATGCAAATAAATATCAACATGACAATTACTAAAAAATGTATTATTATACAAGTCATTCGACGCTTTATATATATATAATTATAGAAATAAAAATTAACGTAGAACAATGCTTAATAGAAGTCACTAAAAAGTAAATAAAATACTGCATAGAAATAGGAAATGTTATTTAATTTTATCTCGATTTCATATCCGGCATTGCAGGCTCTGTAGTCCATTTTTACCGTTCACGTTTAAATACGAGATTAAAACTCATTCTAGATCGGTTTATGCCGGTCGTAGCTATTTACAAGCGTTAAATCGCTGCCTTTAACTATATGTAAATTCGCATAAATTGAAACGATAAAATTGGGGCTAAATTGTTTTCAGTGTATCATATTGCGAAGTATTCTCACATTTTTATTCATCTTCTCTCCTTTTTTTACTCTGTCACCTCATTTACGTTCCGTTTATGGACTTCATTGCATACACACAAGGCATGGATAAAATAAGGCCAACAAGTCATCAAGAATGGAGTAATCAGATTTTCAGAAAATCCTACTGTATATATGTACAGTCAAAGATTACAGCAATATAAAGCGAAAAGAATCCGTATACGAGAATATGACCTTGCAACAAGCAATTTGACAGTTTCTGACAGATGTCTCCATGTGTCGTATGGCAGGGATGAGTCACGGCAGCAAGACACAGTGGGGGATTTGTTTGACCAACGCGAAATAACCAAAAAATGCACATTAAGCAATTCATATTTCTGACACCGATAACAGATCAAAAGCAATGTTGTTCAATTAATCACCAATCGGAATAAATGAAATACACCTTATGACTAATACTTAAATTATTTACACATATTAACTGCGAATAGCGGGCTAATGTTTTCAGACTGCATTATACGATGGCCTAGCGGCTGTGGTGCGTGCTTTAATTTATTATTCCGCGTAAATACACAGTTTTACTTACCACGTTTGATATTGAATTGTCAGCCAGTTGAACACCGTTTGATCGGGAACGCCGGATATCACGTCAAAATCGTGGAACACTTGTAAAAGGGTTTAATCGCGAATGACATGAACCAAATTCCAGGACGATACTAGCGCACACACGATACTGGGGCGTCTGCCGGAGACCGGAAGTACTTGGCTGTCATGAAAGTCAGGGAATACACTGCACATGCGCCTGTACTTTTGATAAAGTCTTTGTTTTGTTATAAAATATTCACTTACATTTCATATTTTATTCTGAAATTATGATCATATTTTTATTGTGTCATAGATAATCATTCAAGTGATAAATAAAGCGAAATGGTATCTTTGTAGTTATGGATGCAATCTTGAAATTATAACCTACACGTTAAATCGTGCTCCCGTTATTTTTCGGTTGTCACGTCGGGTTTGTTTCTGTACTTTGAACTCATATCAATTTAACGGCAGGTTTTTTTGTGAACTTCAATGAACTGTAAGGATCGTGAAGTGCAGGCTGAATTAATCTTAGCGCCGTCTTAAATAATTCCTAATTGGCCACAAAGATTATCTGTCATTATCTTCGTGCTACCATTATGCTTTAATCGAGAAGAAGAAGATTATATATTAACTTATATAGAGTTATATAATCCGAATTATCATAATTTTCTTAATTTTCGTTCCTAATCTCTAAACGTTTCTCTGTACTCCGGGAATATAAATAATTTTATATGTTACATGGGCTAAATGAATGTTAATCAGGTTGACTTCTTACTGATTTGTGTCACGTGAAAGTGTCTTCAAGTGAAAAGGGAATTAGATGGGAATAAATGGATATTATAATTATACGTTAATAACAAAAACAAAATAAAATAATCTGTGGTTAATTATTGACTAGATATCACTAATATTTTTAAATTAAGACAAGGCAGTAATTGTTGAAAGAATTATTAACATTAAATCTAACCTAAATACATAGTGTCATTATAGAGGCAAAATGAACTCGAAATTTGCTTTTCTTGAATCAATGGACATACTAAACACAATACCTCAGTATCATACATTATTGGCAGCACTTTTGGTACTATGGTTATTGTGGTTAATTGCCAAAAGAAGATATGGTAATCACCGCACAGTACTCTCTGATGATGAAGTTCAATGTAAGCTAGCTGAATGGCAACCTGAACCCCTTGTACCAAAAACAGAGAAAAATCATCCATCGCTTACTCCAAAACATATCACTTCTCGTGTTGGCAAGAGGATAATTGTTAATGGCAAGGACTGTCTCAATTTGGGTACACATAACTATCTTGGTTTTTTGGAGAATAAAGAGATTCAAGAAAAAGCTGTTGCTACAATTAAGAAATATGGAGTTGGATCATGTGGACCTCGTGGTTTCTATGGTACTGTAGATGTTCACTTAGAGCTAGAAGAACGTCTTGCCAACTTTATGGAAATGGAAGAAGCTATTGTTTATTCTTATGGATTTAGTACAACAGCATCAGCTATCTCTGCATACTGCAAGCGAAATGATTTAGTGTTTACTGATGAAAAAGTAAACTTTGCTATCCAAAAGGGTCTTGATGCCTCAAGATCCAACATCAAATATTTCCAGCACAATGATGTCCAGGACCTGGAAAGTCTGTTAATAAAACAAGCTGAATTGGATACAAAAAATCCTAAGAAAGCTACAAGAAGAAGGCGTTTCTTGATTGTTGAAGGAATTTATACAAATACTGGCCAAATCTGTCCTCTGCCTGAACTAGTTACACTCTGTAGAAAATATAAACTGAGAATCTTTGTAGATGAGTCTATATCGTTTGGCACTCTCGGAAAATGTGGTAAAGGAGTTACTGAACATTTTGGTGTACCCAGACATGAAGTGGATATGATAATTGGTATGCGGAGGTCTCAAATAATTAATTTAATACTACTAGAATAATTTTGTCTTTATATTTTAAGTTTATATTGCTTTTAAAAATTTCAGGTTCTCTGGAAGGGACTATTGGATCAATTGGTGGTTTCTGTGTGGGTTCATCATTTGTGATTGAGCATCAGCGGCTATCAGGACTTGGTTATTGTTTCTCAGCATCATTACCTCCACTTCTGACCTCTGCAGCCATCACATCTATAGACATAATGGAGCGTGATCCACAGATTTTCATGACCCTTAAAGAAATCTGTGTAATTGCAGATCAGGGCCTTAGAGAAATAGAATATTTTGAGGTTTCAAGCTTTCCAGAATCTCCTGTCAAACACTTATATTTAAAAAATGCATTACAACCTGCTGAAGAACAAAAAGTGCTTACAAGCATATCAAACAAATGTATAGAAAACAATGTGGCAATAATTGTTCCAGCATACCTCCCAGTAGAGAGAGATTTACCACGGCCAAGTTTGAGGATCTGTGTATCTGTTCTTTTGAAAAAAACAGATATTGATTTCGCTTTAAAAACGTTGGTAACATCTACAAAAGAAGTTCTGTTTCAATAACAAATATAGCATCAAATCAATTGACAATTTAATTTAATATACATATATCAATTTTTGCTAACAGTATCAATATTTTGTACATTCTTTAAATTATCTCACTCCTTTATAATGTTGTAATATATGAATTACTATGCAAACATGTATAATAGAAAGATGAATAAAATCGTTTTCAAAATTGGTTTCCATCAGTATAAATTAGTTCTATTTATTTAATGACAATATATTACTCATCAGCCCTAATATGCATGTTTTAGATCTGCGTTTAGTATTTATACTTTTAATATGATACTAATTGTACTTTTAAAAATCCCATTAAACAGAAGAAATACGTACAGTTTCTGAACCTTTACATTCTTACATAAGGTATAATCAAAATTTCATTAGCTCAGTTTTTGACATACATAATTGTTTAATTTAGTACAAATCCTAAAAATGGGTATAATTTTTTTATTACTACGCCAATGGCTTATTTTCATTCCTACCATATTGTAAACGCTCTTTTTCGGGAGGAAATGGCTAAGAACAGCAATGTTGATAATGAGAAAACTTATATACATTGGGAATGAAATATCGCTTATTATTGAAGTATGTATGTATTCATTTATTACAGGAATTTCTCATATTATTTGAATACAATACACTGTACATTTTACAAATGAAAAGCCGGTTTTGTGAAGACAATATTGAATAGCGTAGTATTTGCGCATGCGCGAAACGCGTGCAACACTTCGGAAATATCCGCTTTCTCTTCCATTGCGCCCATTTATCTCGCCGAGGTACGATGTGTTACATTTTGTTAATTTAATTATATTTATCTAGTTATGCATTTTGTATTAAAATATTAACCCTAAGAAATGCTGAGGGGTATTTGTTATTATAGTAAAATAATATAATCCAAAATAATAATATATTTATAGAAAATTGATAAAATAGATGTGCCAGGTTAACACGCCATGTGGCGTGATCAATTCAATATTGTAGAATACTTATTTTAAACCATGAATATGAACTACATTGAAAATTATTGTTTTAACGTCAAAACATTTTGCGCAATTTTCGAATAATAGTATTCAGAATTTAGATTTTTTGTTATATACCTCGAAATTTTGCTGTGAAGAGTGTTGATATACATAAAAGAGTTTAGAATAATTCTACCAATTTGCTCTTGAGAATATGTGTTGAGTCACATTTGATTGCTTCAAACACGTAATCTTTTTCATTACAGATATTGAAATAAATATTTTGTTTTATTACAGTCCTTAAATCTCCGCAAGGTATCCCTACACACACTTCAAGATGGGTAGGGAGGACAAGGCAACATGGAAGTCAAGTTACTTCAGCAAACTGATTGTAAGTATCAATACCTAATCCAAAAAACTAGTTAAATATTTCATCTTGTATGATATCCAATATAACATAGTTAATTTTTTTATAGCAACTTTTGGATGATTATCCCAAATGCTTCATTGTGGGCGCGGACAATGTCGGCTCAAAGCAGATGCAGCAGATTCGTATGTCATTGCGTGGAAGTGCCGTAGTATTGATGGGTAAGAACACCATGATGCGTAAGGCAATTCGTGGTCACATTGAACGTAATGGAGCTTTGGAGAAGCTGTTGCCACACATTCGTGGCAATGTTGGCTTTGTCTTCACTCGTGGTGATCTGGTTGAGGTTAGAGACAAGCTCCTGGAGAACAAAGTTCGGGCACCAGCCAGAGCTGGAGCTATTGCTCCATTGAGCGTCATCATTCCGGCCCAGAACACCGCATTAGGACCCGAAAAAACTTCTTTCTTCCAGGCTCTGAGCATCCCTACCAAGATCTCGAAGGGTACTATTGAAATTGTCGTACGTATCCTACCTAAAGTTAATATTGTTATAAAAAATCAATATGAACAAATGCAACAGTGTCTATGATCTTTCAATTACTCTTCCAGAACGATGTGCACATCTTGAAGCCTGGTGACAAAGTCGGCGCTTCCGAAGCAACGCTTCTTAACATGTTGAACATCTCGCCGTTTTCGTACGGTCTGCTTGTCGAGCAAGTCTACGATTCCGGTACCATTTTCGCGCCAGAAATTCTGGATATCAAGCCTGAAGATCTTCGTGCGAAGTTCCTAGCTGGAGTTGCCAATCTCGCTTCAGTATCCCTCGCCATTGGCTACCCGACTATTGCCAGTGTTCCTCACAGCATCGCCAACGGTTTCAAGAATCTTCTTGCCATTGCTGCTACAACCGAGGTCGAATTCGCTGAGGCCACCACCATCAAGGAGTTCATCAAGGTAATATTTAAGAAACCTTCTTAACACATTGACAGCCGGCGGCGTACGAGGCCGGCGCTCAACCGCAAGACTCCGAAACCCGCGTTTTCGCGGGGCCGGCTGTCAATGTGTTAAGACTCATACAAATTTATTTAAACTTTCATAATGATGAAAACTTAACGCGTCTGAAGGATTCGATCAACGTGTCTGAGCTAGAAATAGCTGAACCCACAGTCACGTCGGTTTCGCAGTTGAAAAATTGCGTAATAACGCAGTCTGATAAACACCTATATGAATAACTACTGTATCCTCTCTTTGTGACTATTCGCTAACAAAGTTTAATTGATTTTCGCAGGATCCAAGCAAGTTCGCAGCTGCTGTCGCAGTTGCAGCCCCGGCTGCAAACGCCGCTGCTGCTCCACCGGCTGCCGAGAAGAAAGAGGAGAAGAAAGAAGAATCGGAATCCGAGGATGACGATATGGGATTCGGTCTTTTCGATTAAGATCCATATGAAATACGTATCCCAATCCTTTTTTATGGATTTTGATACACCCTAAAGATGCTCTGACTGTATAATTTCTGCTGCCTGTTTTGTACCGGCGTCCGAATAAAGTCGAGAAAAAACGAAAATCCACGAGTTACTTTTTAATGATCCAAAAACTATCTAGATAAACATTAAGTACTTTAGGATAGTTACAACGGTTGGCGAAGTCTCGTGTAATAAATTGTAGGATGAGCATTAGGACTAGGTTGGCGATATTGAACTCGTTAGGTGTTATGTTAGTTTATAAGCATAACGATTACAACAATGTATATGTAATTCCTTAACACTAGGTTTACGAACATTTCTTTTATACCTATCTCTACGAACACGCGACAATTTGACGCATGAAGGAAATCAGACATTTTCTTTAAAAAACAACTTGAAAAGCAACATAATTATATACTATTAACTTATAACTGAATCTGTGAGATATAGATTTGTATAAAATTTATAATATTCGACATTTTTTCCAATGTAAATGCGTAAGACATAAACAGTAACCGTGTCACTCACTTCAGATTAGAGATATCGGATTCGAAATATCGCTGCTGCATCGTTTGTTTACTTTTGACATTTATTTTTTTACAGAAGTAACTTTTTTGTCATTTTGCTTCCTCATAGAGGAAGCTGTTTTCATGAAAATTTTTTTTTTCGAGATTTTCATGTTAGAATACTTAATATGATCTAAAACGTCAAGAAAAGTAGTTTAGAAAAAATGTCCGTATGTATGTATGTGTGTGTGTGTGTGTGTGCAAGGGCTTCGAAAATTCAATTGCCTCTTACTCAGTAACCGTTAGAACGATCGGACTGAAATTTGGCACGCAAGTAAAGTAGATATCCCTCTTTAAATGTTACGATTTTCAATGAAATGTATGCAGCCATTTAGATTTTATGTCATTTAAAATTTTTTGAAAAAAGGGCGTGGTCGCTCTAACTTTCGTAAAGGTTCGACGATTTAGCTAAATAGTTCTTCATAACTGAAGATACGTTCAATGTTGTTTGGTATTGAATTTCGACAAGATCGCTAAAGCGTTTCAGATTTTACGTGGTTTTGAAATTTTCAAATAATTATCGTTATTGTTTTGTTTTTTTTTACCTCATTTTTAACTGTATGTATGTATATAAATAGCCAAAATAATTCAAAGAACTTCCTCATAGTGGAGGCTTTGTGAACGAAGTAAAAGAATCAAGAAGCAAAGTGTAAGATTCTACTTTGCATCATTGTGATAGAAAAAACCAAGTAAAATAATGAGGAAACAATTTGCAAGGTTCTACTTTGCAGCCTTGTTTATATTTATTACTGCAGTAATGCTTTCATAAGTGAAGCCAATTGAATAGCATTAATGCTCACTTTACGATCACGTCAAATTGACGAGTATCCGTAAAAATAGGAATACCTCAAAGAGAATTTCAAAATTAGAAAGCTTCGGAGAAAATGAATTTGGACATATATTTATCTTATTCAATGCATAAAAGTCAATCAAGTGGTAGAAGAAAAATGGTTTTTGTTATTTTTCTCATGAAATTTGAAATACGTCAAAATGACGCGCCCTATAAGCCTAGTGTTGAGGAATATCAGGGAGTCGATTGTGTAATGACCAATTTCTTCACCTTCGGATAAAATTTATCGTGCAGATAAATCCCCAGCTAATCAACCATTTTCGTGTTTTAGGAGTTTATCCGTAGGATAAGTTTTATCCGAGGGTGAACAAATTAGCGATAACTCGTGGTAAAAATGCGAAAAGTGAATAGCTGTTAGCCAATCGCGTTATAGGGTCAAAAGAAGATAAGCACAACACGTGGCTAACAGCTATTCACTTTTAGCATTTTCAGTACATTTGAGTTACACAATCGATCCCCAGGCTAATTATCCTTTGCTTCTAGCTTACTTGCGATAAAAAAAGCTCATTCATGCACAGTGTAATATACTTCTAAGCTCGAGCGGAAAGTTATCGACTGATGTAGGAGGCGTGAGGAGTAATTGTTTCGTGGGAAGGAGCGGGAGTTCGAATTCGCCTTTAGAACGGCCGAGCTTTCCCTCGCGAGTGATTAATTATTAAGTGGAGATTGGCGATAAGGGAAGGAAAAGGATTAGAAAGGAGAAAGGAAGACTTGATAAGGAAAAAGGTAGACGTGATACTTGAAAGAAAGGCGAAAACCACTGTAGGATTATTATATAAACCAACTTCCGTATATTGTTACAGGTTACGTTTTTTCTCTACAGTCGTCAGGTTCGAAGTGTTCTTACAATTTTTGTCTAAAGTTTTAATTCGCACCTAAATTTGCGCTTATTATTAGTACTACTTCGAATATCCAGGTGTTGCCAAGGTAACCTTACGTTACACAACAGTTACACCCGTTTTCTTTAACGCGGTTCAATGCATACACTCCATTTATCTTCAAAATACAAGTTTCTGATTGGCGAATAGCAGAGTTGAAGCGAGTTTATGCATTGAACCTCGTCGAAGAAAACGGTAATTAGACCTTCGCTCGGCTAGTCTGTATGGCTTACACGTTTGTTCCTTCATGTCTCGCTCAATACTCTCACTACTTTCCAATGGATCAGAGCTGTCTCCCCATCACGCATGCGCTCAGGTGCTGTTATTGTTCCCGTATCTTCGAGAACATTCTCAAGACGCGTCATTCAAATGACGTTATCTATTCGTTCCTATCAACTTATTAATTATTAATCATACACATGACCTGTTCAATAGCATGCTTGTAATAGAAATCTATTGTACTATCTTATAACAGGAAGAGATAGAACCACCTTTACAAGATATTGTAATATTATCCCGATCAGTGTAGGTTGGGGAGGGGGATCAATTCGACCCGAGCTAAAATTTCAAACGTTCCCTATTTTGAAACCAAGCAAGGGGGCGGGGTGTTTATATAATACATTAATTTGGCAAACCTTATATTTCAACATTTTATCGTAAAGTAGAAGCCTTAAGGCAGTATGGTAGAATTATGCTAGAAAGTTGACCCTACATTTTTTTAAATTCCTAATCAAAAGAGCTCAATCAGCTGCGTCTTCTGGTTCAAAACAAAACTTGTTTACCGTCAAGTTAATGAGATATAAGAAAAATCATTGCATTTAGTCACATGTCCTTAACTTCCACGAAAGTTATCAAGTTAACCTGTGCATTAGAATATATTTCTAGAAAGCTTGATATCTGAGGCGGTTACTGTAAAAAAATAAACACAACTTATCGCATACGTATTGAGAAATTACCGTTAAACTAAACACATGTGCCGACTGTCTCTCTCCTTCGCATTTTCTTCTTTCGATCCGTAAATGCTGAAAGAAAAATGACTGCAGATGTGGGTATTCGGCAACCATTATGATTCATTTATAAAAATAATTATTATTTCCTAGTATTAAATTCACATTTTCAATATATTTCTCTATTTCTTTTATGAAATTTAACAAATTATATATAGCTATTGACTTGACTTCAGCCAAACTTTACCATAGTACCTTAAGCATGACGCATGTATACCTGGCACTTGGCCCTCGATGAGAGCATCAAGCCAAAAGGATCAAGAAGAAGAAGAAGCATGACACATGAATTTCTTCACATTTTTAGGAAGACATTTTCCGGTCTTTTTAAGCATAAGATCTATTCGACCCACCATCCTCAAGCATTGCAGAAAAAAACCTACATTGGTCGGATTATTATATTATTATATTCAATGATTGAAACCGCTATAAAAAACCGGTACATACATAAATATAAATGATATTTACATGATTAATGGTTCCGAGGATCTGAGTGACTTGCCAGATTCAATGACGACTAATATAGAAAACGAGTTTGTGCCTCTCCGACTGTACATATTTTGCAGCTAGTATTTATCATACCTATTTCCAAGAATCATGACTCTAATGATTGGCCTGTGCTCGTTAACCAAGTTGCATGTTGTGACGAAAAAGATACAACCATACACAAAGATTGTACTTGAATATTATCATATCACAAATCTTTTATTACTACATTGATGGTAAAAATATTCATGAATCATTAATATACGATATATCTATAAATGAAAAAGATTAGATTACAATTAATGCTATAGTGTGTGACCCAGAATTTACAATATTTACATTAAGTCGGTTTTGAATTGAGACGCATTTTATGAACTTTATTGCGACATGGTGACATCACTGTCATTACGTCATTTCTTTTTCAATATGGAAAATAGACCCTCGTACACAGAATTTGCTCTTGTATCAAATTCAATGGACAAAATGTTCCTAACGGATAAACATCGGGTTACAAAAAGTCAGATATTTTCATCACATATATACTGTCCCTGCAGTATTTTTTTGTAACTGTAGTAATATTTCTAACAATGGACAAGTTCTTTGCACGCGCCATCTTAGCCTTTCATAGAATTGCAACACCTAGCACATTCCAAATGTTCTTATCTGTCTTGCTTCTAACTTTATTCTCGGTTGAGAAACCATAACAGGCTGGGACATACATTCACTGTATACTACGTTCATACGAAATCCTTAATTACGAATCAATATTTATTTCGTATCTCTTCCTTTTCACAACTACATTCACCGTGACTGCAGTAAAATTTAATAAAAATACATGGAGTCTTGAAAGTTCGTAATTCTTCTTTCTGCATGGTAAACAAAATTTATCGCTTAGATAAGATTACTCTAGTCCATATGAACTAACCATAGATATGATTCCGCGTATATCCTTGACACATCACAAATGTACCACAAACGTCTGTTGAACATTTATGGATCCCTATAAGAAGTACGAAGTAACAGTTACGTGGAAATAGAATAGTTACGTATATCGGGTGTCTCGTGATATTAAATCCTTGGAGTAGAAGCCGATATGTTACTTAGTACTTGCTACGATGTTTGAAATCCTATTATACATCCTATAGAGACTAATCATTTTTGCTACTTGATGCAGAGAATAATTATAACGTGTATTATCATTAAAAAGATAAACTATCAAATTTTTATAGATATTTTTTATTTTTATATATTAAGTAAACATCTGAAATGATATGGCAACAAAAACGGTTAGCAGTGTCTTGAATAAGAAACATATACCTCTGGTACAAAACTAATGCATTGTTCAAGGTAGAGCATGGTAGACAGCAGGAAGGCCATTATTCCTGACGTTTCACCTAAATTTCAATAAGATTTTCTTGTGGTCAGTTTCGAAATTGTTAGAAGTAAAGCAATAGCACATATCAATATGATGACATAACTTTGAAGTTTTTCTGTGTATTCTATCAAAGAGATAATTTAAAGTGCCTATAATTACTGGCGGCGACCTTGACAACAAAGTATATTAATTTACATACCATCTTAAACTAGACACAATCGTTTTTAATTCCATGAATTAACTTCAATTAGAAAGTTTAATGAAAATTAGACGCTCAACGAATAACTGCGGAGGTATAATTAAAAAATGTAATTTGATTCCAATGCGTGAGAATGAAGTTAAATCGGTATAAATTTGAATTCCCGCGAAATTGGCATGGGTATTGTTTAAAATAATGGATTTTATATCAATTATTTTTATATCTTCATTTGACATAATTAGTCACATATAGTACAAAGTTTCAATGAGATGTTCGCAGAATATCTATACGTCTATAGGATGTCCGAGTGACGTCATAAGGATGTTTGTGGTATGGGAGTATCCAAGAAACGTATGTATTAGATACATGACGACAATGTGAAAATTTTCTGATTCGAGGATGCCAAGATAGATAGATAACTAGCCAGCAAACGCATAGCATTCCAATATTAGCAACGTTAAAATTTTTGAATTTTGATGGACATTTGGATATTGATGTGGAACCGTTACTTTGTGTTTGCTTGGCTATAATAGAAGGTCATAAAAATTTTTTACTATATGAAAAAGTACTGCGAGTAAAAAACCAAAGCAAAGTCAATTCTAGAGTGACTGTGTAATATTTTTAATTTGATCAAACGTACGTGATAACACATTTGTTCACTTTCAGGCGTGTATCGTCCAATGTGATGATCGAGTTAGTATATTAACATTATCTTTCACATAATCAGATACAAATATTTTTTAATTCAATTCATCGATTCTATATAAGCTTTACTTATCACTATAACGATTGTACAACTTTATGAAACAGGCAAAATAAGCCGACCTTATTCTAGAGATTATAAAGTGACGGTTAAGACCATATCGGCATTGTTATAATTTGCCACTCAAGAACATGATAGTTTAAAGTTACCTGGTAACTGATAAATTGTACCACCGTTACTACTTTGCGTTCACTGGGGTAGAATTCATACAGCAAAATAGTTTTATAGGTGTTAATAAGAGGTCTGGCGGATATTATAAGTCATATAAATATCCTAGTAACGTTTGTGACATTTTTGCGTTATATATACTATCCATAGACGTATTAATCATGATTTTATAATATTAGGTAAGCCTAACATCAAACGCCAATTTTGAGAGATAGTCGTAAATCACAATTCTCCAGATTCATTCACGTATTATCAACCTGTCAAAACATAAAGCTGATCAAATTAACGGTATTGCTGACACCCTAATATAGGACTAAATCTGTTATGAAAAATATTCAATAGAAGTTAATTGCTTGTATTATTGGTAATTCCTTTATGGTTTTGAAAATGAATATTTGTGTTCTCAGCTTTGATTTGTTAAAAATTGAAATATTTATTTTCTGATAATTAAACCTTACCTTAAAATAATATATTTCATTTTAGAAGCAAATGTTCAAGAAATGAGCACGTAATTCACTCTGATCGTGTTCTGTCCTTTATAATTTACAATTGTGTGTAGGCTGTCTCTTTTATCTCATTGCGATTCATTCGTATTTAGCAGCGCGAAAGCTATTCAGTCAATAGCTCGTGAGTTGCCGTACTGGTCGGATCGTACGTATTCGACTCGACTCGACTCTAAGCTGATCGTATTGGTTTAGCTTTGCGCGAGTGAAACGTACGGGTGTCATCGAGCTTAACATTCTCAGATTTGGAAGTTCTTGAACGTGATGGGCCTGCTCTCAGAAGGCAATCCCCTCAGTTGGGAGGAAACGAAAAAATTGTCGGACCACGTGCGAAAACACGGAGTTATTCAATTTATTAACCTGTACAAAATACTTCGTGATCGACAGGGTGATGTACTTAAATGGGGGGATGAGGTATGATTTAATATGTTTTCTTTTGTTTTGTATTTTTTTGTTGTATTGAAACAGCTTTCTATTTCTAACCACTGTTCTGTGGATATATGAATTTTAAACTTGATTGTATAACTGGCTCTGTGACCATTTCGAGTAGTGTCAACTAAGAGTTACTAGATAATTTTGATTTGATGCATTTCTTTGGCTTCAAAGTTGCTGGATTTTATATTTTCGTTGAATAAGATTGTTTTTTTCTTTTAGGTGGAATATATTCTTGTCAAATTTGATGATGACAAGAAAACTGCGAAGGTCAGCTTGAGAGCAGAGGAAATTTTAGGTGTACTCAATGCAAAAGAACATGAAAATCCAACGTAAGATATTTTAATCCATATTTTACAGGTTAAGAATGTGTTGTATGAATAATCATTTACTTTAAAGTGGTGTAAAGTCACTTTGGAGACCAGAATTTGGTGCATACATGGTTGAAGGAACACCAGGAAAACCTTATGGTGGACTACTTGCTCATTTCAATGTTGTAGAAGCAAACATGAAATATAGAAGGCAAGAAGTCATAGAACTTCTTCATCCAGGAGAAGCACTTATGTCAATAACTAATTTTCCTAGGTACATTGTTGTTTTTCTGCTAAGCTTTAATATAAGTAAAATTGACATGTCGTCAATGGAAATAAATATTGTTATGAAAACAATTTTATAGATTGGGAGTTTTGGACTTTACCGATCCACCTACTAAACCAACACCAAATTCTGGTGCTACAAGAAGCTTATTTTTTCCTGACGAAGCTATTTACCAAGGACATCCACGTTTTAAATCATTGACCAGAAATATAAGACAGCGCAGAGGAGAAAAAGTAGCTGTAAACATTCCTAGTAAGTACGTGTAAAACATCACATTCTCTGCAGAATAGTATTCTAACTGAATGCATCAAAAAACAATAAATAATAAATTGTATATAATGGTGAACTTCTCATTACAGTTTACAAGGATGAAAATGTCCCACGGCCATTTAAAGAAGATTTATTTGCACTTGGTGATGATGGTTCCAGTACAAAAGCAGCAAAGGAAGATCATGTTTACATGGATGCAATGGGTTTGGGTATGGGTTGTTGCTGCTTACAAGTGACATTTCAAGCTTGTAATATACAGGAAGCAAGAACACTATATGATCAATTGGCACCTCTCTGTCCAATTATGGTAAGCCCATGACTGTCTTTCTAATAATTTTAATAAATCCTAAAACTATAAACCAGAATATCCGTTACAATATTCTTAATCCAGGATCTTTTTATTTCCTTTTCAACAGCTAGCTTTGACAGCAGCTAGTCCGTTTTTTCGTGGCTACGTGACGGATGTCGACTGTCGCTGGAACGTAATATCGGGTTTATCCGACTGTCGCACCGAAGAGGAACGTGGTTTAAAGCCGCTGAAGGAAAATAAGTTTCGAATCAATAAATCTCGATACGATTCTATTGATTCTTACCTGAGTGAACAAGGTGACAAGTACAATGATGTGCCATTGATTTATGACAAAGAGATATACAATCAATTGTTAGATAATGGAATCGACAGACTCCTCGCCCAACACGTCGCCCATTTATTCATCAGAGATTCGGTGTCTTTATTTTCTGAAAAAATTCATCAAAATGATTTGGAAGATACTGATCACTTTGAGGTGAGAAATCGCCTTGAAATTAGTATTTTGATTTCTATGAGTTTTCATAACAATTTTTCTTCACAACTTGGTGCATCCTAACTGTTTTAGAACATTCAATCAACCAATTGGCAAACAATGCGTTTCAAACCGCCACCGCCAAATTCATCGATTGGTTGGCGTGTCGAGTTCCGACCTTGTGAAGTTCAAATTACAGATTTCGAAAACGCTGCCATCGTCTGTTTTGTCGTTCTGGTCACCAGAGTCATACTCAGCTATAAATTGAATCTTCTCATACCAATCAGCAAGGTAGATGAGAACATGGCAAAAGCTCAGAAGAGAGATGCTCTAAAAGTTGAAAAATTCTGGTTTCGCAATGACATCACATCCGATGCGAAACAAGGCGATGGTGGTGAACCTGAATACACGGAATTCACTGTCAACGAGGTTATCAACGGGAAGGTACATATAGTAAAGAATACGAAAAAAGTTCTTTCCTCAAAAAGTATAAAAAATTATAATATTTGGAACTTTAGGATGGCGTATTTCCTGGCCTGATACCGCTAGTCAATTCGTACTTAGCCAGCATGGATGTTGATGCAGATACTCATTGTACTGTACAACGATATTTGAAGTTGATTCAGCGGCGAGCAGCTGGAGAATTATTAACAACTGCTGCCTGGTTGAGGAAAGAAGTGACCACTCATCCAGAATACAAGTAAGTTTTTAATTCATTGTTAAATTATGTAATCATTGCCATAGCGTTATTGTCGTCGAATTTACCTCATTTGAACCTTAGTGAAAACTGTGATTACTCTTTTAACAATATAGTCGGTTCACGAGTTCGACATGTTTTTATGACAGATCGAAAACAATAAAGTCTTTAGCAAGGTACACGTTTCACTGAATACAATATTTGTTATAAAATATGCATATAGAGAGTTTTGCATTAAATATATTTTATTTTTATAATTTAGTATATATTTACCTCATTTTGAGGAAAATCACGTGTAATTCGCTAAGAATTGCATTGCTTGCGAACTGACAAAAAAACATATTGAAACTGCGGATTAACTGTAGCTACGTCAAAGGTTGCGTTACCAAATTGTCTTTGGCACAGTGTTAGAACTTATAAAAATATTTTCAGATAATCTGAAATTTATTAAATATTTCTCATAAATTAATTTATTTCGCAAAAAATCTAGGAAGGACTCTATAATCACTGAGAGAATCAATTATGATCTCTTGAAGAAGATTCATAACATCGAAATTGGCGAACAATCCTGTCCTGATCTATTGGGACCGTGCACTACGTCCAAGACGACAGAGACGATACCAGCAGCTGTCGCCAAAGCAGAAAAATTATTAACACCTGATTGTTGATAAATGATATATCCGCCAGAGGCGCTTTAGTTCAATTGTCTATTCTTATCATTAATATGGTCATCGTTATTGATTACTCGAATTAATTTAATTATTTAACCGACTACCTTAACTACCGTATATTCTTTTTGAGTGCAAAGGTTACTTATCGTCGGGTTGCACTTATTGGTCACATCGATTATGTAGAATTTAATGTGGAGTTTAATATGTAGCATTGCGCATCGCAGGCACGTGTAAACATAAGATTTCATTACATTGCATCTAGACTCCGCCATTCTTGTATCATTACGAATATCACAATTCAATTTCCAATTTTCTAACTGATAGAGGATTAAAAAAAGAATGTGATGTAATATTTGATGCAAAAAGACAATGCTACTGTAATTTGTCTTCGTTATTCGCTTCCAATGGATATTAAATCGGAATCACTTTTTGTCATATTATTTGTTGTTTTCGTACGGGGAATATTATTTATATTATAGTATAAATTATCCTAATGTGGCAGCTGGTATTTCAAGCGAATGATGAGGTAATGGGAGACCTTCGTATTTTATTTATATTTGTTTCGCGCATCTTTTACTATATGGCATTTAAGAAATTTTCGAACAAATTTGGATATTGTGCGACGACTACAGGTTGTGGTACAACGATACATTGTACTTTTTGAGATTCTACCTAATATGATTTTGTATTGGAGTCCTAGAAGTTCAAAATAATGTGATAACGTTATATGGAACAAAACTTAAGTTTCCTTTTCATCTACTTTACGTTACGTATTCGGTAAATTTATTAGGATGCTTTAACTACAAAACTGTAAAACAATTGAATATTACTAATTTTGTTAAATTATCGTTACTTGTTAGAAAATCATCGTCATTTGCTGAAATTTTCTAACTGAGAATACACCGTGTAAATTTTATGTCAATATTGAAGATAGTATTTAGGTCATCAGAATTCTTGAATTGAATTATTTCATTATTATTTTAGTATGCAATGTTACAGATATAATGAACAAGTATTATTTCGCATATGTTAAATTGTAACGTCCGAACTGTAATTATTCCGAATGTTGTCCCTTTTATTTGATGCAACGTAACGTAAAAAGAAACCTAGTCATTCCACACGCAATTGGCAATAGATAGAAACGATTAATGTCCTTTCCCAAGAGAGGATGAGTGAGAACAGAACCATTGTGCAAACTGTGACTCCCTCGAAATTGGTTATTGTACTTTCTAGTGCCTGGTACGCACAGGGCGGTTGAAACGGATCGCGCGATAAAGGATGTATGTATATTTCCCGCAGAAGAGAACAATCTTCGACCTAATCTATCCTAAAGCGATTTAATTCTCAGATGCCTTGTCGTACTCTTTTATATACATGATTGTTATGTTTACGAATATTATTTTGTATTTAGATATAGAACACATGAGAACTTAAGAAATAATCCCAATAAACGTAAATATTTATAAACGCATTAGACGAAGTTTGTATTTTAGTGCGTTATAGTAGATAATTATTCTTATCCTCAGAAAATGATTAGAGCAAATTGAATCTGGTATGTACTGAAAAAGTGAGGTATGTGAAGAGTTTCGTGTAACTTGAGGTACTTGCATGCAGTAGTGAAATGCATAATTAATTTAGAGCAGTCAGTTTATTGAATTAATTTTTTACGGTACTCTTTTTAGTTAGTTATAATTTAAATTTACAGTTTTCTACAAATACATATATATGACTATACTGGTGCATGGCTAGGAATGTCCTTTCAATTTATACAATGATACGTAATCATTTATTATTCATCAATACACATCCATTGTAATAGTTCATATACATATTGAAGGGGGTTTCGCATTAAATTTTTTTCCAAGTTGGAAATGGCTCTGACAAATGCTTTGTATTTGTTTTTGGGAATAGTATTATACACATATTACTCTGCATGTCAAAGTAATATTTAGTTTTTGTCTCATGGTAGTATGTTTAATTTAATTAAAATAATTTTTTAATGTAGTGGTTGTGTATCTCTGTTAGTTCTGTAAGAAATATAAGTATTCCATAATACAGCAACTGATTGTACCACTAACACCTGATAGTGTAAAGGGACAAGAGCAAAATTTACTAGTTGAACCACTGGCCATAGCTGTAACAATGAAAGTTATATGGTTTAACAAACATTATACTACTAAAAATCATATTTTTTTTCTATTTACATCCTGCATTTGTAATTAGACAAAGAAGTAACATTTTTAATTACCTTATAATTATTTTTGAGTATATCAATATAATCGTTTTTCAATCTACTTTTAATATCTTCCATATTTCCTCCTTGTAAAGCACTAATGGTGCTTAATAAGATGACTATGAAACTTGGTGCAAAGAGAAGTTGATCACATGCAACTTTTTTCAAAGCCACTGTTCCACCTTTAGATCCAAAATGCCTGTCTAATATTCCATACCAGGTCCTAGTAGCAGGTCCCTAAAAAATAAAATATTTAATTTTCCATTAATAATAAGTTCCTAGTTTGATTTTAAATACAGCAAATTACTTGTTTAACGCATATGAAACTTACCCCGATGAAAAATCCAATACCAAAAAATTGAGCTGTACGGATAAAATCTAAATTTTCAAATTTTCTACGCTCAACAACATTTTGAGCAAGTTGATCTCCTAAGCCCATCAAAGTTCCTAAACACATTTTATTTTAATAAATGAATCAATTATCAATAACCAGTCAAATATGCTATGTAACGTAGCACTGTGCTTCATTTATTTACCAGCTTGAATGGCTTGCATCCCAAGTGGAAATTTCTTTAACAAATTTTGATACCCTCTGAACATGACACTCATATTTCCAAAAAATAATTAATGCAGGACCAGCGGTTAACCTCACTTATATACATGGACTTAGATAAAATGTAGGTTAGACGTTTTAGCAATATTCACATTTCATATTGATTATATGACACTAACAGTTGTTACTAATAAGACGAATAGTTTGCAAAATCTGTAATACAGATTTAGGCGTTTAGTCCAAGTTTGAAACATTTAAATATTATTCAGCTATTGGAATTATATTTGTACTTATTGAACAACCCCATTCAAACACGTTACCAACGCATCACTTTGGAAAGAATCCGGAATTGGCTATCGCCTCAAAACGTAAGTTACGTTCTGCTACTCTACCGGCTGTTAGTATAAAAAACAGATGTTTTAATGTTTCTATAAGATTGAACGTAGAACAAACTGTTCAATACTTTTAAAAAGAAATAAATAATACTAAATAGCAAATACAATTTACAAGTCAGTATAAACATAGCATTGTTAGATAATGTGAATTATATGGTATATTTTTCTAGAACGGGTGACCAAATCTCGAATGTTCTATTTATATAGATAAATGTATTTGATTATGACATACAATGACGTTAATTAAAATATTATAGGTATAACAGGATAGGTTTGATTATTCACCGTTTATTATAGTTTATATAACATGTACATGATCGGAAATATGTACTTGTTTAACTGTTATTCCTACTTACCTTCATTCTAAGAATTTCACCTATTACATAATACATAACACATGTTAAGTAATAATCATCAGTGCCAACATTTGCATAGCAAAACATCGGACAAATCCTTGTTGTAACAATGGCTAATACATGCAGATTACAGATAAAGATGTAGAGATGAGACGAAGAAAATATAATAGTTATTCTAACAATAAAATGGCCACAGACCAGATTATCTAACTCGATAGAGCTCCATCGATCATTTTGATCATGAATCTATGGTTGCGATCAATGATTTTGAAAAATCAAGCCATAAACTATGGGATAGTATTTCTAACCATATTTCTTAGCATTAATTTCCAGCGTTGACACCGTCACTCCCGATACCGTCTGCCCGTACTTTACCCATGTTAGAGTGTAAGTGTAAAAACATGTCAAATTAAAAAAATAAATAGTTAGTTAATATATTTATTTAAAAATTGTGCTACATATTAATTCTAAAAAATTTTCAAAGAATTATCATAGCTCACATCAATCGATCAACTGACGAATCGCAAAATTTTGGGAAATGGTTTCACCAATTATCAAGTCAACCATTCAAAGAAGACGTAGCTTGATAAGATAAGATAATAAAGTAGACTTTAACCAGGTAAAGATATCATACACGAATCATTTTATACTTCCCAGTTTCGTTAACCGTACACAGTCGTCATAATGCCACGTAAGTATTTCGTTAATTTTGAAATATGTTTTCAATATCTTCAACTGCCACTGTTAACTGCCAACTGTCTTTCGCTTCACCAAAGTCTGACAGTTCCTCCATATCCCGAATATTCTTGTCAGATTAGTAAGGAAAAATATAATAATTCTCGTACAAAGAAGTCTAAGTAAAATGTAATACCGAACTAATAATTCAACGCATAATGAGGTGCTGTGTTAAAAAAAGCAGTAGATGAAAATTGAAATCCTTGAGAAGTCAATCAAGCCGTATTTTAATTGCTGGCATTTAATGGGTCACGATTTTTTCCTTCTTATGCCTCAAAGTCACCTTATACAAACGTATCCCGATAAGAGACGTGTTATTGAGGTAATATGGTCTACTTCTTATTTCGTTGATTTAATTCGTATCTAAAATGAACATGTAAATGTCAGAACGAAATTAAAGAATAATTATAAGACAATTATATTATTTCAATTAAAATTCACTACCTTCGAACTAAGTATTACATATGCAAATCACGGATCTGCGAAAAAAAAGAAAGTTGTGCCAGCAAAGGCTTCTAAGAAAACCTCGAGACTTCAATTCGCACGTCAGTGTACTTGAAATAAATAGTTATTTTGTAATCCCCCGAAAGATAATAAAAAAATGGTTACATTATCTTCACTTGATCCATCCGGGATATAATAAAACAGAGTAAAAGAACTCAGGCTATTTTTTGCACTTAATGCGCAAATGGAACTTTAGTTATGAAACCTTCATATATCTATATATGGTATTACAAAAGTAGGTACCAACAGCACTTTTGAATTCTTCTACGTACTTGAATTGGAAAATACGTATCCTGTTATTTTTAATTTGTAAGGTCAAATTTTGAGGATTATGAATGATATATAACAATAAGACAATGTAAATCCACGTTTCACAAGAAATTTGCATATGTGTGGCAACAAATATTGATATTTACATATTTTTCCATCTCTTTGTCTTGCATGTACCAAATTTTTTGTAAGAACTGCAAATAATCCGATTAACAATGATGATGAGCGTAGTTCAAAACACAATTCAAAAATTGACACAAGATAAAAAATTTCTGAAAAAATTGCCCTTATTTATTTCGTAAATTCGATCCGATTGCTTTTCACTGTCTTTCTGCAATTCGATAATAAATATAGAACGGAATATTGCAAGACGATAATTTTTTATCGAAGAGATTTATATAAGTTATTAATCCTTTTATATCAAAGTATTCAACTAAGATAGTCTCGGGTAGCAAAATAATGTTTTTAGAAAGTATGAATATTCTCTGCGTATGCTCAGCATATACTATAATCTATTGGTCCAGATAGCGTATGATATTCTTAGAATATCTTAATTTCGTCCTCAAAATTCGAAATAGGTACTCAATATTATCAGTTCTAAATGAATGATTAGTACCTTCTGAGAATATCCAAATTTCATAATCATGCTGTCTGGCTAACATATAGGATCAGAGTAAAGAAATATTTTCGTAGAGGAAACAATTTTTTATGATGGAAAGGTTTCGAGAAAAAGTTGTTCATCAGTCAAAAAATTATTTTAAAAATAATTTCATGGAATACATCAACCATAACTGTTTGTTATTATCGTTAAACAATTTTTTCGTTCACCCCAACAGCTTATAGATGGGTCCAACCAAGTCCACATCGTTCATTTCCTGACATGGCTGTACGCGGTGGTCGTGACCAAGATGGCAGTCCAATATTCGTTGGCAGAGCATTTCACGAAGGGGATATGATACCTGCCAAAGTTATTCCAGATAAATGTGTCGCTTATGTCGCCTATAACGGAGAAGAGCATGCGAAAGATGATTATGAGGTAAAGTTCGAGTATTTCATGTGAAACTAGCAAAATTGCATTATACTTTTTTCATACACTTCATACGAGTAAATTATCCACACAGAATGTACGAAGACAATTAGGAATTTTTTAAGAAAGTTAATTTTTCATTTCCTATATGACAAATTCCAACAGTAAATTGATTTTACAGATTTTATGTTACGGTGATTTTGCCTGGGAATTCTCAAGTAATGGTTCAATTCCACCAGGCGCTTTGGTGGCTGGACAAACAAGTGAGGGTGAACCATTATTCGTAGGACGGGTACTTCATAATGGTTCACAGACGATTGGCAAGGTATAATATAAAGTATTATAGAACACTCAATGATATGGATTAATAGATTTGTGCATAATTTTATTTGAATTTCATACCATAATTTATTTGCAGATCCAGGCCAGTCATGGATGTCTTTATATTCCATTCGACGGCGAGGAACTCTCCTTCACAGACTACGAGGTGCTCGTCGCTCATTAAAGCCTCATTTGATAAAAATATTTGATAAACTACGGTGATCGCTCTGCTAGTTAATACTCTCTGAATGGTCTTCAGGAATTAATGGTCGTGTAAATTATAATAACCCAGATACACAAAAAAGCGTTAGTAAAGAGAGGGCAGTAAGTGTGAGATGAAATATCGATAATTTTAAACAAAAAATGTCACCGAAGATCCATTTTCATATTTAAATTTTATTTGGATATTTACTCCTTGATACATCCACACTTTTTTTCCCATACTATTTTTTTTAAAAGATTGTTTAAGTCATTCATTGTTCTTGATGATTATGCAAATGTAACAATGTATATTCACATATGTGTATTGTGTCACATAGATTTTTAACGCTGCATAAGACATAAATTAAATTACATTATGTTGCAAATGTTAAGTACTGTTAATTGTACCTACTGCTAATCACTTTTAATGATAAATAATTTTAATCAAAGTAACATTTATTATCTCAATTTATCGCTTTTACGTATACTTATATACTTACATAAATACCGAGCCGTTATTCGTCTTATTATCTGATAGAAGTTTTAATGCAAAAAGTACTAATGGCAAAGTTTGCCTAACATTGGTGCTTTTGTAATGACATAGATATGAACATAGATTTTTGGTAGACTCAGTATTTTTTTTATATTGAGTGATAATATAAAAAATGTATTAGAATTGACTGAAGCAGTATCACGGATATACCTATACATATGTATATACATTAATAAAGTATAGTTTGGGGACAGTTTGAGTAATACAGCCGCTAGTTTGAGAACAATTGTATAGTTTCGGGTCGGACCTCAAAGTTTTTTCAACATAATGTATGTTTTGAGGCCCATAAAGCGACTGCCACACCAAATTTTTTTTTTTTTAATGCTAGACATCCGGAGTTGTGATGAGCTTAGAAAGTGTTTCGTTAGGTTAGGTTAGGTTAAAATTTCAATGCTGTGGTGCGTGAGGGTATTAGCTAAAAAAAACGTTAGCTTGCTATTGTGAATGCCCCTTAATCGCCTGGGTCTTCAAACTATACTTGTTACATGATTATATATATGAGTAATGTATAAATCGTACTTCAGTGTTATTAACAAGTTCTAAAAACCAGTCGATATGTAATCGTGATTATCAAGAGATTTGTAAAGCCACATTATGAAAACACATTTACTTATTTTCTTAACGATAACTCAACTTGGTTTCGGTGAAATGATAAAATTGAAAAAGGTTCCGTTATATTAAGTTAATCGTCTTGCTATATGCTAGTGAATGCACTTGATTGATTAAACATAACAAAATAAAAACGACTTTTATCTTATAATAGCGATTAAAACCAATGAATTTAATTATCGACATATTATAAGAGTAACATAAATTGACTTTCTTAACTGCTATCGATATATTGTAATTATTTGACTCCGGTGGTAGTTACTGGGTAAAAAGATTTGGCAGCACCCTCACTTTGGCAAACCTCACCCTGCATACTTACCGTCTTCTAAGTGAACTTGGAGTTTGCACGTGAAACATTCCTAATATACAGCTCAACATGTAAAAGAAATACTTCTCTAGGGTAGGTATAAAAACCTCCTGTAAGAATCCCATAAAACGCTTAAACATGTCCAGTGGGTTTTACCCAGGACGTCCGGAGTCTCATGAACATGCGGACATTTGCACCTCCTCAGGATATCCAGAGGAAGGCCCGGGACCTTATAAGAACCTTATAAGACCTTTCTGTTAGGACGTCCTTGTGCTATCTGGGAATATTGAATTATGAAAACATTTTGCATATGCGCTTAGAAATAAAAAAATAAACAAGAAATTCTGACTCTAGAATTAAAATTTAATAGTGGGTTCGAAGCACTCGAATTAAGGTTATGATAGACGTGAATCTATATACTTATAGGCTATAAGGTTATAATCGTCTGGAATATTGTAATCGTGAAATATTCAATAAATTCAACGACTGATGATTTGCGCACAAGCGAGGTACACAATTTAGAAAGCATCCGATCTCAGCGAACACGACTTGAGCCCGCTATAGCTTGTAGCTGATACGCGGTGTTGCCGTATGTTCTCCCCGTTCATTTCAGCAAAGGCTACCTCTGTCTGTTATTTTTTTATTCTCTTTAGATCAACATTCTCTTTTTTTAACACGTTAAAATTCGCAATCGGTTTCTGCATACAAATCATATTTTTCTATCGCTGTAAAGTGGAATTTCAGGCATTGAATTGAACGACCAGCGGACTTTTATAAGGCGGATAACTACCCAAAATTTCGAGAGATAAAAAACTATGTTCCAAGTATCGATTGAAAAAAATCAAATTTTAATGTTGAAATTCATATCAACGAGACGATTACCTTAAAGAATTTGTAATCATTGTTAATTAAAAAATAACCTCATGCGATAATCACATTTTCGGAACGATGGCTCAGTTTGCGACATTCCATTTGTGCCAACGTAAAATGCTCCCATGCAATTTGTATTATGACACCGTTTAAATATGTCAACATCGATAACGATAACGAGGAAAATGATAAGCTGATATAGAGTTACGGTTAAAAGCTTATCTCATAACAGGTATAAGTTCTTGGTGTGAAACGAATTGGTTTATAGACGTTATAACTATGGCAGGTGAGTGTCGAACAATTGATTTTAATCGATACTTTAATTTTGTTTCACTAAGAATTTATACCTTATTTTTTGCATTGGGGATTCCTATAATTTCCAAAATTTATTACATCGAATTGCAATTTTACCAAAATTCCAAACAGATGATTTCTCAAATTAGTAGTTTTTTTTTTTTAAGAATCTGGATTATTGTACATTCAGGTAGTCCATTCGCAGCACCTAGTCAAATAGCAGTCCATCATCAAATCATTGAAAATAAAGATATTGTAAGATCCCAATAATTTTAACAATATAAAATATAATTTTACATGCACGATCTAATTATATTTAATTATTTACTAAATTGAAAAATATCACGACCAGCAATTTGGTTGGACTAGATTTTTTCGTTCAAGTCGCCCTTTTGACTACATACATAAGACAGAATTCAAATGCCATGGGATCCATTACTTATTTAACTTCAGATATCACAGCAAAATATTCGGTAAGCGCTTCTTTTTGAGGTATCTAAGAAATCTGGAAACTAGAGAATATTTTAGGACACTGGTTAGGTATACATCTAATCGCTAAGTTTATACATATATTATCCATTGATAGCTAGCGCTGTCATGGCGATTTTCCCATAAGAGACTACGTAATAACTCTTGACTCTTATTATAATTTATTTCTCGTAAAGTGCTGTTAACCTCACTTACATTTTCGTACATTTACCCTTATTACTGTAGTTTCAACATATATCTAATTAAGGTACCAATCTAATACCCATTCACATGAAAAGACTATCTTAAATGTTTCTATAAGGTAGTGGATCCATTGGTGGACACTATTTCAGTCGAAAAAACCCTTACAGAGAAACGATGTATGTAAGAGAGACGAAAATATGATTTCTTAAATCTAAGGTTGTTAAAAATTTAATAAAATCTGGAGCACTAATTATAAGTGATATTTTTCTTCTTCTTCTTTGCCATTGGTGGTTTTATTTTTCCGTGGAGAACCAAGTGCCAGACTGTGATGTTAAAATCCTTGTTGTTGAAAAGGCATTACGTATACTCAAGTAATAATAATTAATAAAAGCGATTAAAGTAAAATTATGATAAAAATTGTAGTGAAACATTTTTTAATTATTTGATGCAACAAAAATGTAATAATATTCAAGTATTAATTTTTTCTATTTTATTATTTACATAGAACTCAAGTGGGTACATGGAAGATCATTATACATACCGGACGGTGCAGTACGAGGTGGAACTGACATTGACGGTACTGAAATTTTTGTTGGCCGAGCAAATCATGAGGGTGAAATGATTCCAGCCAAGGTCATCCCCTCTAAGGACGTTGCATATGTCTGTTGGGGTGGCGACGAGCATGCAAAACGCGACTACGAGGTAATGCGACTGAAAGTAACAAAAAATTTTAAAAAATAAATTACATTGACTTCGTAAAGCGTCATAAAACTATTTATCTGTATAATTTTTTTGATTCTCAGATTTTATGCCAAAAAGTATTTCGTTGGATACCTTCGAACGACGGTCATATTCCTGAGAATGCAGTAAGTACTGGCTACACCCCCGATGGAGAACCCCTCTACGTAGGTCGGACGTTTCACGAAGGAAGTCTCACTGTTGGCAAGGTACTACGTAATTTTTATTTAAAAAAAATTATCATCGCGAACGGCAATTGACATCAAAATTTTTCCATTTAATCTATTTCTAAGAAACTCTGCATCGTCGATTTCAGTTTAAAAGGTGGATTATTGATGTTTGTCAGATTGTTACGTACTGATAAATGGGTTATCTTAAGATTATCTTAAAAATACACGATAGAAAAAATTATTATATTATTATCGCACAGAAAGAGAATTCCTGTAAATATGATTTATACTTCACTGTAAATTTTTTACCAAAGCAAATATTGAGAATTAGGTTATTTTTTGTGATTATAATAATTCTTACGTGTACAGATACTGATTATGCATAACCTATAACTCGCGACGTGAAACGATAGACATAACTCGTGTCGTACGTTATGTCAGTACAGAACCGAGATATCTAATAATAAGAATAATAAAACGCACAACACGAACTGAAACCTATGAAGAAATGCTGTCTTGTGAAAAATATGGCATTTTTTAACCTAATAACTTTCACATATTGTTTCCAAGTCATTGGACGTAGAGTCTCTAAGTTAATTATTTTTGAGAGACAGTGATTTCAAGTAGTGCTCAAACGTAATATATCCCGCGGTACTATTCATAAGAGAATACCATGAAACGTGACGAGTGAAGTTTGTAAAGGGAAAAGATCAGCTGATTGCGTCCTCGACCGAGACATTTTTCTATCAATCCTCTTTATCTCTGTACGCTTATAAAACATACACCACGTGCCCGTTACGTTAGCGAAGGACTACTAGAAAGTTGTTATGACTTTCTACGCAGCAAAACAAACTGACACGTATTTGTTAACGCGTGTGGTTGTCATTCTGGTTGTAGGTACAATCGAGCCACAGCTGCCTGTACATTCCATTCGATGGTAAAGAAGTGTCGTACAACGAATACGAAGTTTTGATTCTTGACTAAGAATAAAAATAACACAATTCTAAATAACAATCGTATTAATCAAATTTGTAACGAAAAATAAATAATCACTGAAATTTATATGAAAATTCATTATCCTTGTTATTGCGTTAACAAAGAACAACAGATCTATGTAAATTATGTGAATAGCCGCGATCGCAGGTTTATAAACAAGTGGGGCTTATTAATTAATACAATATTGTTCAGTAATTCCATTACGATCAATTAACTACATGTCGTATCACTCTGTTGGATCGAAATTAAAAAGCCACTTGTTACAGGCACAGAGAATGCAGAAATGTCCGTAATTATTTGTATATTTATGTAAAGGTGTACATGGCTATAGCTATTCGATGCGGTAACGCTGTATCAACGTAAATTACGGATTTAATGAGGAGTGCACAAAGAACCACTATTACGCAATCGGCTCTGTGGATAACAGCGAAAATTGTTTGTAAAGGGAAAGAATTTCGTGAAAAATCATTTCGACGTGAGAATGATACTCGTCGAAAAATATCATTGAGACATAGTGGGAATCTGCGGCTAATGACTTGAACGAATTTGTAGGTTAGGAAATTATTTAAAAAACATTGATTTGAATAGAGAATAAATTTGTACGCGAAATCTATATTCATATGCATATACTACTTATATGTACGATGTTAGCTTGTAGGGAGGAAGGTTTTTTTTTCTTTTATCTTTTTTCTTTACATAATATATTGTACGTATATATTCGACAAATTCCGACTTATACTAGGGAAATCGGATCAACTTTGCGAAAGTTTACTAAGTATTTTAATTTAAAACGGAATGAACAAAAACAAAATTAGGCAGCTGATCCCATGGTAATTTCACAGGTTAAGAAGTACTTTATTCTAATTGGACATTGTTTCCTAATCGAAGGTTATTTCTGAACCATGTCGATTGGATTCAGACTTTTTGTTGTTAAAGGAATAACAAGGAGTACCAGCATCATTGATATTATTAAATACAAAAGAAAAGAATTGTCCTACAGCTTTCCATTTTTATGACTTTATTAGACATTGATTATCTAAAACAATAGTACACACAGGTACAAGAAACAATCATTAATAATTGCAGCGTAATAGGTGCAAATTACATTGTTTTTGTAGAGCAAAAATGAATGAGCACTTTTACTTTCCCATTTTTTTTATTTCTCACCTATTCTTGTCAATAGTTAATGACCTGAACAAGTTCGATACGAATGATCATTTAGTTTATTAACAGCTGAAAAGGAAATTTAATGATAATAGTTTTTCATTCATCCTAAGGAAACAAGGTGCGTGACTCGTTCTCGTTAAAGCCGAAAATTTGTTATACGCATTCTTGCAGGATATCGTTTAAAGGTATACACGTGAAGTTCTGAAAAAAATACATTTTTTTTCACTCATTATTTACGCATCCTATTAATTAAAGATGATTATCAGAAACAGGTTTTTAATTATATTCGTACATATGACATATAACCGGATGAGATGCGCCTAGTGGTAAGATATGCCTAAAATAACCATATTCAAAAATCTATTACAATAATTGTATTATATAATCAAAGAAAAATTGTAAACAAATACATATAATCATTATATCGTGTACTGGAGAATTCGACTTATAACACAAGCTGCGTATATTTTGGGTTCAGCTTTTTTTTTCGTTTTCATCAGTGCGCAAATTCGTGAATGGATTTTTATGGTTGAACGATGATCTATACAAATGATTATTCATCTGGCAGAAAGGTTTTCATACTTTTTCGAATATTTTTTTAGTAAAAAAAAAGTCAGTCTTGCTGATATTTTTGTGGGAACCGATGAATATGCATGATCTGTTTTTAGTGTTATTCGTGGCATTGAGACGGCAGATTCTTTATCTCTTAAACGTACAGAAAGTCCGTTGATCAATTGTAACATTGACATCTATTTATAGTCGACAATTTAAGAGAGGTTGGTTGGTAATTCGTAGTTACGATTTAAAAGAGATTTTAACGATCGGCAATGAATCGCTGTTCTCAATAATCCATTCCAAGTGCAAAAACGTTAATTCATCTTATATTTCGCATAAAAATCAGATAAACAGAAAGTCATCGTAGAACACGTAATGTAATTGAGGCGAAAAATTTTGTTTAGAGTCCCTTGGGACAACAAAATGGTCGTTAATTTTTTGTTTGCAAAATTATCAAATAATCTTGTTTTCGTGCAGACAATAATGCCAACTTTACAGTCACAATGCCACCCGACGATAACTTCAGTACTACCAACCGCGTCCTGCATTATGTCGAAACCTCAAAACAACTTGACGAGTACATTGTCATACTGACGATGATTTTACAAGCATTACTCACTTAAGCGCATCATACCTTTCGAGCGGGGGCCAGTTTAAAGCAGTGATAGATAGCGAGATGGTCGGCCATTTTTATTACGTCATGAAGAACAAGGGGAAATGTATAGAAAAAATGATATTATTTTTAATGAATTTGATTCTCCCTAACCAACTGAATATACCGATGAAACGAATTGTATAACTAAATTGTATTTTTGAAATTCGGTTTTTAATCGTCTGAAATATCTTCTTTAGTCAAATTATTAATTATACAATTATTTTGTGATGCATGTAATACCCTTCCATGTGAAATAGTTTTTTCAACATATATATATATATATACCCAGGAAAATGAAAATGAATGATTAGTAGATAATTTCAACTGTATAAATCTTACATTAAAAAACTTCAAGAATTATTCAAATATTATACTAAGGATATATATAAATGTCATGGCTACCATTGCATGTCAAGTTCATCCAGTCTAGTACTTTCAAGGTTCAACTATTCCTTAATGATGATATATACATGAACATAACCTTAATCAGTTTTGTGGGTCAAGTTAGCCCATATATTTATATAGAACGAACCTAAGTTAATGCAAAAACACGTATGTAGAATTCTCTTAAATTTTGCATAGTGGATGTAGCCGTCGATGCTTAGGCGGCATGTGTAAATAAATTGAAAAACAGAAAGTTGCATTGTGAAAGTATGTGCGATGGAAGTGAAATAAAAAAGAAAATAAATAATGCAATTGATTTTAATAATCGTATAATGTGATAGTTGGTAATTGCCTGCGTCGATATCATTCGACTCTTGCTCCTCACTTACAGAATAAAAAGAAATCGAATTGCGCTGCCATTCACGACGTGGCTAAGTATCAAATATTCCCAGGCACTTTAAGCGTACCTTGACGAACGGTTTTGGATAATCGGTTGATAGCAACGACAGTGAAAAAAATAATCGTCATCAACGAGTCCTCGTTCCTCAATTCCTCTATTGTCTTCAATTTCTTTCTAATGCATGATAACGGGACTATTAGTCATAATGGGACAGTGTGCAGTTTGCTTAGAGGCCAAATGAGGTTTAAGTTCATGCATTACCTCATGAATCATTGCCCACCCATATCTTTATCTTATTATTTGTGTATAAGGATATAAGGCAACCGTAATTCCCAATAGTAAGAGTGGAATATCGGAACTGAAATTCTACGATTGAAAGAAAGTGTCGTCTATCCTCCGAAGTTATCTTTGTTTGTCCTGAATCGCTCTCAAAGACAGATTATTCTTACAATAATACTCGTTGTCGCAAATGGGTGTATCGCTAAAACAATTGCAAAGGTCATCAATCAGTACCTATCCGTAATGAGATGATATTCAACTGATTTATTGAAAAAATGTTGTTACCATATTAATATTACGCAATAGAGAATTTCATAAGTCAAAGCAATTACAGAAATATTTTAACTAGCGGTTTTGAACTTTAGAGACAATATAAAGAAAAGAAATCTAGTAATTGAACCCACCTTGAAGAAAACAGCCCCTAATGAAAAACTGAAAACTTCTAAAACTGATCATAGCAACATCAGAAATGCTGGTCGACGTAGAAAGCTCAACTGAACCCACAAGGCAATGTACATACGAATTACATAGGTCACTAACAAATGCAGGGATAGTGTCGTGACTATGGTAGAAGAAGAACGCCTGGTACATACATAGGTAGTGACCTAAGGTGGGGAGGTAGAGGTGGAATATCTAGTAGAAAGGAGTGGAGAAATAGTAGAATCTAGAGAGTGGTGGTCGTAGTAGGGATGATGTTGGTGGAAATAATGATGATAATGTTGGTAGTAATGGTGACGATGGTGGTGGTGCATAATGGTACAGTACTGGAGGGGGTGGCAGAATTCGAAGGAGCCAATGGTGGGAGGTACAGATGTACCACAAAGCATAACACGAAACTGTCGAGTTGAAGTCAGACTCTCGCGGACGAGTATATTGTGCATACCCAGGGTGCAGTTACCGGCAGTGTCAATTGGTTCATCAGATCCTTGACACGCCGAGAAAGATCTTCAGATTTTAAATAGAGTATTCGTATACAGTGAGTGTCTTGCACGTGGTACGCTGAAGACGGGGTCACCAGGTACCTGGTAGAGCAACTGCAGAGATCAACCGTATGAAATCGTACTTAGGCAGGAGTTGATCGTTGAGAATCCCTCGTGTCCAGGTAGCGTCAAGTCGAGCCGGGATGACTGACTCGATAGCGACGACACCTGGTGTCATGGAAGGAAACGAGAAAAAGAGTCCAGGTGATTGCAATCAGACGACACCTTCGACCGAGGTCGGTGACGGCGGCGACATCAGCTGGAAGTCAATGAGCGCCAGGCAGAAGTGGACCTTCCTGACTAGCAACATCACCGTGGAACCCATGGTAGCCTGTTATATAATGCCTAGCGTCCTCGCGTCCTTGGCCACCCAAAATCTGAACCTGGAGAAGGCCTGCCGCGTCAACTTGGCCTACTCCGACGAAGTATGCAGCGCTTTGACGGCGAGGAACACGACCGGTTTTGAACACGAAGAGACAGCGGTGCAGCAACTGGTAGCAGGAATGCAGACCTGGAAGACCGCGCTCCAGAGTGCCCTGCCTACGATTCTGATCCTCTTCATGGGCGCCTGGAGCGATCGCACGGGATTGAGAAAACCTTGTATGCTTCTACCCATCGTCGGCGAGTTCCTAACTAGCATAAGTCTTATAGCGTGCACCTACTGGTTCTATGAACTTCCTATGGAAGCCGCAGGCGTATCAGAAGCGCTCTGGCCTGCGCTCACTGGAGGATGGTTTACAATGTTTATGGCCATTTTCAGTTACATAGGGGATATCACTACTGTGGAATCCAGAACCCTCAGGATTGGCGCTGTTAATGTCTTCCTGTCAATTGGAGTACCAATTGGAATGGCCCTATCTGGAATTCTTTACTTGAAACTTGGCTTCTATGGGGTCTTTGCCATATCAACTGTGTGCTACGTACTCAGTTTCATTTACGGACTTGTCGTTATCAAGGAACCGCCCCGACCACCTGTGCAACAGGTTGACAAACAGGAACAAAGAAAAATGTCTCCCTGTGCTTCCGTTCTTGACTTTTTTTCACTGAGACACATCTCCGAGACTTTTCGTGTTGCGTTCAAAAAGGGTGAAAGAAATCGACAGAAGCGCGTTTTAGTGCTCATGGTCATCGTCATGGTCGTCATTGGTCCCTTGTATGGTGAGTGATTTTTATATTTATATCTTTACTATATTTAGATTACTCTAAAGATCTCTGGTGGCATAATGTTGTTTCTCGGTTACGCAATTTTATATAGGTACCAACGTTATTATTCCTACGCGAATTTTTATTTACTAAAAAATTTTCGGTTGATCCTTTATGTCATATATTTCTCCTACTGGTATGACATTCAATTATTACAAGATTTATTTAATCGAGCTTAAACAGATACACAGCCCATTCCTTAAATATTTAACAGTAGCCCAATAATACTTATCCTTGTCTATTTCAATATTAATCAATTCGTTTTTTTTTTGTATTTGCACATTAGATCGTTATCGAATAGTATTTTTGTTTTATCAAGGAACAAAATACAGACTGCAATTCAACATGCAATTCAACAAAATAAAATTTATCTTTATTTTTTTACCGAATAGTTGTACCACATTTATGAAATTCCTACACCCCTACGTCAAATAGTTTCCAAACAATTGATTCCTTGAAACGGAAAGGTTAAGAAATACCATAAAAATTAAACACGTCGATAAGGGTAAATAATAATAACAATACTGAAATCCGAGACTACAGTGTTGCGTCAATCAATAGTCAAATCAGTTTTTCAATTTTGGTCCAACTGTTTTTTTTTTGTTTGATTACATAAGACCAGTGGTACCTCGATCGTAGTAGTTACTGAACCGATTATGGCATTCTAGTATCATAATGTTCAATAGCTCGTGTTAAACATTCTGCGACTTCGTTTAAAAGTCTATTCGAATAAGCTGTTCAACATTTTTTATTGTCACGTATGACCAACGAGTGTCTGCTAGGGTTTTTAAAATCTGTTATTATCAATACAACCACAATAAGTATTGGATCTGTTGGCAGTCAATTTAGTTAATAAAAATATAAAAATATAAAATATAAAAATATAAAAATAAGTACAAACATAAAATTGAGAACACGTATAACAGTTGACGCACGTGCCTTAACGAAAGTAGGAACAATTACTGGAAAACATTTGTTTCCACATAAACTAGTTACTTGAAAATTAAAAAAAAAACACCGAATACATTTTTTAGAAATTTTGCATGTGACACCAATTTTTAAGTTTTAGCCTTGACAAAAATTGCCTGCCACTCTATTCAATACTATCACTCTCGTGCAGAATTGCAGCTCAACTGTGTTTATCACGAATTCAATCGTTTACGCATTGTTTTACGTCCAATCATGAACGTACATGCAACAATGGTAGTTTTAGATAATGCAGTATGATTTATCACTGATGTTCACATACAAAATACAAGGTCGGAATGCTGTTGGAAATACTAATTGTTTTTAAGAGTTTTTAAATAAAAAAAAAACTTGTTTAAATAAACGTTTTGTCGAAATGTTTACTCCTGATTGAGAATAGGGAGGACTAGATGACTATCAAAACAACAGCACGTGGTCACGATCTGAATCAATTTTGACAAGAGTATTGAGTATTCTGTAAATGAAAATGGAAAATGTTGGGAAATTATTTATCGTAGAGAACCTTGTATAAGCATCAAATGATAATGACGGCGAATATCGTAAAACGTAAAGATTATATTTTCATTTATAGCATTGCTTACTCGACGTTCTTTATATCGGACGGTTTACGTTGTACCGTGAGATAGGTGACATAAAGTTATGCATAATATTTTGAATTCTTAAGAAAATTCCATTCCCTTGTGCAAACCGTGATGTCATATATGACATATACATATACCTGTATGTATACAAATGAATTTACGTTCGCATGCACCGGTGCATTGTTGCACTGGTACGGTGTGGGCTTGAATTTGAGGTGGGAAAAATGAAAGAAACAAATGAACATAATTACCTTTCGTCGATAATTTTTTCATTATCACTTTCAACATTCATACATTCCAAAATGATTTTTTAATGTATTCTACTGATAGACTCGGTGTCATTTTGATAATGACACTGCTGCACCATACGCAATTACATATGCACAGGACATATTGGGGCTTATATACAGATTTATTTGCGACAAATGCACCACCTGAAGTTAGTCTGTACATTTGATTTCTATGGTAAAACCACCTTCAGGTGGTACGCTTATGGTAAATAACCGTATATATTAATTTGGCGTCGGGCTATTTTGGAGACGATTTCACTTACGTATTGGCTACTTCCAGGACACGTGGCTGTTTTGAGGACCATAAAGCGGTGTGACACGCAGCATCGCCTCAAAGTAGCCTCATACGTAAGGGAAATCGTCTCGAAGATAGTTGAACGCCGAATTTGTACACGCAGATCCATAAATTAAATAGTTCCTATTATATCTATAGGTTCAGGGGGAAAAAAAATGTTAATTAAAAGGGAAAGTATCGAGAAAAAATGAAGTAAAATAAATCAATACTGATCGGGTAAAAAAGAAATGAGAAATTTAATAGCTGGATACTGTGTACGATACATAAAGTGCTATTGTTATTATTAAATTGCAAATATCCAGTGAAAGTTCCTAGCACTGCATGTATGTCGGCAGGAAAAGTATTTATATATGACACACGTGAAAATCACAGATACACGTCGTCCGTTCAGTATGTATAATATGCAAATGTACAGTCGGCATTAGCGATTGGTTAACGTTAACGTTAATGCCGGCATTAATGTAATTTCAGATCTTTGAGCACGCATTGTAGATCACCTTTGCGTAACGTTGTTAAAGAAAGGCAAGATTTTCAATTGGCAATCGGTATAGTATTACTAGACTGGGATCATTCCAATAACCTGTAGCGCTGTAAGTAATTAATTAGGTATTATCAAAATCAGATTTGAATTTTTGTATTTCGATATTGATTGACTAAAAATTTGTCGTATTTGAATATTGGAAATAAAAAATTTGGAAATTACATATTTTCATCGAATTACCTATACGTGTATAAAATGTATACGGCTTTGTTTTCAATTACATCACGAGTAGTTGTGAAAAATGGCTAAAGCGAAGGAGAGCGCAGCTGAAATTATGTATCATTAACTTAAACGTATAATAATGATGGTATCTATAATTGGGATAGCTATTTGCAGTTTTGCGAAAACTTACGCGTTTTATGAAGGAAAATTGACGCCGTTTCGTTAGGAAGTTCTGTAAGTTTACGCACATGCACTAATCTCGGTACCAATGCCAGTACAGTTATTAGAGGAGCTCTTGTTCCTTGAAAATAATGGATATTTCGAAGATTGCGAGCATAAAAGGAAAAGACAATAGAACCGGTGATAGTTGGTAGTGGTTTAATAATAGTTGACGCAGTAGTTAACTTTATTCGCAGGCAAGGTCGAAAATGTATTATGAAGCGTCTGAAGAAGAGCTTAACGTTCTCTAAAACGTAATGCGAAACGGAAATACTTGTTAGTGGCGCCGCCAAGTGTCTTCGTGCTTCTCTGAAAAACTAATGCGTCAAGTCTTTAAGATTCACCTACGCTAGAAATTGTGACATCAGTGACTTTACGCAATATATATCCATGACTACTGAATCAAGAGCGTATACATATTACGTGGAGAAAATTAAAGTTTCAGTATCGAGCAGGAAAAGCTTGAAATCTGAGTATTGAATCCTTGAATTGTATGACAGTGTAAGGCACGTGAAGATTGGGGAAATAATTGATATATTTACGAACATTAATAGTCTTAATATTCTAATGCATGAATTAGTATATTTTTGTGTCATGTTTTGATAGGTTATGGTATTCCATGGTACATAGCGAAATTCCACCTTTCTCAGTTCATTGATTATATCGAAAGAAGGTAATAGCATTTTTTTATACCATTAAATTTTTTTCATTTTTTAATAGTTGCTCATTATAATTAGCAGTATCGTGAAAAACTTTTTAGCAAGAAAATTAACTGCAATTCTTATGCCGATTAACTGTTATAGTTTGTTCAGGTGATTATTTCGCTAAGAGTTTTCTATCTTATCTTATATATGGATTACTGCATATCACGATATAATGATAGTCACGAGTATATATTTTTAACCCGGGTGTAGGCGCATGGGGCGTCCAAAATACCCAAAGCTCTTCATATGAGAAAAAAATCGCGCGACCATTCCCGGGTTAATCAGTATACTATTTTTAGTTATACAACAACGTGTCGTATCTGCAGGGTCGTTTGCTCAGAATAAATTGAACGCAGGTGGTTCTGTATTTTTTGTAAATAAAAAAGAGAAAAATGTTTTGAGTGACGATGATTTCCATAAATTATAACGACAAAGGATTTTCCAGCACATCTGTTTTCCATTTTTTTTTAACGTCTGCATCAACAATCTTTATCGTAATAGAATGCTTTTAAACGTTCTTGCTTAATTCTTAGCTTTTTGTTCATTTTAAATTTCTGAACAAAGTGTATGATTACTTTTCCACGTTGAATTACTTGTGGACGTAGTATAATAACTGAGGGAATCCCTTAAGGCTACCTTCAGACTAACTTCACTCGCTTCCAAAAGCAAGATCCGTAAATAGGACTTGCAGACAATTTAACGTCTGCAATAAGAACAAAGCAAAAGATAATTTGATAAAGACTCATGGTGCAGCGGAAACGATTAAACGGAGGCACTAATAAAGAAAACGAACCTGTTGTGTAACTAGTTACGCTTACTCTTGCATAACGTGACGTAACGTTAATGTGCACACGTTCACGAAAACTTGTTTTGCCGCCAAATATAATTCCCATTTTTAAATTCTTTATCGCCGCGTAAACACGTGTCCGCACAATGTACGACCAATTAATATCTGACAGTTCGCACATTTTGTTACCATAATAAAAATCAGTAGCGTGCAATTTTAAATTATGTGGCGTAGAAATTCCTTTGACATTTTTTATGTCCAGATAAATTCTATTCAGAATTCAAATAGGATTACCCGAAATAAGGTAATTCTAGTAAGCCCTGAATACCGGCCTAAGACACCCTGAACCAATTTCGATTAGAATTGTCATAGATTCCCCTCCTGGGATATCCATACAAAATCGTAAACAGTATCATCACGAAATCATTCTTATTGAATCAGTGACGGGTTTCGGAACTAATGGCGCCACCGACATGTTCTATATTACTAATAGTATAGAAGAAAAACGAATTATACGGAATCTTGTAGGAATTTTGTAGAAACACAAGAGATTTTGACTAAGAACAAAAATAACATTTTCTATTATAACCAACTAGAAAATTTTACATTTCATTATTGGGATAAGATCATGGTCCTAAATAGTTTCCGAAAAGTGAACGGCAATGATATTCGTATTTTAACTGGATGCACATCAAGGTTTCTGTAAGGGGTTATGAACTTTGATCATCTACGTTCAGCGTTACTGTGCATACGTACTCGATAATCTAACCTAACCTAACTCGTAGTTACCGGCGTGCTTCTGTGTTCACCTTCACTCATAATTGAGTTTAATGAGCAGCGAATGGGAGGTCGACGTAATTTCAATGCAAAAGTTTCTAAATTACAAATGCGGAAAATCACGGCTGACGATTTTAGATTTTAGAAAGTGTGCCATTATTTGTACACTATCAAAAATATCGCGCAGACTCTTTGGACCACGATATAATCATAATTCGAACGACACGCTTTCGAATTTTATACATCTTTTCAGATATCAATCAGAATAAAACTAACCGATACTCGTGTGATCATTGACGTAGTACTTGCTAATGATACCAATCGGTCTGATACAACGAGCCATAAAGCATTAAATGTTCAGATACGTTTTAGAAACATTGCACAAACGTAACAAGCAGATCGATATCTTTTAGCAATGTTTGTAAAACGCATCTAAATGTTTGGTTTTCTGTGGGAAGCTGTCATAACCATATACGTTACGACTAAGTAGTCGTAACACACCATTTTCGTTTAAACTACTTTTGATGGCGTAACCTGACAGTATGTTTTCTAATAACGCAGAATGGAACATTTTTTAAAGTACAGACTTTTCTTTTATAATAATCTTTTAATGAAATGCTATGATAAGCTTCTATTATAAAATTTCATAGGATAGTTCAGTAATGCTTCGACCTATAACACATCTTCGTATATATCTCTGTATAATATATAATCATATTTCACTATACCATTCTGTGGTTGTAGCATCAATGAAATTTAATGCTTAAGTTAAATTATTATTTTTGTCATTAATCAGCCTCGCCATACTTTCCAGTCATTATACATGTATAGCCGAAGGAGTAGAAATAAGTAATTCGTTTAACAAATGAAAAATTAGTGGTATATAATCAGGTAATTTTCTGTTTTGAATAATGCACAATGTGTTTAGTTATGTAAGGTATATATTTACTTTGTAGGCATACGAAATTAATGAGCGTGATAAATATGGACTGTTGAAAAAATGACTGGTTAATGTACATATATTAAAGCGGCTTGTCAACTTCATTATATATTTGGTTGTATTTGATTTCAGGTGAAATGGCAGTAATGTACCTCTTCACTCGATATAGATTCAATTGGAACGAGGTGAAGTTCAGCATGTTTTCCACCTACGGCATGGTGACTAATCTTATCGGTAAGTAGGTACATACAAGAGCGACAAAGGTCAGATTTCTAAAATCACAAGCCTTGTCCAATCCCGGTAATGCTGTCATGTGCTCAAACGAGCAACAAATCAATATCAAATTTGATTTTAATCATCGGACTAATTAACTAAATACCCAACAATTACAAATTAATTACAAGTTTTCATTAAATTGTTAAAATTTTCAAAAAAGTGTTTTTTTCAAAGTTACAATCTATTTATTCAAAATTTTAGAATCGTTGCGTTGTCATGCGTGCTCTTTGAGTACCGACACAGAAATCATCCATCGTGTAAAATTCCCACTCGTATCTTTTTTTCATTATAGGTAGACATTACAAAATGATCTGAACACAGTTTATGTACCTACAAAACACTTGCTCGAATTCGTAACGGTTACGTAAGACGTAAAATATTCAGATTCGTTCCAGGTCATTATTAATAAATAAAAAAGATTATTTCGTGATGATAATTTTCATTTATCATCGTTATTCACAGAAAACGCGGAACGCTAGTGACCTTTATCGTCTGAGAGAAGCAACTAAAAAGTTACGTACGAAACACCCTACCACCTCGAATTTTCGTATGCTGGAAATATGTAATAAGTTATAAGCCGTTCAAATAATTCTTTCGTTATGACAGTATTTCAAATGAAAAAACATTTATTTAACACAATTATTACCCGTCATATACCCTGTGACACAGGACAACGATCTATGCGCCTATGATTTTTCCGCAGTGGTACAGAACTCGCAAATACTCAGCAATTCCTGTTACTCACCGGAAAGCTCGTCCGTCGCGTAGGCACATTTATTATGACTTAGAGGCCACAGACTTTGCGTCCTTCGTTTCCCATTAACATAATCTCATCACATGCATACATAGTATTTCAAACCGGCCTACTTCAATTATAGATAGTACTATGCCACTGATGTATAGTGTATGCATATCGAATTTGAAGATCGATTTGCAATCTGTAACAAGATAAAAGACGGTTTATTTTCTTATTTTCTGATACAATTTTATTTTTTATAAATCTCATACTAATACGATTTTTTATCAAATTTTTTCTTGCATTTCTATTAAAAATAATATATGCCATGCAATGAGATTGGAACTGGTGTATGCAATGTACCGAAAGTACGTCGTTTACATTAAAATATTTGTCAGAACAGAGAATTGAATATTTATTATTCTTATTTTGTATCTTTGGATATATTCAAAAATTCCTTATCAGTACTGTCAACCATTGTCGTTACTCTAACAAGTATACGAATAAAAATAGCTACGAACCTATTTACGTTTCATTAATTATTCGTATGTTATTTTTTATTTTATATAACGACTCAGTGTCCAGACCTTTTGATTGAATGAATAAATAGTTCGTCTTATTAAACCGTTAAATTGTCTGGAGCTTATCGAATAAAAAAAAGTGTGAGGTTATGCTCTCAGGAATATAACGTAAAAAAATTCAAGTGTGCGCGTGACGATGGAAATGAATTAACTAAAATATATTTTTTTGATGATTTAAGAATTACAAATCTCCTAAAGACACGTTAACGATATTAACGATATTACATTTCTAAAATGTTTAATGTATCTTGTTTATTTTTTGTTCTGCTGCTTTCTTGTGTCGTAATCGAAGGTCAAGGTTTTTAGTCATTCCTCGCATACTAAGTAGTCACGTACTCAAGTAGTATGTATACGTACACGCTTTTTTGATCGTTAATACAAGTCCTTGCGTAAACTGTATTCGTTATATAATTTAATCGGTCGAATGTCGTTGCTAAGCGGAATTAAAAATTACCTGTATTGGCTATGCTGTATTCGAGAATTGACCGATTTGTAAGGCTACCGTAGCCAATAGTTTGTAAACTCACTGCGGAGCACCGACACGGAGATCGCTTTGGTATTCAAAAAGGACGCGTCTGTAATAACGAGCATGGTGCCCGACGTGCGCGCGCATGCGTAAGCATGCATACCAATCATGAAACAATAAACTTCCTAATACAAAAAACACGAAAACCCATAGCGACTACTGTACGTAACAATACCCAATGCACTATGTACAGTTAGCTTTGTATGAATTTGAATGGGATTCCAGTGGAAACATTAAACAAAGAAAAGAATTATGAAATTAGTTTATTCTCAATGATCGTGACTAAGTATTAAGTAATCGTGAAGTGTGTATGTTTTTAGCATTTATGGTAATCAGAACGGATATTGATTTTAATAAAATTATTTGAATCTTTCGTAGGAACTATGGTGTCAGTGGGCCTCTTTAGTCACGTGCTCAAAATTGACGACGCTTTGGTGGGAGTAATGAGTTGTATGAGCAAAATTCTTGCAAGCTTCGTTTACGCATTCGCTACCACCGACTGGATGATTTATTTAGGTTCGTAAAGTGACGTAAAAGGAGTTACAAAACAATTGAAGAAACGCAACATTACATTTATTTCTGTTTATGGTATGCGCAGCGCCATTGGTGGAGATCGTTAACGGAACGTCCTTTATCGCTATGCGCTCCATTGCTTCCAAATTGGTGCCAACGGACGAGCTAGGTAAGATTATTTTCAAGCTTTTTTTTTTCCTTTTAAAAATTTCAGTACGCGCGACAAATTTCGTACCACTATTCGCGTAGGTTTTGATTGAATGATATTAAATGACTAAATAATAGCTTTCCGTAGTGTTGCAATTTTGTTAAGAATTGTCTGGTATATCCAGTTAGTAGGATGTGTTTGTGAGACTGACAGTATTAATGTTCATATTTAATTAATGCGATTTGTTTTGAAAAAAAAACGGACAACCGTTCTATCAACTCGTGTTGAACTCAATTTAAAAAATCGCCTAAGGAAACTTTATATCCCGATAGGTATACTGAACGACAAAGTATATTATGTAATATCGATACGACTTATCCAGTATAGAATTTGCCAACTTGTAAGATATTCATGTACGGTTTTGCAACTCGAAGCTTCATAATTACTCATTGATATAAAAACTGTCTACGGTTGACAGTACCCCCTTCTCAGTTTTTGCTTTGTACGAAGGACGTGTTATTTATATATACAAAAAAAAGACATCAGGAAGATTCAGTTCGTGAAAGTTTAATTATCCTTGGTCCTTCCGTCTTTTATAACGTGCTAAGCTTGAAATTATTTCTTCGCCAATGTAATACACAGAAGGAAACGAATGACTTGGTATACCTACTTGTAAGCTCGATAAAATTATTTAATTAGGTTTTACGCTAAATCTTTTTCTTTTTGGATTTTTTTTATTCGTATTTTAAAATTCTCATACAACCTGGTTACACGAGGTCACAGAGTAGAATTTATAGTGGACAAGAGGTCGTTCTGTGTAGTATAATACATTAATGAGTAATTTACAAAATTATTTTCGTAATTGTTATTATTTTTTTATTATAGGCAAAGTTAATTCTTTGTTTGGAGTTTGCGAGTCCCTGATGCCGCTTGTTTACGGACCGATGTACAGTTTCGTTTACGGTGCCACGATGAATACGTTTCCGGGTACCTTTTTTCTATTGGGTGGCTGTTTAACGATACCAGCAGTGATCGCCTTCCTGTAAGTCAAGTTTAGTATTTTACGTGAACAGGATAATTATTCGAATTAACAATATTTGTTAGCTATAGTTTGTACATAGGTGAATTTTCGTATGTGTTAGTGTTAATGGCATGTTTTGATTAAATCAGCATGTCCAAGTAATAGCATTTTGTGAATTACGTAAGTTTGGATGACATAATCGCGGTTTTAAAAGCATCTCTGCATCAGCAATTTTTGCTATATCGTGATTCGTAACATTAAGGTAATTGATTGAAGCAAAATTAATGATAGACAAAAAAATCGTTATTTATTTTCATAACAATCATTTATTTTATGGCAATCATTTTGAAATGATACTTGAAGGACGATTTATATGTATTAACGAAATTATTAGTAATTATAACATTTTTATTTGCTCTTGAAAATATTTTATATCGATAAGGAACAGGTTTTTGTTTATAAATTGATTATTTTTAAGTTTTTTCTCTCATTCTTGTTCTTTTGCCTTTAATCAGGTGGTTATACACGGAGCACAGGAAAGACCGAGCATTGGCGGAATTGGAGATGAAGGCGAAGCAAGAGGCAGAGAAGTCCGAGAAAATAACGAAAACGACCAAGTATGAGAATGCGGATGATAATAAAAAGCAAATGGAAGTAAATCGATTAAACAGCTTTGAAAATTCGGCGTTCGAGTCGGAACGTTTGTGACGCAAATAACGAGCATTTTAACTGCCGCAGGAAGCAAGCACGTGTGTTTGTAGATAGAATTACAGACAGTAAAGATGTGTGCGTTCGTACGAGTTGCTGTACGTGTAAAAATGTAAAATCGAATGAAATATTTAATGAGAAGAGAAAAAATGTGGACGTCAATGTTAACTCGGGAATGTCCGCGAGATTATATTCCCTATTCAAGTAGCATTGAGTTAAGGTGACGGGGTTTATCCCGCGCAAGTAATGCTGAGTTAAAAGAAATGTCTGTGATTTTCATTTATTGAGGAAGCTGTACCACGTGGCATCAATTATATGTATAATAAGACAAACAGATACATGAAACAAGTTTTTATTATTAAAAAAAACTCAACTGTGAACATTCGCGATTAACGATCCCTGCGAATATGTTTTATTGTTATACGATTCCATTTTTTGGAAATTTTTATAAAGAAAATTTTTAAAAAACTGCAGATGGCAAGGGTCAAGTCTGACCACCGAGCACTACGAATATGCATGTAGTGTGTAAATATACGTATGCGTGTAAATAATGTTGTGCATTGTGCGTTTTTATTGAAAAATTTTGTAATCGCCTAGGAAGAGTTTTTCAATCTGTGGGATGAGCTAATAACGATTCGCGCTGTTGAATGCATCCTTGTATAAAAAATCGTACTTAAGTAAGTTACTGCAGATAAAAAAAGTATTTTTGGATTTAGATATTAGTATTACGAGTCTCTTTTTATTATTTATGTTAAGTTGGAAATTATAGGTGAACCATAGTGACAGCTTGCCAAATTTGCGATTAATTTGGCAATTGAATTAGTAATTGTTAATATTATCTTCAAGCAAATGTCTTAAGTGAAGTAACTTAAAACTTAACCCTCTATGGGCCCGTGTAACTTTCAGGTCACATTTTAATTTATCGACATTTTACAAAATAATTATAACTTTATAGGCCGGTGTGACTTGAAAGTCACATAGTGAATATATCGCAATAAAATTGTTTAAACGCAAAAATTTGTTTTCATTTGCATATATAGGTTTATAATTTCTGATTTTTCGTTCCCACAATTTTGTTGGAGTTAAAAGAAAAATTCGGCCCATAGAGGGTTAAATTATAAAGTTTACGATACTAGGGTAGAAGTAAAGTAAAATATACAGCACGAAGCTGATTGTCGAAAACCCCATAGTAAGGTAATGGTTTACTTTAAAGCGATGAATAAACATATTTTTTATGAGGAAAATAACGTGAAATTTTGGTATTTCCAATCAGTTCGAGAAATAAATGGTCTTTGGACTCTTTTTATTCGAGCTATTCGTACATGATGTAATAATTTCTTTTAGTTGTAACTTCCATATTCGCATCTTCGGATTCGTGAACTCATCTATGCACTATCTGATTAAAGGAGTAGTCAAACCGTATGCTTAATTATAACAATTGTACCTATATATAGTTGGATTACACATTATTGTGATATAGGGACGTAGTTTTTTCTATTTAAGGGAACAATAAATTAAATTCTACAGTAGCACTATAGTAATTTATTAATTATCCAAATTTGTTTCATCCTAACGCTATTAACTGTGTGAACTTTAATACATTTTGAGATATTTTTAAAACCCAACAATGTATACATTATATATAATTAAAGTATTAATTGTAACTTACAATTGATACCGTGCTTCCATAATGCACGATCCCAGAGTACATGCATGCAGAGTTCAAGCACACACCAGAGATGAGTAGGGAGATAAACACCGCTACGGTTTTAGACGATACCAAAAACATGGCACTAAATTGGAGCGGCGAGACCAGGAGTAGGATTTTGTGATCATCGCCTCCGTCGATAATGCATATATCGTCATACCCGAGCTCAACGTGATCACGAAAGTGTAGCCAAGCCGACAGAGGTTCTCCGCAACTTACCGCTGGTTTCCAGAGCACCTCTTAGAACGAGGCTGCTCATCAGATATTGCCTAAATATTTTTTTTTTTGTAATCTTAAATTCGAGTGTACAGTGTAAGCTCGACAAGATTTACTAAGAGAAAAGCCAGCACATCATGCATGCCTGCGTTAAGAAGTGCAGCGATGCGGTGCTAGCTTTCAGCATTATTTAACAATAGTTCCAGGCGGAACTATGGTCCCAACATTGAGTACTAGAGAGAACTATTCCGAAAATGTTTGAAACACAACCTGAAAACAACACTGAAAGCCAGCTCCTTATGCATACCTGCACTGAAGCATATGGTGCGCCTAGTATATTTAATAGGTATTTTACCGATGTTACGTAGCAGAACTATTGTTGAAACCTATCAGCAATTATAGAACTCCTCGAGAACTATTGAAGAAGCCTATTGTTGAATCATTATTACGAGATTTTAAAAAAAAGTGCCGTACTGGAGCTGACACTCGTGCAGCATCTCAATTTTCGTATAATACGTATTTTAACAATGTTACGTAGCAGATCTATCATTAAAACCTATCAGGAACTATGGAACTCCTCGAGAACTATTGAAAATGCCTAGTAATGAAACATTTTCCAAAAATTGAGGTGCTATACGATTATGTAGTTGGCACCGCAATTGCTTAAATGTGTTTCAACAATAGGCTTTTTCAATAGTTCTGGAAGAGTGCTATAGTTTCTGATAGATTTTAACAATATTTCTGTTGCGCAATATCGGTAAAATATCTATTCAGTATACTGGTGGCATTATACACTTCAGTGCAGGCAGGCATGATTTGCTGACTTTTGTCATATTAAAACCGAGCTTACACTGTACGCTCGAACATAGGATTGTAAAGAAATAGTACATTATGATACAAGTGCGGAAAGTTGGTGATTCCTACGAGTGTGACACGAGTCAGAATCGTGGCAAACGTCACACGAGTAGGAATCACCAACCCGCACGCGTATCATATACTATTTTTTGCAACTATGTACGGAAAGTTCGCAGGATATGCACCAAAAAGTAGCACGAAATGGCCGATTCTTGATGAGTTCAGTGTGTGCACACTCTGAACTTATCAAGAATAGACCATTTTGTGCTTGTTTTTTGGTGCACAAACTGTATACTTTCTGTACAGCGTTGCAAAAATAAATATTTTGGTTATATTCGATGAGCTGCCTCGTTGTAAGTGTTGTTTTGGGAACCAGCGGTAAGTAGCGAAGAGCCTCTGCTCGCCAAGCAACACGGTCGTGATCCGCATTATCGACGGAGGCGATGATCACAAAATCCTACTTCCAGACTCGCCGCTACGATTTAGCGCTATAATTTTGGTATCGCCTAAAACCGTAGTTTTGTGCATCTCCCTTTTTATCTCTGCACACACATACAGAGCTGTAGAGAGAGAACATCACCAGAGAAAGACCAAGATCACATAGAATACATACGTCGTAGTTCACGGTTTAACCGTTGTCTACCACAGAGTGCACCACAAGACGGAAGCGACAACCGTGACAGCTGCCGATAATGCAACAGGCTGAGCCATTATCCCTGACTGAAGAGATAAATAGCCTGAGAGAGAATCGGACTTTACCCCACTGAAAAAATGTATATAGATTATATGCCACATATCAGATCGGCGAGGCACAGAATACTCGGGCATGTCTAGTCTATTTATATTATGCCAAAGAAATAAAATTGATTTTAAAAACTACTTCGTTGTTAGATTCTATATAATAGTACATATATCAATTACAAGTGGCGCCACTAGACACAGAAAGAACTCCTTAAAAAACATGAAACTGATTCTACTTTATCGACGGAGCCGACATTAGCTTTTGAAATATTTTAAACACAATTGTTTTCTCTGCTCTCTCAATGATCAATGGTTAAACTTTGGCAAAGCAGAACGTACACATGAATACGTTCTCCTCATTGGAGGAGTCAGCCATAAGGAAAGGAAGGAAGGACACATGAATACGTCACACAACACTGTCAGAGTTTGTCAGGTACAAGTGGCGTGATACTCTGGAATTCGGATCGATCGAACTTTGAACGAGTAGTCATAGTGAACGCGCGAGACACGCCGGATATCTGATAAGGTAAATAGATGTGTCGTCTGTTTCTCTTGATATTTCTGTGGATCGGCACATTGATATATCTACCAGTTCGCGAGAGACTTTGATTAATATCGTAACGTAACGTCTCTTTTGTTTTCTCTTCACTTCTCTCATTCAGTTTAGCTCTCTCGTGAAGCGTGAAGGAGAAAATCAACGCGAAGAGTGAGTTGCACTTTTTTATTTTCTTTATAAAAGGACGCATCGGGAGGAGATACAATTTCGAGGTCAGTCTAGTAATTGATTTTATTTCAGGACTTGGTCCTTTTACTATGTCATTGACAATGAATATCGGCTGTCGAACGTTACGATCTTGGTTCACGATAACAAGTTTCGATTAGGTTAACTGTCACTTAATCCTTTGATTATCCTGGGTAATGTTCGCTGGCTCCTTTCTTTGAGACAATAGGACCACTGAATACATTAGCCCGTATTCACAACTCGCTCTTAAAGTCACTAACAGAGTTGCTTGTAGTTAAAAGTCACTAAGAAAAAATTTAAAAGCTCGCTATTAGCACTAAGAGCGAGTTCTGAATACAGGCTATTGAATACAGTATAATTCTTTGTGTATTGGAATCACAATCATTCATTAGTTAGGAAATGAATTCTATTTGAAAATTCAAAAATCAGCACTTGTTTGGTCTTAGAGTCATCATAGTTTGATTTATCTTGCCGGATAAATATCGTTTCCTGGAATTATAGCGATTCACTCTTTCCAGTGTACAATCTTGTCAGAATGACGTGCCTCTTTTGTAAAATAGTTCAGTACGTTAATAATTCAATTGTGTATTCGTACAATTGTGTATAACGTATAATTTTATGTAAGGTCGTATCGTTGTAAGCGAAACTATTCATTCCGAAAGGAAAGTAGTATGCATGTATTTATTTCTTTTTGAAAGATGTAATCTTGCTTCCTCTCTGACGTATATTTTCTTAAGCACACTTGCATTACAATAGTACTAATAGTACGATACGTAGAGTATCGCATGTACTTGAACGAATTTACTAATTGGTAAATATGTTTTCCTATATCCGTCCTAGGAATTCAAATTACCACAACCAGGAAAATGAGGACATAGATGAATAATTTATGTAATTCTATTGAAACTTGTGCGTATTCCGCAAGATCTGTCAAGGAAAAGAATGAATTTAGTATTTAAATATGTGTAAACTACATAATAAACATGGCCATAAGAATTCAATCGTTTTCCAATTTTTCTAACGGGAACTGGGGTCCGATAAATTCCCATACAACTCCAACATTCAAATCTTAACTAACGATGACGAGTATATCAGCTTTTCGATAAAGATTGCAACTCATTTTTCCGCACGTCCCAGATACCCAAGATTCAAATATTATTAGCGGAATAGTGTATGGTATACTCCGAATGATCCTCGTGTATCCCAGTGTGTCGTTCTAGGCTTAAATTGCAGAGTTTTGTCGTTTCTCAAAAAGCAATATTCAATGAATTAAGTTTTTAGGGTATTGCTTATCGTTGTAAATAGAAATTGTCAATGGCAGGTGTGCGCAATCGTATGTTCAACGTCAAAAGTTCGTTAGAATCGCACGATTAGTGTTTCTAATGTCACTTGTTATTCTCATATACATTCATATTCTCCTATATTTATCATCTATTTTTACAAACCGAAAAATATGTAATGCTAGGTATACCAAACTATTTATTATTTCGAGATTCACATATATACTCCAATTTCCCAGAAAACCAAGAAATAGTTTTTTGTTTTTCTTTAACCACATTACCAAAAATGCATCCTGTACAATAACAATTAAATTCAGTTTTATACTACGTCGGCACTGACGTTTCGTGACGTCCTTTTCGGTTTTCGTTTGGTTTCTTGTTTTGTTCCTCTTTCCATTTTGTTACCGTTATTTTTCAGCGGAACGAATGCGTGTATATAATTGACACTTTGCATGACCCCAGTAACCTTCGGCTCGCTGGCATCCGGACACCAACATGCTTTACGTATCCGAGGACGTCCGTTGAATCTATTCTTTTTACTTTTTTGTGAAGCAATGAAGTTTTTTCCAAGTCATGTCACGATAATCAAGTTTAATAAAATAAACAGAATGCCTTGACTGCGTTTAGTGGAATCGTGAGTAATCTTTATGACCAATGTGATAGGAATTGTATATGGCATAGTAATCGGGTAACAAACACAAATTTTTTGGTCAGAGCACGACCTAAAAATTATTTTAATAATATTTAAAAGCAAATAAAATATCAAAATACAAAAAATACACATGCTAAAAAGCACCGATGCACCTAAACCCTATAACTCTTTGCAGTCATAAATCTTCTTGGCTTGGATATTCTGTCGGGAATGTCCCGGACTTGGAACGTAAACAGTTTTAAAAGGCCTGCGTTTTTTTAAAATAAATTATTATATTAGAAAGACCGCATTCGAGTCCCGGTTTAGTTGTCGTATCCTTCCTTAAATTTTACAATTGCAGGAAGTTGTCGAAATATGCATTCGTGAATGTTCAAAAGTAATCTAATCAGTGGAATTTCTGGTTTCGGTTGTAATTTCATTTTTGGTTCTGTCATGGATGTATTCCTAAAATAGCGAGAGTTACTTAAAACCATTGTTAGGAAAGTTGAGATATTTCGAAATCGGGAAAGTTTTCAAGTAATAAACACTTGTTCGTACTTTATATATAAGCTAGTTTGGTATGTTATATGTTATACTAGACTAAAGTATATGTTTATCATATAAATTAATTATCTTTGCATATTTATATAAATTTTGAGAGTGATTTCCCACGAAAGGAGTCTGTTTCCACGACTTGAAACTCGCATTGTATAACGCATTATGCTATCGTAATTAATAAATATGTATATATATTTTCTTGTGTATATCTTGTGTAAAGTCCGTAGGCTGGGTGTCTAACAAGGAAGGTACTTCAGGTGTCGACCTCCGATTTCGTTCGTTTTGAAATGTTATTTTCCATCAAAATTTAAGAGATATGTGTCTTTTAGGGGGTGAAATCAGCCCTAAAGTTGAACTCCTAGGGGGCGGTTTTCGCAGATTCGCACGAAAAATGCATTTTGGTTGGTTCTGGTGGGGTGAATGCATTAAAATTTATAAGGGTTGAAAAGTGCGACATTGTAACAAACTAATTATCAATTCGATTTTGATGAAACCAATTGCATTTAAACGTACTATAAAAAAAAGTAGGAGATATATGTTTTTGCGTTTTTAAAAAAAACTTCGTTTAAGGAATAAATCACCCCTATGTCCGTGCAACCAATTGCTCATTAAAGCGGCGCTATCGTTCTTCAATTTGCCTAGCGAACTATTAAAAAGATTTTTTTATGTGTTAATTAAGAAGCTTAATCGTATCAATTTTAGTGCGTTCTCCCCACCAGAACCGACCAAGATGCATTTTTCATTATCCATCATGAGGATTATTCTCCAATTGGTCCCATTTAAATATCTTGACTGAAAAAATTCGAAACTGGGAAAATCGCCCTTGAGGAGCCCAACTTTGGGTGTTAATTTCACCCCCTAAAATCGTTTTTCCGCAGACAAAAAAACATATATCTCTTAGATTTTGATGGAGAATAACATACATAAAAACGAACGAAATCGGAGGGAAACACCTGAAATACCTTCCTTATAAGTTAGTTAGACCGTCATCCATCCGGGGTGTGATGCGGCGATCGTGCATTGGAGATACCGCACTAACGTATAATTTCCATGATAATTGTGTACGGATATACTGTCTAAAGGCCAATTTAATAAATGACGTTCAGTGCAGAATTGCATAAAACGTACTTTCGGAAAAAAACACATTTTTAATATTTTGTCCTAGGACGGTAAGATGGCGCCACCGACGACGCCAACTACGTTTTAACTACGCGAACACAAATTTTTCCTTATCTATCCAGGGTTAAAGACAGTTCTTTATTTCACATAATAAATATTTTTCACGAATTTCGAATAGAAATACGCTCGCGGCTCACTCATAATAGGCGAAAGTAACAGTTATTTTTAGTTTCACTGTTAGCCGTTAGTGTGCAACTGCTACGTGTCTCTCGGTTGATTAATGTTTCGAAATGGCAGATAATCTTATCAGCTACTCAGCTTACAAAATGTGACACCATATCAACCGAAATATTTTGGTGCACAAATTACTTCCGACTGTTACGATTTGTACGTCAAAGTAAAAAAACGGATAAACCACAATACGTGGACGATTATGAATAATTAATTTTTTATCAGTCAATTAAGCATATCAACATTTGTTTTGTGAATTAATTGAATGACAGAAATTAATTTTTTTCAAGATTCTTGCATATTTTTATGATAATTTCTGAGGATACTGTTATCTATATATACATATATATAATCTTTATCCAGTTATAATTATCGATAGCGTAGAAACATTCAAAACATATCAAATTTACATTAACAAAGCTTACACCAGTAGGACCCAGCAGTACAGTTGAACAAAAGTCACGGTAATAATACAAGTATGTATAGTAGTTAAATAAAAGAACAAATTCTTTAGCCCCTTGTCCCTGCCACTTAGTGTACGTGAGAAATGTCCTTAATGATTTCATTATATTGGTTATTCATTAATTCATGAGCAAATGATCGAATGCATAAGAATCGAGATTTCCAATTTTTTAATTCATAACTTCTCCCTTCGTTGTACATTGTTATTCAGAGCTATTGTGCCATCCGAAGCTGGTGCTTTCATTTGATTTCCATTGACTCCTATGGTAGAACCATCTTCAGCTGGTATGTACAATAGTTCTTAATTTCAGTGTATATTCTAGATTACCGGTGCAAATATTTTATCGCTACGTTCAACATGAACGTAAACGTGCCGAGAAAGCAAACATATCTGATTAATGAAATTTTATAACTCTTGTCAGATTTATGATCAATTGCCCAATCAGTTGTGATTAAGTACTTTCACATATGTGTTTCTGCTGAGAATTAACCCGATCAGGTTATCGCTTTTTTGGCACCTTCTCAGGTTACCGTGGATAGTTTCAAACCCAAGGCATGTTAAGACGCTCAATTATTAGTATGAAAGTCTGTTAAAATTCTTGTACACTCTTGAACCCTTCTCCTGGACACATCATAAAGATTGCAAAAAAAATTTAATCAAATATTTTATTTTTAATGATACACACATTAATGAACACACCCACCTCCCGGAAATGCAGACATTTACTAAAAAATTCATAACTTTTGAACAAATTGAGATATTTGAATTTTTCAAATTGCATTATAAAATTGAAGAAGCGTATTTTTACGAAAAAAAAATCACGAACTCGATGGGAACAAAAGAAATGTTCAAGTTCGAGGTGTCTATTAGCGCTTTTTTCGAAAGAGGAAATTTGAAGTTTCAAGAAATAATTCAATATATTTCGATGTATACAAGTTATATTTTTCTAGAAAATTATACGTATTCATGAAGAAAAAATAACAATATGTTCACGCCTTAAATTCTATCATCTTATAATTACAAACAGTCTCTGCAACATGTGAAACGGTGTTCTTCGCAAACGGCCAATTTACACTTGATACAACATTGGTTCGTTTTCACGGAATGTGCGTAGCGCCATGCTATAAGAGATGAAAAATCAATATATGACTCAAAAAAAGAAAAACCTTTCGAAAATACTCATAAACTTCATGGAAATTCAAAAACTTACCTTGACGCTCAAAACGAGTTTGCACCGAAGTTATCGTGGGTCGTTTCAGATTTAACGCGAACTTGACCTACTTACTGCGAAGGTCAGGCTGTCACTGGTAAAATGGGATTCAGCACAGAGGGTTCTCTAGTCTTAAAGTTTTTTAGGGTGGGGATAGATATTTCCAGGGTACACGGATTTTGAGTAATGAGGCAAAAGAAAAATGCCTTGGGTCTGAAACGACCCACGATAACAGAATCGGGTTAATATTGTGGGTACCAATATTGCATTATTCGTATTGGTTATTGGGAATAAAAGTAAATTGATAACAACGGGGGATATATTGCAATCTTTAGTTTCATTCAACTCACCAGGAGGCTTTCTGTACACTCTCAGTATCTCTAGGACATTGAAAGGTGATCTCATAGGCCAAGACAAAAATGATCATTTGAAGACTAAGATCTCTCTGTTCCTTCTCTGTATAATTATTTATTTTTACACCTACTCTCTACGTAGAGTAGATTTCGAACTTATGATATTGAAAATTACTTCTTAGTATTGAACTCTAAATAATCCAACAGTTTATTTAGGGTCGACAATTCAGATATGGCAATTCAAGCTATATCCGAAAAATATGAAACACTAACCCGACTGTACATGACGAAATACTAGTGCGAACTGTAATAGTTACTATGAAAATTATTCATAATTTATTATTTAATTATTATTCGATTCATATGTCATTGACGGGAAGTTGTAACGAAAATACCCGTATATATTTTTTAAATATAATAATAATGTAAAATTTTTGTATAAAGTGATCAATATCTATGACGTGATATTTAAGTTGACCTTTTTTTCTTTTTGTGTTACAGGAATGCGGCTGCAATGGATATACGTAATTTTTGGTGTGGTCGTCTGTGCATCGGTCTTCTGCGAAATTCAAGTGTCCGAAGTGCAAGACTCCGAAAAGCAAATTGCCGCATTTATAGAATTAACTGAACTTGAATACGAAGAAAAATGTTTCGAGACAGCACAGTCTGAATGGGAATTCATTAACGAACCTACTAATCAGACCTTTGCTAATTGGGTAAGTTAGATTTGCAAAAGAAAAAGCCCATTAGACTATCTGAGCGTATTATTTTAAAATGCACTTAGCATACCCTTACTTGACATATATTACTAGAATGTTAAATTATGCGACTGAATCGAAAAATAGATCGATAGTTTTATCTTGTCCATGTCATTATTTGTCAATCTTATCAATATGATTAAAGATTGCACTGTCTGTGTCATTAAATCTGGTTGAATTATATTTACTAATGAATTTGCTCTTAGTAATTAAGGCCTGGTACATTAATTATATTCATTAAGAGATTCAATTAGGTAAAATACTCATTGATATTAGAAATGTAGTTTTTATCATTGTCGTCGTTTTTTCACCACCCGGTATATTTTCTTTGCGTAATTTGACCAACCATCAGACAAGTTTATTGTATACACTTGTATTTATACGTTATATAACACTTAGTTAACTCTTGTAAGGTACAATTTTGTATGTGCTTTTAAAATGTTACTGATGGTATCAATGACGTCGTCTTAACGTTCTAGAGTTAAAAGATGCGCATTAGTATGCTGAAGGTTATAAAAATGATTTAGATTAACTTGCGTCATGGGATATCCATCTTAAATTGTTCTTCGCCGTACGTAATGTATGCACGAAGAAAAGAGAACAGAAATAGTTACTAGTCTGGGTACCAGTGAGTCCCGGCAATGAATCGTACGTTGGAGCAAAATATTTGTCACGGACTAGCCCAGTAAGGATTAGCTCCGGTTTATGTCTTTTAAATAATCGGTAGAATTCCACGCTGTTTGTTACTCATCTTCTATGCTATCTGGGACCGGCTACTAACCAAATTAGTAACTGTTTTCTTTTTTTTTTTTCGGTACACACTTATGCGTTTTATGGGTGTGAATCGCATTTGGCGTATTAAATTTTTTTACGCGCTTTGTGTGCAATAATATACGTAATTTGCATGCGAGATGAAAAACCATTTTACATCGATAAATTTTCATATACTCAATACTGCGTGTTTGTGTAAATTATTTGACGGAATTATTTATTGGTCTGTTTCTCTCTTTTTTTAAGGCAAGTGCGCAGTATAAATATGGCATATTCAAGAAAGAGCAACGGGATGAAATTTTGAATGAGACTAACAATGTTGAACTTTTGTCGACGTTGTCGTATAAACGTGAAGCAGCAACCAAGCTAGGAGATGCGCTGCTGGAAGAAGAAAATTGGAAACAGGTATAGTGTTTATGTATAGTGTAATATACATATATATTTTCTTTTAGCTATTTATATCTGTATAATATATGTTTTCTACGCATTGCAGTTCATAACGTTTGCTGGTCAAGCTGAAGTATTACGGGCATCGGCGAAGTACACTGAAAAAACGAAGAAGTTATCACAGCAAGGTATAATCAACGTATAAAACGAGTTGGAAATATTCTAAGACGTATTTTATTGAAATATTCGATTGAAATTTAGATATATTAGTGAATGGTCCACTTTTTTTTTTTTAATTTGAATCACTTTATTTTTCCAGATGTGGAACGTTTATTGTCGCAGAGCGGAGATGTCGATAAGAAACGCGACGCCTGGGCGTCTTGGCATCAAGAGTTGGCACCTCTATTACCAAACTTTCCGCAGCAGATTCAGTTGATTCACGAAGCAGCCAAAGCAAATGGTTTGTATACAAGTAGATAAAATCTATAGATTTTTTACTGACTGTGTATAATAAAAGAAAGAAATAGATAATGAAAGGCGATACTGTTCTACTTTTAGGGGAGAAAAACGTTTCGCATTATTGGGAACTGTTATCTGCTTATCCGAATGGATATGAGAAGCTAGAGTACACATGGAATGAAATTTCTAATCTTCACAAAAAAATTCGAAATTTTGTTCATACTCGTCTGGTACAAAAATACAAGATCGTCAGTGAAAACGAAAGCATTCCAGCTTATTTACTTGGTATGTAACAACATAAAAAAAATCCCATGTTATATGAATTTTATAAAAAATGTTATTTTTCCTGTTTCTGAAGGTTCCTTGCAAGGCAACGATTGGATCGCAATAGCTGGTGATGTGATGCCCAATTCTAATTTGACTTTTGAAATTAGGAAAAATCTTTGGAAAAAGGTAAAGAAATTTTCTTTTGGTTAGGCGTTACAGTTTCTCGTACATGGTTTCTATCCAAATAAACCATGAATGTATTAACGAACATATTTTAAATAGTCGTTGCCTCACGTGTGTAATGACCAATACATTAGCATTGTATGCCTTGACACAATTAGATTTGCTCCTTTTTGTCGAAATGAACATTAATACTTTTTATTTCAGAACCTCATGGGACCTTCCTTGTACAAGACAGCTTCAACGTTAGGAAAGATTACGTTGAATACGGGGTTAGGTGCTGAATTTTTTAAAAACAGCCAATTCGATAAAAAGTGCCCCGCCAAACTGATAAATTTCTGCAAACTTTATGAAATGGGGTGGGTTTCTATAATTATTCAGTTATCCATAATTCTTCATTATTTGTTCTATCTAATAATTTAATATTTGATTCAGTGTTTCTACGTGTTTCGATGCATCCTTGAACAACTATTTGACTGCGCATAAAATGGTCGCTAAGGTTGTAGTCAATCACCTAATGGCCGAAAGCTCACCCGTGCTAAACATTGCCAATCGATATTCCGGTAATAATTAACAATGACAATTTATTATGATTCAGGAGTTCATTTTGCTGATTCAAAAATCATTAATGCTCTTTGTTACTGCTAATTAGCTTTGGAAGAAGGAATTGCGGAATTGTTCGCTATTCTATCGGTAAGTCCAGCAAGACTTCGCTCACTGGGTTTGGTAGCCAGTTCCAATGATACGGAACAACTGGAAATAGAATCTCTAATGATCACAGCACTCGATGTTCTTCCTCGTCTTGCTTATTACATGACTGCAGATTTATGGAGGATAAATGCCCTTCGAAATGGAATCAACGATTCGAAGGATTTAATAGCTTCTTGGTGGAAATACAGGTAACTGTAGTATGATCTATCCATACATTACGACATGCTTGATATTATATTTCTTTCATGACCTTACATATAAGTATAGTGTATTTTGTTTGTTACGCTTAAAACAGTATTAACATTTTTTCATTTCAGATTGGAATACGAAGGCGTCCTGGGAAGCGCTGCTTCAGATATACCTACTTTCTTGGCTGACAGTTACATTACAGGAAACAAGCCTTATCTGTCGTGAGTAGAATAAGTCGATATTAGCGAAAATAATTAAGTCTGCAAACAAGAATGTACAATATGATTATCTACATTTTTTTAATTCTCAGGAAATTCGTTGGAACGGTACTCGCGTTTCAGTTTTACGAATACCTCATGTCATCGACCGAAGTTCGTTATGATTCAATAAAAGGTGATCCTGCTAATCACATGTTAGTGTAAGTGTCACGAGGAATACATTTCTTTACAAAGTATAAAAAGAAATATGTATGCTTGAGGCCATTTATGCTTTTGTACATAACAAATATTATATTAGATTTAGTATCAGTTCTTTTTCGAGTTATCCAGGACAATGATATTCTTTTTTTTCTGTTGTTTTCTAATATATGAATTTGTTATCCAGAAAAATGTTCCAAGATGGTGGCGCCGATGATTGGACCACAGTCATAAGCAAGTATTTAAAAATAGAAGAGGTTGAATCCAACTCATTACTTTCCTACTTCTCGCGTTTGGAGGATTATATTGATGAGAGGAGAGACAAAGACGAGGAAAAGTACGGAAGTACAGACTTACAAGAAGCTGAGCTTGAACAGCTGGAAGAATACCATCGGATTCAATTTAGATCTCCCAGTACAACAACAACAACAACGACGACGACGACGACGACAACAACAGCAGTGCCATCTGTAAAAGAATTAAATTCAAAATACTCTCAAAGTGACTCCACAGAGTCTAAAAGTTCACCGAGCAAATCATTAGATATCGCTAATAATCCATCCAATATCCAAGCAGACACGTCAGAAGCCAAAGATACGTCCTCGTCTATAAAAGTTAATAAAAATAATTCTGAGACGTTAAACGTCAACGAATTGGAATCGGAAGCAGACACGAAGAATAAGCCTAAGATCAATACAAGTAAAGCTGTATGGGCGGTGCTTGCAGTCCTCGTAGCCACTGTGACGATCTGTTTGATTGCAATTTTTGGCAGAAGTCGGTGCCGTGAGACACCAAAGAATAGACGTTATGTTTAATTTTTATGTGCTAATCGAACTGGGTGTTTATTTATTGTTACTTTGTTTCTCTGCTAATCGCCACGATGAGCAAGAAATGAAGACAATTACATGAGACTCAATTTGAGCCACGCATCTTATTGGTTGCTTGCGCCAAAATGACTGTTCCAGGTTTCCAATTCAGTGAATCGTATTGGATGCTCGTATTTAAATAAGGATTACACATTCTCTCGATCTGCTTTATCGAAAAGCTCGAATGCATTGGGGAATCTCTGTTACACATATATGATTTTTCCCATACCATTTGTGCGTTAAAGTAGTGGTAGTTGCGCCCTCGTGTGTGCAAAAGAACTTCAATAATTGAATGAAAGTTTATTAACGGCCTTATAAATTAAATATAATTTAAGGAAAGAACATGATCATTACTTTGCTGAGTGATATTACATTTTTTTCTTGTTTTTTTTTCCTGTATAAAGCATTTATGCTTGGAATTGCGCACAGCACAAACGGAAGTACACGCACATGAGTAATTGTTCGTTAGTGGCATTATGTACTCTTATTCACCTCATGCAAATTATTTATACTTTATCATTCGATGCAATTTTATTTGTGCATTTTGTTCCTATGCGAGGAGTACAAAAGGGCCAATATTTTGAAAAATATTTATAGGTAAAGGAAAGTAAGGGTACTAAAACATTGCTCACAGAAAGTTACTGATAAATAAACGTGATGAATTTTGTAATCTGTTTGGCAGTGTATTGCTTAAAATTGCACACGAGATACAATAGTGTAGTATCGTACTTTATTGTTGGCAGATGCAACAAAAACGACAAAAATTACAGATTGCATTGAGGAAAAGTGTATTTTTATGCGTGTTAAGTATTTTTGTAAATATTATAATGATAAAGAGTGGAATTGTCAAGTTTAAAGATATGTACTTGTTCTAGTACGTCGAAAATATTTTGCTAACGTATTGAATTATAAGCCTTTAGCAGCTGTATTACATAAACACACGATCCATTAGTATGTATAATGTCGCTTTCGAAAGATTTATATTTTTTATAAGAGTATTTATTTTGTACCTGTCAGAAGAGAAAAACAGAATAAAAAATAAAATTGTCTAGAGGTACAAATGTTAAAAGTTCACATGAATGAAAATTTTGGCCGTTTTCATTAAAATTTGTTTCATAAGTCGGGATAGAACTCGATCATTCCTGTAAAAATCCTAAACACGACTCTTTTCCACAATTTTAAAAAATCACTCTCGATGTTTCGAGCTCTCTTTCATCGCCACTGAGAATCACCAAAATAGAATGCCTTCCCTCCTAAAACTGTTATTCCTACTACGTGACAGTGCCACGACAAAGAAAATCTCCGATCATAAATAAAGCATAAAATTAACTATGGAGCCTATCACGTAACATCCTGAATAACGTTTCCAAAATAATCAACAAATAAATTTCAAAAGCAAACAAAACACCTTATGTACACTACACACTGATGATACGCTTTGTTTGTGACGTTTTTTTCAAAATGAATAATTTAAACCAAGTAATATAAGCTCCGAGGCTTATTACTTTAAAATTACGAAGAAAGTGCAGTATTATATATGTATAACTCTGTTCAAAAACTAGCGTCGCACGAAACATCGTCAGAAATACAAATTTTCTCATTTTCAACGCCTCAACACCGTTACACCACGTTTATTATAAGAAACAACTTCCGGTAGTCGAGAACAAAAATATGGTACATTTTTCTTCGTCGACCTAAGCGATCAGGTAATTTTCGACAAATGAAGTGTGTACTGCACTTTATGTTTATTAACTCTGAGTAATCGGTAAAGAATGAAACCTTTTGAAATTTGAATTGAGTGGAAATTTAACGGATTTCGTCCACTGCAAAAGAGGGAAAAGAAAATCGATAACCCCGTAAGTGCGTAAAAAGCGATAAGAAAAAAAAAATATCGTGAGGTTGTGCCGAGTGACGTAATACCATTTCTACATTATACACCTACTCCCGTAGGAGGGTTCAGAAAATCAATATTATAAGACCCTCCCGGCACAAACCAATTGGAAAGCTCCGTTATACATTTCGAAAATAATCACTGTACAGGTTAAATGAAATTTTTACTTTTGATTCTTCGACATAATCTACTTTTTTTTTAACTAAAGCTGTCTAACACCAAAAAGTACTTTGACCAAAACAGGAGAGTGGGTTTGACAGTCACGGCAAAGAATGACAGAAAAAGGGAAATACTCAACAAAATATAAACGGCATATATTGTACCAGTACATCCATCATAAATGCATAAGCACACGTACTGAAAGCAGAAAAGGTAGGCCGAAACGTGTATCGTCGAGGACACGCGTACACGTTTGTCAGTTGAAAGCAGAGCGGAAAATCAATATGTGCTTGGACTCTTAAAATGCACTCCGCGCTTCTACCCCACGATACTAACGCCATTTCTCTTATAGAATTTCACAAGGCTACAAAATCGGAGAGACATGTTCCACGTACCCGTCGGTAGGTTGCGTGAACGTAATTCTTTAATAAAATTCACAGAATCTTGCACGTCCCATGAATTTATGATTATTATAATTTTTGAATGCACGAGGGAAAGAAAAATTGGAAGAATCGAGTAGAAGCTTAAAGTAAATTCGTAGAATTACGTAAAAGGATCATCAGCCTTAATGACGAAGGACAGGAAGTGGTTTTTGTATACAATGGCGCATGCGCACTTAGCGAATAAGAATAATTCAATGACCATCAACAACCCTTTGACAATTTTCTATGAAGGGGTTGTACCTGCCAAGAGGTAGCGATAGCGAGGACTCATAAAGGTACTTGAAAATTTATCTCATAAAAAAAAGTGACTTTAACCCTTACGAAATCATCCCCTTCCCGTAGCATGATGCTAAGGGTGTCGGGGGGCGATGAAGCATGCGCGCTACTTTAATGTCAGAAGTGTCCAGGAGGCGCTTCCATAGGGGTTGTTGCAGCAGTAGGGAGGGGCCTCTCGTTGTGTGACTCAGGATGCATCCCTGAAGGCGCACTAGCAAATTTCTTAGGACGTCGCGGCGCCGGGCCCGCCCCTATGGATTATTGTAATAGGTGTTTCTACGTGTAGTTCCTAAATCGTAGTTATGACGTGATCGTGCAATTAATCAAGTGGGTGTTCCATGGATTAATCGCATACACATCTGCAGAATGAACGTGAGTTACTGTACTGAAAAGTACCTTTCAAATTATTGACTAGCTTTGGATGAGTGACGTAGGGGAGAATGCTATAATGTCAAATGATATTTTAGTAAATACAAATAAATTACCAAAAGGGGCAACATTTATCATTTATTGTACCTGTATGATGAAACTCAACGGTAATGGCTAATTGCAAGAGCACCATGAATCACTCAGAGATCATATACCTACAACTAGGTAGACTTAAAATCCCAAAATGATGTAACAATGATTTCGTCCTAAATAGCAATCTGTCAAAGATACTTTTAGATATCAATGTCCGTGTTTCAAAAAAAAAAAAAAAAATACAGATCTGCAAACTCTAGAGACATTTATTTCTTATTATTTAATTGATACAGTCGAACAATCACATGTAACATTAGATTGTTAAATAAATGTTCACAAAATTAATAAGATTTACAAAATATATTTATACCAACATTGACCTACTTAGCATTTAAGTATTTTAATAGCTAATCAACAATTTATTGACCAAATGTTTACTGTCACAACTGGTATAAAAATGTATATACAAATTTTGTATACAATATCAATAATTTACGTAACTCGCTATAGCGTATTGAATATCACCCCTCAACGATATGGATTTGAATTTGAATATCGTAGTACGTTGAAATGGAACGTTAGATAGAAAGTGTCTATCGTTGGATTGAGGTGAGAAAAAAGCTCAGAAAAAAACAATAGAAAACCTTTTCAAGAGGTAAAAATAAAATATTGTTTTTTAAAACAGTCGATAATGTGTACGCGTTATGCTCTGTCATCGTAAATTAACGTGACGAAGTTAGATAAATTAAACTGGGCATTATGAAATGTAGGGTCGGTTTGTATTTAGGCAGCTAAATACTGTAGTACAGCATAGGTCCACACATTTTCGTAGCAGAGAACGTAGTCGGCTATTGGGAAATTTGAAAAATTTATGTCATTCTCTGACTCGGGAAATAATCAGCACTCAAAGGAATCGGAAATTTTTTTCAAAAAAATTACAATAATTACTGCGGTTGCATTTGGCTTAGAAACAAACAATGAAAACACCAAATAAAAAACCATGTCATATAAAACAGGAAATCACATCTTAGAACCTCGAACATTCACGGATACCAACCGTCGTCCGAGAATAGTCAATTCGACGCATCTGGAGACTGAAACAGAAATGCGATTACCGTCTCGAGCAAACGCGGCAACGTTTTGAGCTTCGCATGAATTAACTTGATTCAAATGCGCAACTCTATACATTATTATTTATAAAACTTTGAACAAATGTCTTGTATTTTATTAATATATTTACGAATCCTATATAGATATTTCTTTTGTCCAGTTGTTATCCTTTTTTTTTAATTCTTTTTCCCAATAGGATTTTAACCTTTTTTCTTACCGCCCACATATTATCCGACTTTATATATAAATACATGGGTTGACGCACGTTGACGTAAAAGGGATGGAATTGTTATTTTAAACGCCACATCTCTCGTGTTCGACCCTTAAATACACACGAGTAAACACGTGCTGACGAACTTACGGAAAACGTGGCAAATGCTCTGTCGGATACGAATATCACTGACAAATAGAGAATAGAGTATACTTTCTATACATATAACAAGAACTAAGTTTTAATTAATGCGAATAAATTTTTACAAAATGAGCATAGACTAAATTGAAAATAATGTTATAGACCAATACCCTGCATATACATTTTTCAACAGTTACCTCTTAAGTGTATAAATTCTGTAGGTATGTTCCGAAAAGTACTGCAAGCATCGTTGTAACTCTGTTTATCAGCATGTAACTGAGTAAGGTAACGTTCCCTATGTCATTATACAGGAAACAAATAGTAAAAGGGCATAAGACTCAGTGAAAGAAGTAGGACAGTATTCTTTTTATTGAAACACTTCGCAGATGTCGTGACACTTTGTTAACACAGTCTCGCACTGCTGAAAGGTTAAGGGTTAAAGAGGCTAGCTTCTGAAGGTGGTGCGCATGCGCGTCGCTGTACAATCGCAAGCGTGTATATGCCTGGGTATAATCCTTATAAATCATAAAGGCATTTAACCTTTTATTCTCGAGTTCATTTCCGTCGCGAAAAGCTTTACTGTTCAATACAAAAGAAATTAAATCCATGCACAAGCGGTTAAGTAATTTGATTCCTATTAAAATGATAACCTTTGTGGGAATAGTGGCGCCATTGTCTAATTACTGAAAGCTTTTTTTGACTTCAACGTTCACTTTCCTCGTTGCGCACAGGGTATAGTTGGTCACCCAACAACCGACTCTCCCTTAAAGCTAAGACAAAAGCGTTCGATAGTCTCACAAGTGCTAGGGTTAACTACAGGGGTGTATCGTCTATATATGTTTACGTCATAAGTGCTTGCAGACGTTCGATCAGTACATTTTCTCATTTACTTCCTGTAATGACGGGCACAGCTGATTACTATCAATACTAGTTTAATAGGTACTATGATCAAAGCATGATTATTTTCTCTGATCAACTCTCTTATCCTGTGTTCACTTGGCGTAAGGCGTAACGTATGACGTCATTTTTTTCCAGGCTTTGGCAACGGATATGGTCCGTGGCGGCGGGGAGAGGATTGGTAAGCAATTTCCACTTTATTTATTAATTAAGCCTTGTTAACACATGGATAGAATAAATACGGCTTCATCTTATATCCTCTCGCATAAATTAGGACACCCCGTATAGTCTTTAGTTAATGACACTTCTTGCTGCGTGGGTCCAAATTCGTGAAACTATATTTATTATCAAGAATTTAGACGTGCTGTCCTTTTTATCTGTTCAGTGCATCCAAGTACGAGACAGTTTATTTGTTTCTAATGTTTTTAATGCTGAATTTTTTGATACAATGATACCTATGATTCAACCCGTGCTCAGAGAAGCACAAAACCTTAGACCTTGTGTCAGTTTTGAGACTTTTCTGAAATATAGTAATGTATCAGAATTCTTGTAGAATTAAATATAAAAATTTAAACGCATCTCAAAAGGTGGATAAAAATGATAGGTCAGAATGTTTTCGGAAGATAGAAATCGCAATCTGTTAGATTCCGTAGCGAAAAATTTTAGCTTAGATCAGATATGAGATGCTGCACAGATGAAGATCACCGGGTGGATTGAACGAATGTGAACACTGAATACTCTTTGCCAGTGCGTGTACGCAGTTTATTCCCGTATGCGTGTATCTGTATAGGGCTGCTCTATTCTGGCTGAGCACTCGGTATTATTAATAGAGATTAAACTACGCGTCGTGTAGTGTCGTGTGCAAGCGCTCTCCCGCGCAGGGCTGGTACAGTGAACAGTCTGACTCAGAGAGTGGTGCATGAGATACGCTCTTTGGTAGGAGTAAACACAAAGTTATTGTGAATCTCAAATTCGCGTGCAATTCTTTATTACCGCGATTATACCTATCGAGTATTAATTGCTCGATAATTATCGGCTGACAAGACAGACGAGGGACCGGAAATAACGCATTCCGTGCGGATTCGTTTAACAAATAGACAATAACTTGTGCTTATGTGACGTAGTCCCGAACTTTAACGAGTCTTGTCGATTTTTAACGAGTGTTAACAGAAAAAAAAACATGGCGTCGCATCAGATTCACGATTTATTATCGTGAGCTGGTGAAGAGGTATACTTACGGAAATTTGAAAATTTGCCCAAATCTTATTTTATTTTGGTGAAACTAAAGCGGGCTGGTATAACGTAGCGGGATTTTCCTAGTCGAACGGATGATGTTTTCCTAGAAAACCATTATAGAATGGCGTAATGGGATTGGAGCAGGATGTAAATAGGGGCGGAGTCTCCTGTTCTCGCTTCTTTAGTTTTCGATACTTTTAATTGTCTGCCGTTACAAGATCTGTTACCACTATGGTTTCGGGGTGTAGTTTGAACTCTCATTAGTGTAGAATTTGAAGATAAAAACTTGGTGGTTTTTATGCTTAAGTATTAATTAGCCAAGGTTACTGAGGAAAGATCATTTTATTGGCTCGTTTAATTGATCCGACTTCGATCAATTTGCGCCACTTGTTAAACGCTTGTTGGGTGTAACGATGCCAGTGTTATATGTGGTTTTACATTCATTCTACAAAAATATGAAATAATGACAATTTTTTAAATATTTGTAATAAGACGATTTTCAACAATAGAGATTATGCAGATTTAATGCAATATTGGCAAGGACGTATTTACTGTTGACAGTTAAAACAATATTATCACGCCTTATATCGATTTGGTGATAAGCCACAAGAGTTTCTTTCATTGAATTGGAATCTGACAGACTATACGACGCCTTATTGGCGATAACTTCAATGTAACGCGTATTAAAAGATAGTTAATAATACAATTAGATAGGAATAAAGAAAAATTTTTAGAAACTCTTACGTTTGAAGGTCGTTTCAGACGTCTCGATCGTTATATCCTTCAGTTACTCCTTGCTGTAACGTTTTATTCCAATCAATGTCAATTCAATCAATCATTAATTTTCAACTTCTCAGTGTTGGATTTCAACAGGCTCGTAAAACGATCTTGACTTTATCAGTCTGCTTACAAGTATCGAATTGTCCGCGAACATATTAACCGAACTTCTTTAGCTCCGCTGACAGGATAGAATTTCCTAACACAAGCACTTCTTACAGCTACTTTAATCAATCCACACCATAGAATATCCACTTTGCTTATAGATAACACACTAGAGTAGTCGACTATATTAACATAAAAAGTATATATAGATAACTCAAGTACACCTATGCAGAACCAACTTTATAGCATAGTATATGAACACGAGCATACGATAACCTAAACATAGCGATTGACACTCGCCAACGATGGCTGATATTCCAGTCTCAGGGTATTCTTGACGTTACACACTTTAACTTTGATAATTCATTTATTTTATATTCTAGTGCAAAATATAGTGTATCACATTAGCGGAAAGCTTGTAGTACAGTATAATCTTAAAAGCTTTTAAAGTGAAAGACGGTTAATGCGGATGCATCAGAAATGCTACAGTTAATAGTTGTGGCAAAGTCCGCTAGGTGGATTTGAAAATAAATGTAATGCTACGTAACGTATAGTGGGACGTGGTTTAACTTTGAACAGTGTAATACTCAACTAACGTACTGCTTTAGTGTAACAATACAGAGAAAGCGGAAGTTAGTATATCGTATGAAGTGAAGTGACAGAGACAACGCAGCAAGTGACTATGCTGTAATGTGAAAGAAAAGATTGTCGATATTTCTTTGACAAATGATGCTGGTGCTTTTACTGTGCGTCATCATGAAGATTGCTGAGTTTTCAGTGGGCCGCACAAATTCGGCTCTTCCGGCACCGAAACGGCCGCCATCACCATGCTGCAACAAACGGAAGCGACACGAGCGCCATTATAATCAGAAGGCGAATAACGTCAGATGCAAATACATCCTTCGAAAACGTAAGGTTCGACGCCTACTGTCGATCACAAAGCACCGATGATATCTTTATCCTTTAAAAATTTAACTTTTAAATTATTACTGATAATATTGAAACATTTTTTTTGCTACTAACAAGAATATTTTTAAGATCAAAATTTACTAACAGTGAGTAAAAGATCATTTGTTGTTGTATGTGGTAAATGTACCTTTGGAACTTTCAGATAACGTAGATAAATTATGGAATTGGTCGAATTATTTATTGTTGTTGTAAACGCCATTCGCCAAACGAATGAGGGTTAAAAAAATGACAAAATGATGACACAATATTACAGGCATTTAAATCCAATGACTAATATTCCTGTTAAAGTATTTAGCAGAAATGTAGGTGGGGATAATTCTTACTACAAGACGCTACACTTATTTATCTGGAAATGCGATATGAGAGACTGGTTGTAAAATAAAATTCCTACAGTTCTCGGATGTCAACTGTAACACATATGTGTGTATTTCCGGTTGTTAAGCGTAATGTATAAATCTTGCTTATAACATGAAACTGAGTAAATGCTTATCAGAAACTTATACTTATTCATAACCGACTGGGACAAATTTTTCGTATATTTTGACGTACTTTGCATTTAATCTGCCAATAATAAAATTCATTGCTCTTCGTCTCTTTTAACTGCACAGTGTGACGTCTATAAATATCTATGATTCAGAGTGCACGTTAAATTAGGAAATTGGGCGACAGTAACGACTCATCCTCCTTGCGTACATTGTACAATTAATCACACGACAATGTAAAATATCATTATTAAATATTACGTAATTTAAAAAATATTGATAGGGAATTTACAATTTTCTTATCGCCCCTCATATATATGATAATGATTTCTTACGAAGGTAATTTGAATAGTAGAAACGTTATGAAACGTTTCTCTTTGGTTAAATAGAAGGTTTTTATAAATATTTTTACTTTGATAACTACCCGTGTTATGTCAATGCCAGTAACGCTTTGAAAATGAAAACTGTAAACTGAAATGTTCGGTAACGCGCTATTGGTGGCATATTCCGTAAAATTTGACGTTAAAGTTTCGCAAGCGTGCAGAAATAAAATTCGCGTCGTGTCGGGGCGTCTGAATTAATACTCTCAGGCGATGCCAACGCTGATGCTACAGTAATTAAAATTATCCATCGGTTTGAACGCTACTTTATGCGCTGAGAGTTTTACATCTCCATTTTGGTCAAGTTTTATTGTTGTCAGTTATAAGTCCATGTTCCAGTTAAAACCGCACGTATTGCAGTGGCGCTGCAATCGCACCAAGTTGCGAGGATGCATAATATAATACTTTTTTTGCATAATCCTATTATTCGTTACAAGCATAACTCTGTTCACACGTGGGTGCTATCGGATCGTATGTTGGCAAAGTGCTAACTGTGTGGGAAACGTGTGGGTGCAAAAAATTGGCAAGCAACGTGTTGCCATTTTAGCATTGAGCTATGTATGTACGTACGTGACCAAGGCCTGGTACTTATTAGATGCCTTTATTAATCAAGATTGAGTAGTACCTTGCAATTTCTGACACACAGATAATGACAGTTCTCCTCAGTTAATCTAAACAGTCATTTAAATTTATGAAATCGATTATCCGCATTTTATTTTGTTTGCCTTAATCTTTTATGATAACGTTTAACTATTATATAATACCTCTGGTTTGGGTATTGCGTTTGTTATATGTATAAATATGTTTTATACAATATACTGTATTCCTTCTCTGTACTGGCGAGCAGACGGAAATCTCTTGGACTAACTTCGCTGTACAGACTATGGAATGTTTATGTATATATAGATACGTATGTACATGTATATTTGAGTTCTTCATACCGCGCAAGTTTCAAGACATACCTCTAATTTTATACCGTGAGGTCGCTCTTGTAGGCTTCGAGTTTTGTGCTTCTTATATTTTTTTCCATGTTACTCTTTCACGTCCAGACTGCACTCATCTCCGTATCATTGACAGGTTATCTTAAGGCGTACTGAAAATTTTCTGAGATATTTTTAAGTGCTCTCCATAAGCCCTTATCTACGGGGTGTTCGACAGACAGCTACTTCAAAGCACAAAAGATAGATAATCGACTTGGAAATTGTTCAAATATTTGTCTTGCATTTCTTACTTTTCAAGTATCTTACATAACTAGCACCGGACATTTTTGAGTGGGTTGTGGGAATGACCATTTAGATTGGACTGAATGATAAAGTTTCAATTAAAGTAAACCTTCACATTTGCCACAAACAGGATTGAATGTCATATTTAAAAAAAAGTAAATGTTAACTATTTTTCATAGATTTGAAAAAAGGTCAAAATATATTTATGGCTCTGGTAATCTTTTGTGATAGCCTTATGTGTGGGATATAAGTCCATGTTTCTTTGTTGCATAAATATTGAAATACGTACAAAATATTTGGATAGCCGGAATGGAATTCTATTTGCATGAACCATTTATTTTTATGTCGTGCTTGACCTCTTTTGATGAAAAAATCGATTAAGTAATTCCACTCGTTCGCTTCAGTGCTTTTTTTGCTTTTCGACTGTCTATTACTATTTCTTTGTTTGGTTATTGATTGATATAAAAAAATTCTAAAATCATCTGCTGACTTGAATTAAAATATTTGTCTATTAGATCTTTTATGTAAATCAATATTAACGATCAGTGGAGCTCATAGAACTTCCATAATTGTGTATGGACGGTGAAGCCATATGTTGCTTGTAAAGTTTTATGTCTCTCTCTGTTACATTGATATATCTCATTTGACCTAGATCTAGATTCTTAGTTATGATCGATAAAAGAAAATTAAATAATTATTATAATTTAAACAGCAGGTAATCACACTTATCTAATGTCCATACTGTTACGGAGTAAAGATGAAAGTTCAGCTATTGATTGGAATTTTTCACATATGGTCATTAATTGGAAGCATTTTCTATTTCTTCCATTAAACGTCTACATCTGAGATTAAATTTTATTTCAAGAACAATGTCGTAGCTCAAAATGAAATTGTATACTCTTAATAGTGTAGTGCGCATGCGTACACTATACGACCTACCATGGGCGTAGCTATAGGAAATTTGTATCAGTAGTACAGTGCGTAATGCGCCGTCACCATATGGACGTAGCGATGTGCGGTTTCGGGTAGTTTTTTTTTGTGCTTCACGTAAAAACTACTATTCACGATAAGCCAATATCACATCCACAGCAATGCGATGGAAGGCTGTTCGTCCAGGTATACTAAATTTTCTTGAAAAATTCATTAGATAATTGAAAATCAATCATCTTAATCATCACAATAATTCATACTCCATATTTGTGTATGTACATTCGCTTGCCTTTTCTTCTACGTATACCAACTATACACTTAGGTATTAAAATATACACTTCCATAGAAGCTTCGTGACAATTAAAAAATAAAAAAATTTAAGTGAGTTAAGGTAATAATAAAATTGTAGTATATTATTCAAATAAACCGTGCCATTTACAGTTTCTTTTATAGTATAAAGATATATTCAGCATGTGAGACTGCGGGAGGTGTCAACAGATCACGAGATTTGACGTAGACAGATTGAATACAGGAGCCAATGACAGCTCTAAACTATTTACCGTTACATTTGCTCCAACAAATTTTAAGATCCAGTAGACTCTACAGCGAGTATTTAAAAATCATAGACTATTCAATTAATAAGACACACATATATCTTTGTTGCACCTGCACGTGACATCCAGTTTAACTGGAAGTGCCTAAGTGTAATTAATATGACAAAAAAGAATAGCGTGAATGGAGATTGAATTCCGCGGGTTAAATTGAGTTTTCAGATTTGGAACTAGTACTCGTGAACCACAAAATATATAATACGAATATAATAATTATATAAAATTAATTCACTACATAATTATTATATCCACCGTTAAGTACGTATAAAGAAATATTCAGTAATTCCTAATCAGCAGTTATTACTGCTGCGCCTCTATAAAATCTACACACGACATACAGTAGATAATAAACAAATACAATATTGTTCTCAGAGCAGATACTGCATTTTTGTTCGAGTCTGTTGTGTACTATTATGTTATGGTTGTTCGGTAACGTAAAGAGCGCGAGCGCAAGTTCTTCGAGTGTCTGCCATAGCAATTCTGTGACGTCGTTAACTGACAGTTCTCCTTGATCGAACCCCGTGCATTCCACACGAGGATACACGAGAATACACGAGAGCGTACGAATCTATTCGCACTGTCTCGGCGGTTCAGGTTTGTGTTTAATAAATAATTCTGTTGTACTGTATTGTTACTCCAATTGTTATCCAACAGTGTTCAAACAAATGTTACAAAGGTACAGTACATAGAATATTCTACGTCCGTTAAGGCGCTTGTTGTTCAAATGGTGATGGTTAGGTTAGGTTGGGTTTATACAGTGCTGATCGATCGGCCCTTTATCATGTGAGAAGGTTAGTAAAAACGTATCGCGCGAGTATCTTCTATTCTTTTATATCTATTTTGTTTGGATTGTTGTAATAGAAAGAAGTGTTCGAAAATGTTTATTACGGTTGTTTGACAATGTGTCATTGTTGAGGCTTGTCATGGATTTTATACTTTTATATGTATATGAATAGACAGGGTTGAAGTAGCTACAGCCACAGGGGTTGCTTTTGGGTCAAGGAGAACAATTGTGGGCTTTAGATTGTTTCTGGTACCTGAGATTTAGAAAGTTGTCCTAGCTTTATTTTCTTAAGGAGAAAGCATTATTCTGATTGTGTCACATTGTGGTCAGTTTGTGACTCATGCTTGCAAACAATACGAAATTTTTGTATTGGTACCTATTAACGAATGTCAGCTGGAGTAGCGTGATATGTCATTGGAATTATTTTATGTTATGAAAAAAATAGCGGGAGGCATATATTTTGTGAATATATGTAAATATTTGATATTCGTCGTCATGATGTGATATTGAGCAAGAATTGTGAAAAAATCAGGTGTTAATTAAATTGACGTCGTATACATTGATTAACCATTTAATGTGTACATTTTGCTTAGTACTGTTTTAACATTTACTCAGGGCAATTTTATCAGTTGTCATTTAGAAATTTATTTATGAATTTTAAAGAATTGTTCTGTTTCTTTTTTTATTATGAAGAGAAACATTTATCTGTTTTCAAATATTTGTTTACCAAATTTCTCCGTTCTATAATGAGAAATGCAATAAATGTATGTTCAAAACTGCTTGATTAAATGTAATACCATTTATGCTGTCAAAAATGTTTAATTTTTTTTATGAATATGTATTTATCAACTGTATTCTTTATTTGAAAACATTGAATGATTTTTATCAATAAAACATCGATATAATTGTTAGTAAATGTTTAAGTCTTTATCTTTGACTTGCCTTTCATTATCTTATCAATAGGTGGAAGATAGATCCCAGTTATGAATCAGTGCAATTAGAAGTTAGCGTAGCCTCAGTGTTCATTACATGAATTTAAATCCAGTCTGGTAGGAACAATTAAAGGAATCGATGTAAAGCATTCTAATTGAATCATGTGTAGACCACACCTTGTAAGAATTGGTGAGAGGTGTATTTATATCAAAACATCTGGCACTTACTCGAAGCCGTTTCGTATCGTATATGAAAATGCTGGTAAGCAGCTAAGAACCATTAGGGAATACTTACATCTTTACTAACTCAAATTTCATTAGCCATACATGTTTATTTTATTTGTAGTCTCATAAAAATGTGTTGTACTTTTACAATCCGATAGAGATGCGTTCTCCTAATAAGCTCCAGAAATTTTCACATTCTACAAGATTACTCCTAGATCCATAGTACATTTCTAGTTTATAAACCAGTTTACAGTTTCGAATCCAAATATGGAATAATCCAAGTCGAAGGGTTGTTGATAACAAGTTGGATCAAGACTGCTGCAATCCTTACCATATTGAGAATGTTGATAAAATTTTAATGAAATTCTACAGGAGTTTAGTTGCGAATCAAGTTACCATAAAATTGTCTGAGTTTTATAATTATGTACTAAAGTGAAAATATGGTTCATAAAGATGGCTATATGACAACCAACAGTTATGAAATATGAAAAAATAATTTATTTAAGTTCCACAATTACAGAGTGTCAACTCAGGTTGAAATAAGAGTTGTGAGGAAATATGTTTATGTTAATGAAACAAATTTTTTAAATTTAAAGGTGCCGGTGGCGGCGCCGCAGGAATGGAGGATCCGCAGACACCAGGATCCGATTGCAACTCCAATCCTGCTATGGATCACATATCCCAGGACCTGGTGAATTCGGATTTTGTCCAGGATAATGTTGAGTACCAATGGGTCATTGATTACGGGTAAGTTGTGTAAACAAAAAACTTGTTAATCATAAATCTCCTCCAAAAGAAGAGGAAAAACGGATATATTTATTTCTTGTCTAGTTATAGAGATGGAGGATTACACGTACATCCCAGTGTGTTGTCCTCGCTCTCGGCCTCTTATACCCGCGATGACCTTGGTTATTACGATGACCTTGCGCGGAATTTGGACGCAAATTTGGCGGAAGTTGATATGGAGAGCTTCCGCACCGCTGACATCCACACATTGCTCACAGCGCTACCAGTCATGTGCACCGAACCAGTTCAGCATTCGGAGGTAACACAACAACCACCAATTATTTTTGCGAAGATTCAAATCTTCAGCAAAATATTGTCTTAGGAAATATTAATTTCGTTCTTGTAGATCGCTCAGGATTATTTAACTAGAATTTTGTTTACTTCAGTGGTACATGTTTTTATACTCTCTTTGATTCCTTTCTGTTTGACTGTCAGATAGAACTGCATATCACGTAATTACGCTCGTGACTTTAGAGAATTAGACTCATTTATATTTTAGAAAATTGACTAGCGATTGGCTAGCTTAATTGCACATTTAAGCGATATTAAATATATTAAATGGCACCATATCAAGGTGAGAATCCTCTGTGCGTAGCCAGAGTTGATCTGGCTGTACTCAAGGTCGTGTCTGTTTTCAATTATATATTGCATTTGATATAACTGACTTCACTGATTCTTTTAATACGCCAATGCCTAATTGATTTATTATATTATTCTCGCGGCAGTCTAACTATCAGAGGGAGCGGTACGCCAGTATATCTGGCTCCGTCATGGAAAAGCTTGACTTTGATTCGTCGATCAGTCCTCATACAAGTAGCCAGGTATGAGTCCTTTGGCTAGTAAAAGAAAATAAAACACGCATGAGCATTCGTTATGTTTGATCTTCGAGCTTTCGCAGGCATTCTTTATTTCTTTGACTTTTTGAACTTATAATGATCTAGAAGACCTACCATTATTATTATATCCTTTAAGTAATATTAATACAAAGCATAAACCACGCTCATTTTGTATGCATGAAACCGACTTATGACTAAGCATCGATTCGTTGAGTAAAAATAAACTAAAACGTGCGTCAACGTTTGGCAAGTGCATCTCACCTTCACCAATAGGAGTTCATTTTTACTGACACAGGAAATAATTTTGGAACAGATGAATCTCTCGAATGGTGTAAGAAGGTGTAGAGTGGCTCCAATACTATACGTTTCAATGTTACGGTTTGGAACCTTCGAACAAGGACCTTTTGATAAGCAATCATTTGCAACATGAAATTAGCTCTGACATTAAACACGCAGAAGTGTTTGTTCTAATATTAAATTGTTGAACCCACAGTGAACATGAGTTTTACAGGTAACAGCTGATAGTCCCAGGTCATTGATCCTTCTTACACCCTGATCAGAATTATCCAGCGATCTAATGATACTACAATAATGATGAATTATGGTAACAAAGACAAGTAGTGCATGGCACTATTGACCATATTTTTTCAAAGGCGCATGACTTTAAAATATCAAATGTAGGGTGTTTATAATGAATACAATTGTATTAATAATCTATTGCGTTTTATGAAGGGAGAAGACTCGGCATGCTCGACTACAGATACAATGTCGATATGCAAGTCCTCTTTGCTGTTTTCACCTGTGAAGGAGACACCTGTGCTGCCACCAGGTGGCAGCTACAGTGTCGACTCCCTGGACTGCGAGGATATGTTGCTCACGTGCCAAGCTAACAACAAAAACAATTATACTATTGCATTCGAAGGCAGTATCACTATGTATTCGGATGGCTCACAAGATTTTGAAAATCAAGGTTAGAATCTTTGCAATTTATCTTTTTCTTTATACACAAATCAATGTTTATCTTAATCAAGCCTTTATTAATCTGGGGTAGCAAAGGCTTTTATTATTATAGTTTACTTACCGGGCAATGTATAAAAACTGAATAAAGTAAGAAGTCGCTTTTTCTTTTGCAGACAAGCCAAAAATGTATGAAGTTCCAGAATCGTACTATGATGACCGGAAGTTCGAGCTGAGGAACATACTAGATCTATCAATGGCGCGTTCAGACTCAAAAATCTACACAACTTGGAGTAATTTGAAGCGTTCGTCTATGAACAACGCAATGATGACTCGTCATCCTTCCGGAAATAATAACACGATTCCAAATTTCTTACAAGCAACCGGAAACGTGACACACAACCTGAGCAAAAAGAGTCAGAGCTTACCGGATTTGACGAAAACGGGCGAACTCCAACATGTTGCCGTGCCGCTCAATTTTTCTGTAAGCAAATGTTACATGTATTTAAAAATCAGATGTTAAGGTAGATATTGCAAAAGATTTTCTATGTATTCATTAAATGTTTTCACAGGTGGATTCGGCGGAATCTAACAATCATGGGACACATCTCCAAAGTTCCGGTTCTGCCATGAGCAGATCTATAAACGAGGAAAGTTCAGATAGTATGGGTAATACTTCGACAGGAAAAAAGTTACAGAACTTGAGTCTTGTAAGATTATTTATGAAACAAAAAAGCATGAGTGCTGAAGGAATGAGTCTGACATTGGATCAATCGGGATCAGTAAGTGATGGTGGATGGGCAACTAGCGGGAGCGGTAGTGGTACAAATACCAATACACAGATCCAACGTCACAATATTAATAATACCTGTAGTCATCAGCTTCTGGAAAATGATTTTTCTATCAATTGGGTGAAAGGTGATCATCTCGGTCATGTGAATAAAGAAAGCTTGGCAGAAATATACGAAGACCTTCCGAAGCGTTCGGCGCCGATACTAGAATACGAAGAAGAGACCGAGTCATCTGCTTCCGTCGAGGAACTCTCTGAGAGTGTATCGAGATCGGAATCTGGGCTAGACGATGAGAGTGGCCAAAATGTACCGCAGAAATGTATAAACGCGTGGAACGGTCTGTTGGAAATAAACCGTCCAATGTCCAAGACAACGGGTATCCAAGCAATGACGGAAGTGGAAGACAACGCTGTTCAAACGTCTCTAGTTTATCCCGGACCACCTATCCAAGAAGCAGATCATCCGCCATTACGGGAAACCATCGTTGAGAAAAAACCTGTCTATGTTGTATATCCAAATTACACATTACCGGATTTATCTTTTCTGAATTCTAAGGATGGTAAATTTGAAACTGTGGCTCTAAAGCCCCAGAGCTTCGACAGAGCTAGACCTAGTTGGAAGCGTCCTGGCAAATCGGGCAGACCGTTCTCATGTAATGATATCGACGCTCTAAAGCAACGTGGCTTTTCTCACGTTAAAGATTGGGAATCGTTGACGTTCCTACTCCCTACACAGTACAAAAAGATCCTCCACGATGTTCCAGAAGTCTCCAAACACATCAAACTCGGCGAAGAAATCAGGAAACCTTTGTTCTGTTTGTCGCCACCCATGCAACACAGGACGACGCGAACCGTCGGCGAAATTGTACAACAGCAACAACAAACCAATAATGCCTCCTCCACGAGCAGCACTGCTACTCAACCATCCTCGGGATACCGTGGTTCCTCCACAATCCTCACAGACTCTTCGACCAATCAACAAGCCGTCTCAAGCAATGCAACCAACCCTTTGTATTTGTATAGATACGATAGTATCAGTTCTGAAGCTAGCCTTGTTTGTCAGGACACAGTACTCCAAAGACCGTCTTGTCAGCCTAGAATTACATGTCCTGTACTACCAAAACGTTCGATCTCGTTGCCACATGGTGATTCGAATATTTCAACCAGTGGAAAAGTACCGCCGAGACCTCCATTACCTCGAAGTATTCTCAGGAAGAATCGTGTACCTTCTAGCAAACGATACAGCATGTTTGAAATGGGTGGCGTTGAAGAAGTTGAAGATCCACAAACACTTGAACCAAACAAGAGAATGTCTTTGCAAGAGCCATACTATATCAACAACGATATTCAATTAATGCGTTATGGTAGGATAGTCGACTCTGAGAAGGACGTTGATGAAGTGGAGGAGCGCTATTATGCAGGTAAGCACATTTGCATATTTATAATTTTTCAATATTATTATCACTATTTTATTTGTATAACTTGTAATTTTACAGAGAGATTAAGAGAAGCAGCGAGCCGCACAGAATACGAGACTGAATTTACAGAAAGCAGTGAGGATGTGAAGCAGCTTGAAGAATTTTTAAAACGGAGCGGATTCTCATCGCAAAATAGCGACGTCGACGCTGATGACGTCGATGTCAAACTCAGATCATATGTGAGGAAATTCCTTGCTCTTAAGATGAACCAGGACATCGCCAAGACGGTCGACATGATGGATTCTCAAAAAAAGACTGTCAGCTTCGCTGTACACCAAAGAAAACAATATCTAGACAATAAGGTAATTATTTTTCAAAAGCGAACAATATGTTGCATCCACTCATTTTCATCCTGACACTAAAATTTTGCTTAACTTATAAGTTCCAGGAAAATAACGCAAGCGTTGCAGTAAATGTCATGAACGACGAAAAACCAATCACAATGGAACCAAATGTGACCAGTGCTGAGCTGCGGTCAGCCGAGCTGGATGATAAGAAAGGTGTGTATAAAATACCAAGTCGTTTATTTTGGCAAAGGTTCATAATAGGAGTAGAGTCTGTTACACGCAGAAATGAAACTGAATTGTAATGATTTCAGAGATGCTGCGACCTATAAGCAAGTCTGTCGAATTACTTTTGAAATACTGGCATGCGGAACCAATCCGCAACAAGGAAGGTTATAATGACAGAAATGAATGCTCGCAAATTTGTTTGAGCAATTTGTGTCCAGCACTTTATGCAATTATGTCTGATGGTTTGAGGCCCCAGTTACAATCCACTTTTGGACCAATCACAAATAGCGTTTGGCAAGTCGTTGAAGCTTCTTCTCAACAAGGTCCACTCACCAAGACGTTGAATGAATTGGTACAGAAAATCAACGGTGTTGATTTCATAACCGAAGGAATGCTCAAATTCCATGCATTCATTTTTGGTTTATTAAAGTATGTATTATAATTATTTCCACTTTTTCTTGTATTTCATTGTATATTAACAAAAGACTTTCAATTTTCCAGTTTAAGGGCACTCGATGCTTGGTTTGCTTACTTGTGTACGAGGGAGTCGATACTTCGTAAACACTACAATAGTAACAGTTTATTTGTTGGTGCGCTAGCCTCTGTCAACGCTCGTGAGGTCATCGACAATTTCATGAACATTCTACAACCATTAGCTCTGTGTCCGTTTCAACTGGATCTTCTGTATCAATATCGGCAGCTTCACAACAGTTTTGGGAATATGACTAACCATGCAATGACTGTGAGTTGTATTTCATTTATTTTTACATTTATCAATGTACAGTCTTACATTATAAACGAATCTGAAACGCGTGAAATATAGTCAATTGTTTTCTAAGTTACTCTGAAGATGATGAGTCAAGTGAGCTGGAATTTGAGGTTTGAAAAAACAATTGATAGTTGCAATGCAGAACAAGCGAAATATAAAAGTTTAAGATTTTAAGTAAACTTTTGGTTGATGGTTAGTGTAATAAAATGAAAAGCAATGATAATTATTGTCCTATGATCATTGCAGGCACCGTCATTGAGGAACAATGAATTGCCAAAGGAACAACATCACTTTGAGAAGTCAGAATTGCGTAGCACCACTCAAAGTCCAAAGAAGCCGCGTCCACGCTCATGTGTCGCCTACAATTATGTCGAGAAACAGTTAAATACGCATAAGGCTGACTTGGAGAACGTAACCAGGAAACGATGGAGCCAGCTGCCTCCTGGGTCCAAACTATTCCAGGCGATCGACAAATTGGCATCTGAAGATTCTGAAGATTACACAGATAGCCTGGAACACTCACCATTGAACAGGGGTAGACAATCTGTACCGTCTAGAACCTTGAGTCCTGATATGAAGCACGATAACGAAGATGAGGATGCTATTCCTGGTGAACTCAAATTCAGAAAACTTCAGGAGAAATGGGAATTGATGGGTGGTAAGGATGAAACAAAGGAACACGCTGTCGCGCCTACACCCACATCACCGACCAGAACACCTACTAGTCTTGGGAAATCCAAAATACCGCGGTTGCTTACGTCACCGATAAAACAGCAAGCAGGAAATCCAGGGTCTCGGAACACGAAGTCACCGGTCTCCTCGGGTATTCCATCTTTAAAGAAACCGACGACAGCGACGACAATTCAAACAGCTAAGGTGATACCAAGAAAATCTGGTGACATGAGAGGCAAGGATGCCTCAAGCCGTACCAGTCGTGTTGATCAAGACACAGTTGGTGTCACCAGGATTCATTTAACGAGGCCTAGCTCTCTACCATATAAATCTCCACACGGCGTTACAGCTAAGGACAAGAACCTAACATCGCCACACAGAAGGGCTGCGTCTACGTCTCTTCCAAGGCCGACAGCTGCATCATCCGCAAAGAATCCACCCGCTAAAGCGCCACTTAAGTAAGTACCTAGCCAAACCTAAAATAAACTAAATTGAACCTGCATTCAAACCAATTGGTTTTATTTTTAATCAAAGGGACGTCAGAACTTTAACGCATAGGTTACCTGGTGATAATGGGCACTTGTCATTTGTGGAAGGTGAGAAGCTCAAGGTCATCCTGGAGGTTGACGCTAAGTGGTTATTATGCGCTAAGGGCGAACGTAAAGGTCTGGTACCTCGATCGTGCGTACAACCTATTTTTACCTAACCCATTCCTCTATGCCAGCGATAGTGCAACGCATCGACGGTAGCATTGTCAAAATGGCGTATAATTATGCAAACGCGACTGACGAACAAAGAAAAAGACAGTAAAAGACATGCTAACCGCGATGTGTCATTCGATGAAGCTGGGAACAAAATGGCGTCCAGTAGGACAAAAGAAGAAGCAGTTCGAGATGAGTGAAGGAGCGTTTACGTGTACAGTGTATCAAAATGAGGAACGTAGAATCGCTTTTTGCAGAAAACTACGTATTCGTAAGAAAATGTCAGTTAAACACACAGTTACCCATAATAAGAAACAAGCTAACCACTCGAAGCTTCGTTTGTATTTGGGATGCGATAGTATTACCTATTATTATTATTATTATTATTACTACTACTACTACTACTACTACTACTACCGTTATCATTAAGTCGATTAGGGATATAACGCTAGTCATAGGCTTTCGAAACCAGAATGTATTTAATTGCATTGAACATACACCTATTTATAATCGATGATGTACATATATACAGTTATGGTGATAATGATGATGATGATGATGATGATGATGATGATTATTATTATTATTATTATTATTATTATTATTATTGGTGGAGATAATAATGATGATGTTGAACGCAATGACGAGTAATAACTTATATGATATAATTATATTATTAATTGTAACTGTGATCATAGCAAATAGGCGAGCATTTTATCAGCACAGACGTGCGATGAATATGTTCTTCTCAAATTCTTTTTCGTATTATTATGACTAATTATGATTATAACTATGTTCTCGCGATTGATTATTATTACTGCTTTCCGCAGTGACGTGTGCGCAAAACAGCATTTACGTTTTCACTCTTATGTTGACGTAGAAAAATTTAAAAATCTGGCGCTTGCAATTCTCTCGCAATTACCAACATTTTTTACTTGCTTTATGTATACTGTTCATTACATGAATACGTAAAATGTAATCGAATAAAATTCATTGTAACTATCTTGCGCTATTCTTACATTACCTCTATTAAACGCATACAAGTGGACCTGTCAAAGAATGCTTATTGGGCTAATGCCACGGTTGTGCGACGCACAAAATGCTTTATAAAAAATATTTCTTTCAGCAGCAGGATGTAAAATTAGAGAGTACTTATGCAATACAACTGGCGGCTCTTCTCGATTCAGGTGCGAACAATTTTTCAATTTCGAGAAAAATGTATGTAAAAAAAATCATGAGTTTATTGACTCATTACGATTACAACAGTTAAAGTATTCACAGTTTTCACCGAGACCTGTAATGATCGTGCGCAGAACTTCAAGGCGGCCGGAGCTTCAAAAAAGAAGCATACGGTATGTTAAACGCAAAAGGTCTATCCTTAGCCAAGGATTCACTGCAATGAAAGACCACGGGCATAGCATTCGACGGCATTCTTGCGAGCACCGCCAGGACGTCCCAAGGGACGATATTTGACGCTACAACCTTCGCCACTACCGAGCAAGTTCAGTGGATTAAACGTAAGGAACCACGTCCGCCGCCGGCGGCGGACCCCGTTAGCCAATGATCTCCGCGCAAAATGTCTTCGACAGAGAGTGACTGTAGATTAGCAGGTGCTCAATAGCACCCGCACCTACCCCAAGTGAAACGGACCCAAGAACACAAGCACAGATGGGACCCAGAGCTAACGGACTACCCCGCACGACCTCCCCGCCGGCACATAGGATCGTCTCTACCCACACGAGTGCTCCAGAATCAACGACATGTTGAAACGTTTTTAGCAAAGCGAACAAATTATACTAAATACGCGAGAGCTACACACCTGATTAGATTTACTATACGAAAGACCATGGCCGTAGAATCCTAAGGGGGGTAGAGAGCTCAAGGCCGTCGTCGGGAGATCCATAGGGTCCTGTTGCGGCCATAATTTGGGCCCGATCCACTGAACAAGTTCAGCGGATGAGGCGGAATGGCAACCCTCGACACCATGGTCTATACGTGTAGCTTCTCTAACAGGGTGACTACCCTTTTATATGACTACTCTAGTGAATATGCTCAGCCTGACCAAGGAAATAGGAAAAGTAAGACAAACACAATGGAAAGTGAGAGGGAACAGAGCGAAACGATAAGAAAGAAATAAAGATCGAAATAAAGAAGTGAAGAAGTAAAAAAGTAAGGAATAGAGTTATAAAAGTTGAGAAGAAATGAGGAAAGAGATAAATAAGAAAGTGAAGAATGAAAGATAAAGAAATAAGGAATTAAAGAATAAATAAATATACAAGAAGAAGAAAGTTGTTAGAAATGGATATGTGGGGTGTTTCCAAGAGACCACAAGAGATCATTATAGGAGACCGGCTCGAGGAAGAATGAGCCTCGAGCGCTCCCCCCACTGTCCGCCTGCTCGCACTCACCGAGTCCCGCACGACGAATTTGCACGCACACAATTTTGGGCAACTTGCAATACTTCTACATATGCTTGGCCAGAATTCCCGATTTCTAAGTGTTAGTATTTTACTTTATTGATTTAATTAATTATTTTAATGTTCCAAACACCTAATTTATTAATATTTCAATTTGAAGGTAATTTATTTTCGATATTCTACAGTTTCAATTTAATTTTTATTTACTCCGTATATTCTGCGAGATTTTGATTTAGCCTCAATTTTATATTTTGAATAAACTTTGAAAGTAAATCAAGATCCAACAAAGGTATATGGAAACTTTATTCAATTTTTCGAATTTTTAATATTTCTGTGCGACTTATTTTTTTATTCTTCTCTTTTCCTTCTTCGTCTTATTACTTTTTAGCTTTATGCCCTCATAGAGGGCCAAGTGCCAGGAAATCAATTGTCACTACCGGGCTTCTGTACGAATATTTTTATCTTCATGTATCCGAGTAAGTATCTAGCATTCAAAAACGGAGAAACTACTTTCTCAGCGCGCTCGGCTCATTGTTGAACGCACCTGTCATAGGTGTTTTCGAAAATGAACCATATTGTAAAAGTTTGCAACCCGGCCAAGAGTATATCAAATTGTACTTGTTATTTGAAAATGCTTGTGAATGTAATATTAGGTAATGCTAGTTGAAATCTGCCTACTTATCTCTGGCTCACGCTACCGTTTTAGGATTTGTTTCACAACTTTCTGGAAGTGTTGCTAACAATCGTCGTGTCTCTTTTTTCTTTAATGTATCTGAGAAAGATCCAATATTCCTTCCTTCCTTCCTTTCCTTATGGCTGTATCCCCAATGGGGGACATGTGCCAGAAAGATCCAATATTCCTTCCTTCCTTCCTTTCCTTATGGCTGTATCCCCAATGGGGGACATGTGCCAGAAAGATCCAATATTGTTTTTAGTACTTACAATGAGCCATAATCACGTCAGTCATACTAGACGGAAGAACTCGGAAAACCAGACTCCTTGGAGTACGTCAGAAACCTTTTTTTAGAGTCGACTGAGAAGTTCTATCATTTCTGGTCTTCTTCTAAGAGTTGCTTCGGGACCAGGGGTGAGTAGCGGCAAATCTCTGTCCGCCTTCGCATTCACGTTTAGCTCAGCTACGATGGGATTCGCATTATCGACGGAGGCGTTGATCACAAAATCCTACTCCCGGACTCGCCGTTACGATTTAGTACGCGTTGTACTCATCTTTGCCAAAAATCGTAGCGTTGTGTATCTCCCTGCTCATCTCTGCCAGGCTCTTCTGACCTAACCTAACCTGATCTAAGCATCTGACCATCGATATTTACCTGTCGCTAGTGGATAAAATCTTGCTATTAATAACATTTTCTTATATTGTGTCAATTGTTGTTATAAGCGGATACATCAAATACGTTATCGCGTCCATCTATCTACGTTATTATTCATGAGGTATTTCGATCGCAATGGTATGCAGTGATATGCGTCAACCAGGGCGAAGTCCATTTCATTGATTGGTATCTCAATAATTAGTGCAATTTTATCTGATAGTCTTACCTTTTTTATAGTAAAACTTTGCAGGAACGATCAATTCGTATATAAATTTCAACCCTGTGAAGAACTCCAATACTATTTGTTTTATATAAATATATTATATCTGTCTGTTCAGACAAAAATCACTGTTATAATCTTTCAAAATCGGTATAGGTTATTCGTCGTTTATATAGTTATATCCTGATGCTAATAATAATAATAATCCAATAACCCTTTATCTTCCCTATTAACATGCATATTACGATACGATGATTTTAACATGCATAAATTGACATTACCTACCCTTGCACTATGCATTAATATTGGTAGGCTTAGATTATTTCTTTGTTAAGTAAATTTTGGATGACAAACAAAATGATATCATCCAGCTCAAAAGGAGTATAAGTACTAATATGGTTCTTGGCATCTTTACATGTGGTTTGAATAACTTAATGTAAGTTCAACCTATTGAAAAAATAATTATACAATGTATGACTGTGAGATTATGTTATGTTCGTTTGAAAATATTTAAATAAATTTCATTTGGCAAATGTCAAATTACAGAACAACCATGAAAGAGTCACAATATTGTGTAGTTCCACTTCATAGTCGGCCTGAGATGATAAAAAATTGCTGTATATTAATCAATTCTGAGTGGCCTCGAAGTGAAACAGCACGGTAGGGTTAGTTTGTATTAAAATAATTAAAGAAACAGAAAACTATATATCTAATACTGTATTATTTCCAGATTACGAACATTAAACATGTCTTGTGATGATTTCCCAACTTGTCTTATACTTCTTAATGGAGACAGAGTTGTTGGGCATTGTAAAATTTCTTTAATTTCCAGTATGAGTGATAGTTGTTTTATAGAATCTGGTATGTACACTATTTGTGCGACTCGAATACAGTAAGATTTTATTTTGATTCTTACTTTCAGTTGTAATCGATTATGAAAGAAGATCACAGGGATTAGGTTCAATATTAATGCAGGGTGCAGAAGAATATGTTGCAAAAAAGGGTATTAAAAATATTTATTTAACTACTAGAGGTCAAGAACAATTCTACTTAAAAAATGGATATAATATTTGTGAGCCAATTAATTTATATGGGTACACCAGTTTCATAACTTCTTCACCCATGACAAAAGAGAAAGCAAGGTATATAGTATCAGCAGGTCCTCCACCACCACCTATGCCTATTAACGTGAAAAAGCCACATTTGCCAATTGTGTCTGCAAAAACGTATATGGTAAAAAAATTGTAACACAAATAAGCATGGTACAAATTATTATTATAGATGTACATATTGCTGTATAATATATATGTATAAACAAATTTTATTTGCTTTGTGTAGTATTTTTTACAAATCCTTCAAATTTAATATGTAGATGAGTCTTTAATATTATAAATGCTACAGGTAACTTGTTAAAGATAATGTATATGCTTTAATTCAAAGCTATATATTTGGCTAGATAACTTTCTTATTTGCTGTTTTCACATGTAAACGGTACAGATTAAAATTTCCTTAAGGGCTATTGAGCAGATACATTTACAAAAAAATAAAAATCAAAGCAATTAATATTCTAAACTTTATTATTAATAACCTGTACCTCTTTTTGTGCATTAATGTAACATTGTTCGGTAGTAGACAGTACTGTCATTTGTTTTTTTCCATTTCCAAGTGACTAGTAATGCATGTTGATAAGAAAATTTTCAATTACTGAGGTGCAGATGCAATGCCACACAATTTTTGATAATTATCTGGTTGTTCTAAGCTTTCTACAAGAAATGCACCCAAATCGTGTTTTGATATAGCACGTCCAGGTGACTCATCATGCTTAATCACATATTTGGAACTTGGAGAATCTATAAAAAATTAAATACAAAAATAATACAAATTTTTCATATAAACAATACAGGTTCCAAATTCTTTTCTTTTTAATACAAACAATACCTGCAATATGAGGAGGTAAGACAGCAACCCATTTCAGACCACTCTCTTTGATAACATCAAGCATACGTTGATGATCAGCATTCAAGTCTTTAAATATAGGAGGTACAGCTTCAGGCTTATAAAATAAAAATGCTATAAATAAAGAAAAACAGATTATAAGCTGATGAGACTGAAAGAATGGCTGAAATTTGGAACTATGGGAAATAAAAGTTGATACCTGATAGACATACTGAAATTAATTCAATCTTGTTTTCCTTCATAGCTGCAATTATGTTCTTTAAACCATGAGATAGGACTGTAGTTGGACCTTAAAATGTAATTGTTATTTATATTAGCATCTTATGATACATTTTATATAACATATCAACTACTTGATACAGTTTCCCACCAAGTATACAACATGATACTCAGCCAGGTTTCTTTTAACGAATACTACACTTACTAAGGTTGTTTCTGGTACCAAGTACCACCACTACAGCATCTCTATCTGACACTGCTTTGGATACTTGCTCAGCATTTGTAACATCACCTACAAACACTTCTACCTTTCCTTTAAGATTTTCAGGAATCTTGGATTCATCTCTGACAAATGCACGAACATCAAGCCCTAAAAAGAATATATAAAACAGAAATAGAATGCGTGAAAACCAAAAATATTTTATGCAAGGAATTTTCCCAGACAGTGACTTGCTGAATTATGATACCAAGACGATAACGGCAATTCTGTGAAGTGTGTATAATCACAATTATTCTAATTTACCTTTCTTAAATGCATGTTGCAAAGCGCATAAACCAGTATTTCCTGTAGATCCAAATATTACAACTTTCTTCATGATTATCTTAAGGATTCTTAATTTTTATCACAGACCTCTTTACTTGGCCGTGTTGATACTATGAGTTCTTATTATTATATAATCACCTACTATCAGCTACAGTATTTTAGAAGTAGGTGATACGAGCAAGTCACGTTTTATCAGCCCGCGGTTTGACCACAAACAGCTGATTGAAGTAACGTTTTTATGTATCGACTTTGCGTTAACCGGCAATGCCGGTATATTACAATTTGACTGATTATATTGATTATATTCAATTTTGCTGCTGGTCAGCACATATTTTATTAGGTTCATCGATTAAATTCAACTAAAAAAATATAACTCAGCTCATAAATCTCAAGAACAGACATGGCCGTCTTCTGATGTTACACATTTCTAGAGCAAACGAATACGACTTTGATTACAGTTCGAAATAGTAACTGTGGTTTCTGTCATTTTGTACAGTTGTACGCTTTTGTTTTATTGTCTGCTTAATATCAAAATAACAATTTATACTTCATACTGTCACTGTGAAAATAAAGAATGAAAGTTCTCTCCACCAAGTTTCATGTAAGAGTGTTTAATGAGTATACACCGTACTTAAAATATTGTTAAAACGAAACGTGACAAAGGTTTCTGTGTGCTACAGTTGTGGACAATAAATCCGATTTTTAGTTTGTTGTTCGCTACAAGGCAATGAGTAAAGACGTAAAAGTAATAGAGTCAACCTCAAAAGTGCGAAAGAAACGTCGTATTTCAAGAAAGCACGAAAACAATGGTATTTGATTTCATAAACACAGCTTTATTTGGATTACTTGTCTATTACTGCTATTTGTTGATATTTGTATAATCCAATTTAAGTCAAGCAAAATTATTTTTAACAACTATTCAAATTTTGATATAATGGCTTAGTTACTTTAAACGTTATGGTATGCTCAATTGTATTTTGATGTTTCAGAAAATACATCAACGATTATGGATGAAGCAAGGACTCAAATTCACAACGTAGCTGATGTCCTTAATTCACCGAATACTGTGTATTCGCAAGCAGGACATAGTACACCAATTCGAAATAGTGACAATTCCCACTTAGATGAATCATCAGATTTTGGCACTCCTCTGTTACTGCCTTGTACTCAGGATGGATGTAATGAGGTTGCTTGGGATTGGCATAGTCCAATAGCTAAGCCATCGGAAAACAGAACCAAGAACTATAAAGCTTTAAATGCTACACCTAAGCGAAGTAGTACAGTGGAGAAGAGACGTATTGTCAAACCCAATTCTCCATTATTTTACAATCCAACTAGACTTTTGATTAAAACACATAACACAGAAGGTATTGGGAAATTTGCTGCTGAATTAAAGGCTTTGAGGGATCAAATAAATATGGGACAAAAAGCTGTAGATGAGCTTCCTATCCCTGAGACAAATGAGGAAAATGAGACTAGTAGTCAATTATTAATTGATATGGATACACAAGATTTGGAAGATTTGGATATAAAATTACAAGTGACAAATGAGGAAGAAAAATCAGTACTGCAAAAAGAAAATGCTCAAACGAATTCAAGTTATGAAGAGTTGTTTGATGATTCAATTGAGGATTGTATGGTGAGATGTAGTCAGGAAGTAGAAGAACGATTTAAGTTAGATATGAATAAAGAAACAGCTTCAAATGCTGTGACTTTTAGTGCTACTAAAGAAAAAGAACAAGCACATGCACATAGTATGTCCCGACTAATTACCAGTGCAACTCAACAACCAAGTACATCACAAGCAACAAGTATTAAAGAACCTATTACAAACCGGGTAATGACGGGAATTTTAAAAGACTCTTGTATCAATAATAATAATAATTCTAATCATTCTAGCAATACGTTATTCAATAAGAACGCTATTGCTGATAAAGATGATATTTTGTTCTCACAAATTCCCGACGATTCATTTGATGACTGTTTAGTATCCTGTCTGGAAGAGGAAGAACAATTTTTGTATCAGGCATTAGAGGATAAAAAAATTCATATTAATGCTGATGAATCTCATAATCGTTATGGAAAAGTATATAAAAATAATCATATAGTAACTCCAAAGCCTAACATAGTATCTAAACAAAGTACTTTCGTACCTAAAGCCACAGTATTATCATCACGAAATACAAACAACAATAGTAACATCAGTGCGAACACCAGTCTATATAAAACAGGGAGCAGCAGCAATCTCATGAACAGTTCTCATAGTAAATCAATCTCAAAGTTGTTGAACACGAGTAATGAGGATAGAAAATTTTTCAAAATGAAAAGCTTATCTGAACCACATTTTGCTGATCAAAAGCAATTCTCTAACGTTTCTGACAAACTGGAGTCATCATCAAATTTGAAAAAGGGACCTAAAGCTTCGTCGAATTTAAATTTAAGTTCTAATTGTTGGAACACTGTATCTAATTCAGGTGCTGGTTCATCTACAAGTTCAAAATCTTGTGGGATACAATCACTGAAATCTGGTGAAGCTAACAAGTTGCCGATTGTCAACGGTAACACCAACACTAACAACATCTATCCTCTTAATAGATTGGTTCCAAAAGGGGATGATGTTTATACTTTTAAAGGAGGCTCACCTAGGTTTGGATGTGATTCCAAAAAAACATTCGGTGGTTCAGAGCCAGTACTCTGTACACCCGAAGAAATAGAGCAGAAACGTTTGGAGGCGAAAATGAAATTGGAGGCTAAGAGAAGAATGCAAGCAAATGCAAAAAAATCGGAGATTCCAATAGGAGTACCGTTTAAAAGACCAGTGAAAAGGTGAGAAGACATGTTGAGTGTTGTTGCCGTTATTGTATGTATCGTTTGAATATTGTACCAGTATAATTTTGACTATCAACATGAATATAAATAAAATATTTCCGTTAAGAATAATGATGCATTGATTTTTTTTCCACCTGTACTATTATAATTGTATGTTGAACTTTTTTTAACAGATAAACATGCTTATGCTTCTTGTATATCAGTACATGACACCTTTCTTTTTGAATACGTCACGTGACAAATTCGTACTATAGCTATATGAAACTGTTGTCAGCTGTTGTATGTAGAACTGTCAATATTAGTGAAATGGAGGTTATCACGCTTTAATACTTATGCTGTCACTGATCAGTATGCAGTAATGTCTTTCTATAAATGTAAGTTTTACGTAGGTATACTTGTTTTAATGTTTATATTCGTTCATTAGTGTATTGGAGTATGTGTAATAATGCTGAAAATTTATTGTTAACAGGAGGCATTTATAGAATATTTTTTTTCATCATGACACAAGTTTGGACTTCTGCAGACCATCGGATCATCAAAGAAGTTCTGAGAAAGGGTACTTTTTCGAACAAAGCTATTGAGCGATGTGTTTGTCACATTCAAGTGGAGAAGATTGAGGTTGACGGAATACCTGTTATTAAGTTAAGCGAAAGATTCAATAGTGAAATTCTCAATGGTATATACGATAAGGAAATTACTATTGGCGATCTGAATAGTGCTATTGATAGAGATATTGAAAGAGCAATTCAAATGATGTTTATCAATGAACACAGTTTAGTAATAATAACTCTACCATATAGTGCCGAAGATTCATCTGAAGTTAAATGTCTGAAGTTTGAGGTAACATTGACTGCCATTAAACCACATAAGCCAATTTGGGAATGGACTCCCGGAGAAAAATATTTAATGGCATTAAAATATAAAGAGAAGGGTGTCGAGTTATTTAAAGCTTCACGATTCGTAGATGCCTTTTACAGATTTAGTAAAGCTTGTAAAATACTCATAACACTGGAACCTATACAAGATCTAGAATTAAAAGATATATTGGTAGCAGATATAAATAATCTTAAGTTGGTTTTGTACAATAATATGGCAAATTGTCATCTACAGCGTAAAAACTTTGAGCATACTATAACACTCTGCACAAAGATTCTTTATAAAGATGAGGATAATGTTAAAGCATTATATAGGAGAGGTGTTGCCTATGGTAATTTAAGGGATCTTGAAAAGGCAGCAGCAGACATGCACAGAGTCCTTAAACTACAACCTAATAATTCTTTAGCACAGCAGCATTTGAGCAGTTTTAATGAAGGCTTGCGCACAGCAAGTAAAAATTTCAATACCATGGTTCGACGAATGTTTAAGGCATAAAATTTGTATCATAGATTGAAATACATAAATTGAGAATATAAATCCAGCTGATCTAAAATAACTGAAAAATGAAAATAATATACAGCATAAAATTAAGAAAATAAATATCTAGTTTGTTAATACAAAAATACGCATTTATTTTTATCCATAATTAAGTACACCACAATTATTATTCTGATATATTCTACATCGCCAATTAGCATGATTGCCATAAACATAATAAAAATTACAATATTGTGACTTTTTATGTCGCCAAGTTAATTAAGATTTCTTCCTATAAATATAGCTCACTAATTTAATCACTTTGTTGTAAACTTGCGAAAATACACTAAGCTGAAATTTGGGACTTAGTATAAAAGATTTTTTTTTAAACAAGTACAAGACTTCATAAATAATTGCATCATTGCAGTTTTCATAGATGATCCATTTTGTTAAAAAATCGCAGGGGAACATCGTGTATGTACCACTTGCCAGATTATCACATGATGCTTAAAAAAATCGAAAATGATATATTGAAACATTGAAAAATTACAGAACTATACAAGTCTTATAGATGATGTTCCAAATTCACAAAAATTAAAGGTCTGCTCATGTAATATGAAGGCTTCGAAACATCAACTATAATAGATCTCATTAGTCTTATAATACCATCATTATGTAATAAAGTTTGTGATTTCAATCGCACGTTTATACAATGTGTTTAGATACAAACATTGCCGATCGAATTTATGTCTTTCATTTAATTTAGTCGCAACCTAAAGACTGATGCTCTCACCTTGTGACACAATTTCTTCATCGTATTAATATTTTTGTAAGTCTTAGGTGCTATGAATAGTGCGAATGAAAAGTTTTACTTTCTATCAACGTACATCTGTTATCATCCATTAAATATTATACAATAAATTGTGGTAGATAAATCTGGGGCGCCTTATCATTATAACTTTGTTGTGGAAAAGCATAAGAAAAGTTAAAAACCTAACGAAGAATACGTGGCATATATTTTTTATTATTTTCGAAACTGTCATTGGTAATGTATTTACGTATAGCTTTTTTAGTATGTGCTACATGAATTGTTCGATATCATTCTTATGCATCATATGAACGTAAGTATTCAGAAATGTTTAATGAATAAAACTACGTGTGACATTTGTTGAAGGCTATGCATACTCTTCAATTATTATCCTTTTATAGTACAGAATAGTAATAGCTTTATTTTAAATAATTTACAACAGAATACACAATTATTGGGCAACCCACAATTGCCAGCGAAAACCATCACCTTAGTATCGCGTTTGGCTCTATTGTAGTTGAAAAAAAACGTCTTTAGTAAATCATCGTAATCCATTAGCGTTCAGCTGCATAAGTGAATTCGGTTTCCTATTCGATTAATTAGATTCTAATGAGACCCTACATTTCTTTAAACACAGTTAAACTCTCTATACATGAGTTAAATTATATCCTTGAATTATACCCAGAAATTAAGACTGTATGCAAACTATAATTAAATCTATAATATAAGTACACTAACTTGTTAATAAATCTTATTATTATTTAATGGAATTGAAAAAAATCGCTAATATTGTTATTCACAGCGGCAAGATATAGTAAAGTCAATAATTAGATTCTGATGAAAAATTGAACTCAAATTGCAGGGAGCATCGAAATGATTAATAGTATACGATAATATGGCATGACTTCACGGGATGTGCTGTTCAAGCCCACCCTGTATACTACCTTATGCAAAACCCTGAGAAATCGTAAAATGTAAAGACCTCACGACATTTGCATAGCCTTATCTTTTTTTTTTGTTACTAAAAGTAATTCAGTACATTAATCAATATAGGAAATTTCTGGCAAAAGGATAATCTGAACTTCATCGACATGGTTACAGTAAAAAAAGTCTTGAAAACAATTTAAAAGAAAGAAAAAAATACAAATATAACGTGTGATATAATATAATAACTAGAAACAGTTCGGCCCAAAGTTTCCTGACGCGCATAGCCGTCTGCATTCACTCGACAGGTATCACGCATCATTTATTAATAAATTTCCTTCGCAAAATTACACTAGTCGCCTAAGGAAGTGAGCAACTATCCATACAAATTTTTCAATGAGCACAGTATAAATTTATCACAAACATTTATCGGATCTTGTCTGGAAAAGCTTCTTGTAACGCACAATTTTTCCTTTCATTGTATTTCGGGCAAGAAATCATTGTACGCGTGGACAAAAACTTTTGGATCGCACTATCATGAGAAATATTACTTATTCATATAAGAGTTTATTTCTATAACAATATAATATGACCATAGACACAGTAATAATAATAACCATGACTTTCAACAATCTAACACTGATTCGTAATCAGGATATACTGTACATGCATTCGCTATCATCTCAGCTCCATTATACCGTAACTACACGCGTATTCATTTGCCAAAAGAAATTATTTGTTTTAAGAATAAACACGTAAAAAAGAAGCAACTGACTCAGGAATATACTCGTGCCAAAAGTGTTTATTGATATCGGTTAGCGTACCGTTATTGCGCTATGCTTCAAGAAGACACTTTTATAAGATAGGCAAAGGCAAAGAATAAGAGCGACCGAGGATTATGGAGGGAATGACTATTATGACAGTTTAGCCTTGCCGTTGGCAGTGACAGTGGCATTCATTGTGGTGTTCGTTGCCATTTCAGCAGCCTGCGCCACCGCCACAGACACTGATTTCTCCACAAATTGCTGATACACCGGCTTCATGAACTAAACAGAAGAAAAGATACATTACTTGCGTTAAGTATTGAGGATGGAGAAAATCCAGATCGTGCATTCCTTATTACACCAGCACGTAATACCGATACTAATCGCAATCTACATATATAGTAGGCGTAGACGATTTCTAATCTTCTATTACAATATAAACTGAACGAATTATTCGTGCTGCTTGTCATTTAGATTATTCTATGGGAAAGGTGCCTTGGAAATTTTGTACGAGGACAATATTTCTCTTTTTATTCTTTTCAAGATAAATTAATAATTTAATTCATAACTGATTTATGTACGAATCATGCTCAAACCATCATACCTTTCTGACCCTCGATCCCATTTTAATACGCAGCGTATATTAGAGAACAAAGAGACAGTGAAACAGAACGTAAAGTGCAAGGCAACAAAAAGACGGAGCGATATGAAGGAACTTACGAAACGCAATTGTACGTGGAAATAGCATCGTTAACAAATTTAAGGGTATTCAGAATCATTCGTAAAAACTTAATCTGAAAGTAAGATAAATCATAAGTAAGTATAGGGAGAGGGAAGCGTGTGATCAGATGTAGCGATGCTTGCGCATATAGGTGTGGATAAGCGTGAAAGTGGGAACTGCGAGTAAAGTAACAAAAATGGATAGGATAAGGTATCTCAGTTTGTGAATGAGGCGCGCGCATAGCCAGGCCTGTTGGAATAGAAAAAAAGATCTATATATTAGTCGGGACTTAAATACTATAACATCGGAATGACATTCGCATTAAGACCTACAATATTATTTACTTTGTTATCAATCATCAACAGATATGTATTTGTGTTCTAATGAGATTAAGATGTTATAAGATATCCTCTCAACATTCTGTACGGTATGAGATTGCTATTCGACATTATTGAAATGAGAGTAGAGAACATATCGCACGAATTCTTTAAGCAATACGATTCAATTTGTTACTTTGCTTTTCTAGTATTCGAGCCAATATGAATAAAGTGAACGTTCGACTCAAAGCAAAATATGCACGATTTTCTCAATATAGAATATCGTGTAATGAAAGTACTTGAAGCGTATCATTGAATATGCAGTATGAAAGCCGTGGATGTTCAAGTTAAGGTGGTTTCTATGCGAGCGTATTGCCAGTACAAGATGCATAAAGGTACTCACATTTTCCCATATTCCGCTAGCTAACTCGTCTATCTGTGTGCCAAGCTCTCGGAATTCTCCACTGTACCTGTAAGTGCAAAAAAAGTGTTAAGAATAATCATGAGACACGTAAATGCGTCGCGCATGAAAGGACGCCAGAATTTGTATGTTCTGATGTAAATTGCGTTACTGACCTAATGTATGCCCAGAGTACAAGGGTAAGTAGTCCAATACCCATAATAAGGTTGCATATATTTGAGAAGGTGTATAAACCGACAAGACCAAATATTCCTGATAGGATATACATTGTGACGGCAATGGCGAAAAACACTGCTGGTGTTCGCGCAGCCTTAAAAATATTTTTACTCTCGTTGTGCGCCTTGAACTGCAAATATGCTTCGTCCATGTCCTGTTAAAAAATGTGTTGAATGAATCAGTTTGTATGATTATACAGTGATACAGCTATATATGGTGATATGGTACGTACTTTTTGTAATTTCTCTAGATACGTCTGGCTGAACGCATCGCCTCCCATTTTTCGTTTATTTTGAAATTGATAAAGCGCCTTGTCCACGCATCGATGATGTTCTGACTCCAGGTGAGCAGTCGCTAAAAACGGTTTGGCTCCACCGCAAACGCATTCCATCATCTGCATATAAAGATCCTTTGCCTCGGCCACTGCGGATAAATTATTGGCTTCTGCAGTCGCCTGTTTCGAAAAAGTTTATAGCAGTTATTGTATCATTATGGTATTAAAAAAAAAATAGTAATTGTGACGCGCGTATATACGGTACAAAGTGAATATCAGTGAGAGTACGGGAAACGAGGTACTGATATTTACCACAAGCATGCTCTTTGGTTCCGGAAGTTCGTCTCCTTTATAAATTTTGATGTAGCTTTTAAAGTACTCCAATAACTCTTTCGCCTTTACTACTTGGCCATCAATTTTCTTTGTAACTAAATTCCGTGGAGCTAGTAACATCGGTACAAGAGTTTCCAGTTGCTTTTTGAACTCCGCCTCAATTTCTGATAATCTACCGTCGAATTTTGGATTCGTGGCGATCTTCAACCCTGGATGTGGCAGGAGGAAGCAGGATATATCCGAGAAACAAGATTTAATGTGTTTTCTAAGACTCTGCAACTCAGGATGTTGTCTGTCTGATATCTCTAATCTTCTGCTGAGAATCTTCTTGCCACCATCGGCACCGTAATCAGCCTCATAAGGATAGCTCCAATCCCGTACGAGGAACTGTAACCTCTGGAAGGGTGTGCTGCCAGATTTTTCAAGGGCCAGTCTACCGTACTCCGTAAATAGTTGCAAGTGTTGAAGATCGTCTTCTTGAATATTTTGGGACAGATTGAAAATTTGCACCGAGGACAGCATCGTACTCAAAGCAAACACAGTCGCACAGTCTCTGACAGTTGATTGACTGTCGAAAGCACCCTGCGTGTCCATGAGGATGATAGCGACCTTTTCTCCATTTGATAAAGTGCCAGGAAAAACTTTAGACCACATTAAGATCCCCGTCGTGTCTCTCTCGGATCCACCTCTCCAAGAAAAACCGCTCAGAGGCTCATCGTCGCTGCCCAACCAATTGTCGCGACTCCCCGTTTCTCCATACTGCGTTTGTTGATTTGATTTTCCATGTAGTAAGGCCGGTTACATGAAACAAAAAATTCATTTTATTTAGCGATTAACATCTACATGTAATGTACGCATAAATATAATAACGGTAACAAGTTGCTTCGAAATATATAAACTGTAAAGTTGTAGTCCAATTAAATTAGCTAGTCATAGTAATATTTAACATCCGGCGGATATTTCCACTTCTCCTGATAGAATGTGATTTCCGCATAGAATACAAAAATCCATATACGCTATTGAATGAAATGCACGCAGCACGTATATTTTTGATATTTTATCATTCGAATTGCGGATCTGTTATAAAATTATATATGACATATTTTACAAGCTTTACACTACACTGTGAACGGATACAGTCGACTGTATAAACTACATTTATCTACATTCGACAAATAAGTATGCCAATGCAATGTAGGTAAATGCTATATATAAACATGTCATAACAATGGGGCAGTTAATAGTAAACAGCAATTACATACCTAAACGGCAAATAAAGTTATAAATTAAATTCAAACACCCAATTTCATTGTACCTCCTGCATTGGCGACGATTCTCGCACTCAGAGTGCATTTGTAAATTGTAAGCAAATAACAAATAAACGTTTAATTCTCTTCTATGAGAAGACAAAGGAAATCCCAATACCGTTCTAATTACTAAATACGACATAAACAAAAAATTCTCCAGTAATTACTATTCCGTAATGTAATCCAAATCGTTCAAACGATTCGATTCGTTCTCTAGTGTAATCTAAATTGTTCAATCGATTCCATATAACGTCAGACGAGCTTTCGTATTCGCACGTGCAACAGCAGTTCTAGAACAATATCATTAATTACAAAAAGAATAGGACAAAAAACACACCTGGCTATTCATATATCGAAGGAAGAAATCGAGAAGGAAGCTCTTGCCCTTCCTAAAGGCTCCTGCAACAGACACCACGACGACACTGCGATCCTTAATCTCATCCTGAAGAAGAATTTCCGCCAGGGCTTCCTCGTCCAATTCAAAGGTATGATCAGGGTGGGCAAGAACAACCTGAACAGGTCGTCCTGAGCTTCTGTTATCTCCACTGTCGTCGTCCATCGGTGGAAGTCTTTCTATCCTCTCTCGTCCTCTCAGCTGCCCTGAATCAAAAGACAAAGTTTTATCTACATTAACAATGCGAAAAACCAGAATTTCGCGTTATACCAAAAATTCAAGGATTGGCACAATCAGAAAAAGCCTAGAATACATAAAACTGCATAAGTTTAATGTCAAGTACACAAGGTTGGGAGCGATAACGAACACTGTAATCTGTGGATACCCAAGTCGACGTTGCATAAATATGAATAAGAAAATATAATAAATTACATAAAGATACGCTCAAGGAACTATCTTCGTATAGGCTTAAATTAACATTCTCATTCATAAACTTGTCAAAGCGAACGGAGCACAGTCTCATTAATAATCTTGCGCAATCTCTAACGTCACAATTAAAGATAACGTTAATCAAAACGACGTCCTTAGAACGGAAACAAGTACACGTAGGCGAGCTGATATCTCTCTCGCTCTAGAGCATAAACGAAGGTGATGCTGTAAGGAGCATTTCCCATTCCTCGCGTTTATTCGCTCGACAGGAACGTGGGAAAACGCACACGCACGAGCACGTGGTACACGATGCGATTCTGAATACGTAAGTGGATAAAATAAATTTTCTCAACGACGCGAATCGAGAGTGTAGGAATCTCTCAATGCCAAAGAGAAGATCGCGAGAGGTCAGCGCTTTCAGAGGGCGGGACACGTGCGAAAAATAAAAATATCACAGGATATATTTATTTCTTATGTTATACGTAACAACGAAGATCTTTGAGAAATTATTAGCTTCTACTCGCACACTATTTTTTGCACTCGTATTCTACGGGGTGTGAGTGAGGTCAAAGAAAAATAATTTTTGGACAGCCGGACTTTACGCTCTCTCGAGTCCATCGTGACGTTGTACGAACCTTGACCGTTGACATGGGACGTTCGTACCGACGTAGACGATGACTCCGTTACTTATTACATGCAAAACACGGTAGTGAGATATGCTTCGAAGGCAGGGTCCAATAAAAGAGTAAAAGAGAGAGAGAGAGAGAGAGAGAGAGAGAGAGAGAGAGAGAGAGAGAGAGAGAGAGAGAGCTAGCGAATCAGCATCGCAAAGGATCACGAAGCACGTAATACGCTGACCCGTATAAACTTGATACGCTTAAGGCATCCAAGAGAAAATGTAAGAGATGGACAAGTAAATCATAATAAGTAAATTTAAAAGGTCACGTATCTCAGGTAATTCAAGTCTGCCGTGATTTTCTGTATAATTTCAAAGAAGCTCCGTTACGTCGAAAAATGGCGCGTCTGCTCGACGGAATAGTGAAGATATTTCGTAACCGCATCGTTAGCAGAAGGGAATCGCGCGAAAAAGGAAAAAGTCAATAGAGAAGTGCATCAAGTGCGCAAAATGGAGAGCCAATTAGATATCATGTGTAGTGGCAAAGAGAAGTGGCTATATATATACATATATATATATATAATATTCGAATCTATATCCTAGACAGTGAAACGCCTTGAAGGTAGCTGCCGTTAGCTATTACATATTACGTGAAAACGCGGCCAATTATAACCGCGCAGAATGCTTCTAGTCTCATTTTCAGCGTCAAGGTGAAAGGATGAGTGGGATCCGATGCTAACTCAGGCATCAGGACGATTCGTTTTCATGAATAGTAAAGTTCCCGGTGGCGGTAGCACAGCGCATTATGAATGCCATTAGCAAAAGCAAGTCGTTCTAAAAGGCGTCGTTCGAAAGGGAAATCAAGTTCCGTACAGTCGGATGAACAATGTCGGTCGTCAAGTTGAACGACAAAGATACGAATGGGTATCTCAGTTCCGTCGCAGTGCGGATGGCAGCGTCAAGAAGTCTTTCCGGTCAGACGTCTTCGAGGCTCCTTGAGTGAAATTCGTCGAGGAAAACGCGCATCCTCTCACACCTACCCAGAATGCAAGCCGATCCTTTCCCACAGTCCGCGTATATTTTCAATTCCATTTGATTCTCTCGTGTCCTCTTCTTTTTCAACCGGAGTGAAAACTCGAGAGAAGGACGACCGAGAGCGTACACGTTCCTACGGGCAGGGTAAGTGTGCGAAAGTTGCACGACGTCTTATGACAAGCGTCCTTTTGGATATCACGAAAGGTATAAAGCGCCTTAAAGATTTTCCTGTAACGCGATCAGGTATTTACGTGTTGCTGGGTGGTACAATGATGGCGGGTGGCCGTACGGGAGACAGACAAAACAAACGACGAGAAACATTTACGGAATTAACTCACCGGCGTTCACGGCCGTCTTATTCTCCCGATGTATACGGTTCACATTCTCGTCTAGCGATGTCATCGGTGCTTTTGTGGCTGAAAGCAAATTTTTTAACGAGACATTTAGCCCTGCTGCTCCTTGCACGTCGTATTTGGGCGACCCACTTTAAAAGAAAAACTGTGCTACGGCCAGCTGGTCACTCGCGGACCTGACACTCACAGCTTAAATATAGACGAGTATCGCGTAAAGATAACAGGAAGAGGAAAACAAAAAAAATTTGACTTGAGCTTGTGAAAGCAGCACAATAATCTGCACCGAAACACAACATCGATACGAATCGATACACAACGGACGCGACGTGTGAATTTTTTCAGACTCGAATTTATTCACGAAACGTAACGTATAATGGAATTTTTTCTATTTGAAAGCGCACCTATCTCAGGTTGAAAATCATCACTGGACCCGATTCTGACGTCAGTCTTCGGCCTTCTTCTGACTTCCTTAGACTTTTCAGATCTGCCCGACTCCTCGAGTCGCTTCCGGCTCGGTCTTCGCTTTTCACTCATGCTTCTCTCTTAGTTATCCACCTGATTCACATATGATTAGAATTCGCGGCCGGCGACAATCGTTCGACTGCTCGTCCGGGGAGAACTCGAATTCTGGGAGCTGCTCGGCTCGCACTTCGGTACGAGAGGAGACAGCTTAGCCTCAACGCGGACTAAGTAGAGAACGCGTCGGGTCCCAGAAATACCCTGACGTTGCGTTGTCTATAGTTAACGGTGTTAAAGAGTTGGCAGCATCCCACGATCAGTGAATACTGGCGAAGCCGTCTCGGCATCGTGAATATCCCGTCTCGTGATTCGACAAGCACGAGTGCATAAGAATATCACCCGAGGCTCCATCTACGATGAACTTTATAACGAAGAAAATTAAAGGGTGCATGCAGTGCCCTCTTACGTACGTAATAAGAAAATCGCGGTACCACTTTATTTCCCTTTGACGACGCCGGATGCTTCTTGATTGCCATGAAAAACATACGACATTGAATTTCGTATAAATTCAATCTACGCTGACGAACGGCAGGTTGTATCATTTTAAACGAGTTGTCTGTCACATTAAGATATACATATGTAAAACCTGAGAGTTACAGGCAAAGACAGGAGTAAGGATGCCATGTGGTCCAGGTGTACCATTTCGAGAGAGAGAAAAAAAAAGTTGAAGAACTGCGTATGGCAGAAGTGTCCGACTATGTACCAATAAGAGAGCAGCATTTCAAATTGCGTCTTACAGTACAAATCTTAGCGTCAATGTATTTTTACGTTTCCTGTAAAACAGCTGTTTGCCTGGCCGCCTCACCGTCAAATTCCTCGGCCGAAATAGTTTGCACTGGGATAGATACTCAGTACATAGGTTGATCCTCTAGTTGATCCTCAACTGGAAGAATGGTAAGTTTGCGATCATTCGGACAAACGACGGTCTAGGATATGACCTCTGGCGAAATTGCGTCTGCGCATGCGCGTGAGCTGCATATTCGGTGTGACAAAAGTACACGAAAATTAAGACTCATTATGAAAACAGCCGAGATTTAAGAACGTATTTATAGGAGGAGAACGTGAGTACGTTGAAGTGACTAAGATGCGTCGCGACGCTACCGATGCTTATTTGATACAATTTCTGCATATATTTATTTAACATACTATCCGTAGTAACGTCGCTCTGATTTATATTTCATGACTAACGAAGTTCATTTCGAGAACTACCTTTCCACTGTGAGCTGGTTGCTGCATCTAGTATACGAATAGTATACGAAGAGTAGATATTGTTAATTCCGCGTGGGTTCTACTTCGCTCGATGAGCATCATTTATATTTTTCTCAATCGTTATAAATTCGCCAAGTATACGCCGACGGTATATGCAGGTCGGTTATGAGTTTGCAATGGCACGTTCCACCATCTCCTTTTCCGTGACTGCTGCTCGCAAAGATCTATCCTCGTGTTCGGCAATGATCGTTTACTAGCAGCGGATACGTGCCCGAGCCACTACGCAGATCGCTTTGAAAACGTTCCAGATCTCAAAATGTTATAAAGCCATGAAATTTATCGATATCCTTGGAGCTCCAGGGAGGAAGTGAATCGTGAGCTGATAAGTGAAAATATTTATAGAGAGCTGAACGCGCAGACGATGAGTTATTCGCTTTTTTTTTTTTTGAAACCAGTTATGTCGATGCCAGAAGATAAAAAATCAGGACCAAAAAAGGAAGTGATAGGGGAAGATAATGAAATCCCGATCGGTCGCGTTCCGTATTAGCACGCGATTCGTTCGGCAATCGGGGCCGCGATGGAAAATTAAATTATGAACCATCCAGTATTTTTAGTTGACTGCTTGAATCGTAATTCACGACTCACGATTGATTGGTTCCAGATTCATTTGAGTGAGTAATACAAGTTTAATTAGTGAGGGAGTACTGGGTGAGTGGGTTATATCCATCTATACAGGTGCATTTACAGAGAGTTGAAACTATTAGGGAGATTACAGTAGAAGGAGGCACGGTGGAGAGAAAGAGAGATAGAAGGGAAAGAGAATAAAGCCATATAAAGAAAAACGAACATAGAAAGAGGGTGAGGGAGATATATACAAATGTCATAATGAGGTATCCCAAGTCGTTCCGATGCTATTGGCACGTCTCAGAATTGACATAGTGACGATTGCTTTCAAATAGCTTTCACCGACGTAGCATAATCATTATCGGAATCGTCTTGCGAGATTGTTTTCTTGTTATTCGCTTTAATCGAAATTACACTGCCGCGCTTGGGACGATTCGTAGAACTTGAATCGATTTGAGGGCTGGAGTTAGGTGGTATACCACGACAGTGATAACGAGGAACGAGATACCGTGGTACTTTTTACAAAGATTTCGTACAGCAAACTGGAAGACTAGATAAGCAGCTAGATGAGTTCTTGGAGTATATACAAAATTTCACGTGATAAACGTGTAAGGTGGATAGAGGATACTTTCTGTTTTACTAGCATAAATCAAGTGGGATTCAATCAGTGTCTATAGTTATTATAAGATCGCGGATAATTTTGCGTGAGATGATATTGTCAGGGAGGGGAAAAGAGGGAGGGGAAGGGAGGGCGACAGGTGTTCTTCTATGTTATTGATAATACGGGTAAGAAATGGATGTTGGCTGGCTAAATTTTATTGCTCGGCTTTTAGAGAGGAAAATGTGAAGACGGACAAAAAGTCGGATATACGACTGTGCGCAGAAGCGATAGGCGAAGATCCGCGGAGGATTCCGCGATGTCGGGTATATCTGCGAGGATTAATGCGATCTGCTGTTTAAAAAATGTACTGAAATAATTCACGAGAGAGAGAGAGAGAGAGAGAGAGAGAGAGAAGGAGAAAGAGAAATAAAGAAAGGGAGAAACGTAGCCATTCGCATTATTTCTGCGCTTTCCTGAAGCACGCCCCCGATGGTCCCGGTTAAATGAGCAGAACGAATATTTTTTCCTTTGATATTTTTAATTTCGGAAATTAGATTAGATTCCGAGGGGAGAATGAAATGGAATCCACAGCTCTCCGTCCCTTTCTCTTTACTCTGCCTCGTTCTCCTCCGTCGTCTCCTCTCTTGTCCTAGCCATTCCCGCTTAGGACCATACTAATTACCCTGCTGAATAAATTCTGCATCCCCCTGTGAACTTGTTCCCTTTACGTAGAAACCCTCCTCTCGCCCTTTAAAGCGACCCTCTGCGTATTTCAGTGTACTCCGTATTCTGCGCATCTGTCCAGTTCGCCAGAGAAAACGAGGAAGCTGAATGATGTGTGCAGGATGGGTGCTGGTTAGAAAATGAAAATTGTGCAGTTTTCGTTGCACCGGTTACAGCTTGAAAAACATGCCGAGAGAAAGAGTAACGCGGAGGTTCAAGTTAATTTTCTAAAAGGGGTACTAATATATTTTTAACCATTCTCTCGATTGTCAGACGCGAACACGGCGGTACGGTTCGGGAAATCTGTACTTTAAAGAAGAATAACGAAACACAATATCGGTCCCCACGATTCACTCGTACGCCGTCAATACGTTTTTCACTGCGTCGAGACAGCAGTTGGTTTACTTTCTTCTTTTTTTTCTGTTTCCCGCGCCACGAAAAGACGTGACTTTGATTTGCGTCCTTATTGCACTTGCCTGACAGTGCCATCTGGCGGAGAAACGATTTGCATCTTGAAGACGTACTCTGGGAGTCGGTAATTTTAAAAACGTGCTCGACTTTACGTAAATTTATTTTAAAATGTTTCGTGACGTAACATGGCTACTTGCGTGGGTTGCGCGTGTCTATCAGACACGTAACGGCTTATGTAAGATTTGTTACCGCGAGTAATTATAATCGTCTCGTCTATGTTTGTCTTCTGTACTTTTTTTTTTAAATTTAATTTCTCTTTCCGTTAGCTTTTTTGTGTTTTGCGTGAGTCTACTCTCCTCTTTGCAAGCAGGACGGGTGGATAAAAAAATTGCCTTGATTATTTTTCGTTCCTTTGATCGTATTCCGTCGGAATGAAATGTGAAAAATAATTTTCGCAGACACGCCGCTCTGAAAAGGTGGCGGACGTGAGTTTCCCTTAGAAATTATACTAGGCGGCTATGCACACAAGAGATCACGTGTACGTATTATTAATACCGTGTCTATGTGTGAAAACGTCGCTTTGATCTGCGTCGCCCCGTTGAGAAGGTACTCAGATGGAAATATGCGATTGTGCTTAGAGCCAAATTGTATCGTGACTACACACCCGAGGCATGCTTAGAATATTTGTCGATAGTGAGGTAAAGTTACTACGTTCGATAATCCGATCTTCCTATAGCAGCGAACATGATGAAAACGTGATTTGACTTCGTAACGAATCGCCATTCTAATCCCCCACCTACGTTTTCCGTTTCTCTGGACTTCATGCCTTGACTTGCATCTAACTATATATGTGGAGCAAATTGTAGGTGAATTATACACAACACTTTGATGAATGCGAAAACTGGTGACTGTGCATTAATCAGAATTCAAAGTTCATCGATTTCTCAATCTAGAATAATTCAAACGTCACGTAGCATTAGTAAAAACCTAACTTGACAAATTGGTGAAAGTAAAATTGGATCGCTGCAGAGTAATACTTATTCGTGAGATTTTAAATACATTAATTTCGTCCTTCTTTAAAAATGTTTATTATTCTATTGATTATGTTAATATGCGTGGAATAATAATTTATCTGTATCGTGTAAATAGAGATATTTATATGTATATCCTTTTAAGGATACGTGCTATATAAAATTGTTGAAGTTAAATGAGTATTCGGACTCATGTACATGAAAATGAAGTTTTAACGGGCATTTGTTCCATAAAGCAGTTTTAATGGATATGAGGAAACGAATGCGCAAGTACGTGATGAACTGTCGGTAACCTTCCTGAATAATCGTCGGAGCACGCACGTAAAAGCAAGGGGAAAAAAGGTTGCTCGAGAATAACGACTTGAAGTTCCCTCGCAATTTCCTCGGGCTATGTACCAGATTGTCCCGTCAGAAGGCAGCACTTGAAGACCATGCGCCAAGGCTACGTCCACCTAACCATTGACAGAATCTCGTCTAATTCACTCGATTATAAATGCGTAACACGTAATCGACTATTTATAGTTTATTATGTCAGTGGAGTAAGAAACAAGGACCACATAACATTGACAGAGATACTGCACGATCGCACCATAACCTATGTAAAGACACAGGTTTTCTAATGATTTTCTCATATGATGCAAGATATTTAATTAATTCACCTCTACGATTGATTATTAGATATTATGCAATGAATTCTTTGTTCAAGTCCGTATGAATGGCAACGAAGCATTGAACATTGGTGGACAATGATTGTGCAAAATACAGCTGGTAATGCAGGCCTGCCGAGACACACCAGCCTTCACATTATTTTGTATTTATATTTTATAAGTTTCACACTCTACGAATACGTATATGATACGAATGTAGACGAAACTTTTATTGAATATTCAATACGTTGTTGTAGATAGCGAATGACGGTTGAGTAGACGTCAAAAAAACACAGGTGCGATGGTGCCAATACAATCTGGCACTTTCGACACATGCACTCGCGTGACGCGTGGTCGGATTTATTAAATATATTCCTCGTTATGTCACTGGGTTTAGACACTTTCACAGAGATGCACAATTGACGGATATAAAAAATATTTATGAAAACTCACCCACATACGAATCCTCGTAGTCGCCACTCTGTTTACTTTCGTTAGTGTCCGCCATGTTGCAATACGAATGACGCCACTTCCGCAACGTCGTGCGCCGGTATCACTACGCAAGTTAAAACGACTTCACCATTTCACGTTAGATTTTTATAATTCTCGTAGTTAAATTGATGAAATGATATTTAGTAATTCTGTTTGAAAGAAAAGTGCAATATTATAGAATCTTTATTGTACCTATTCTCTGTTCAGTTAATTAATATTTTCTCATTAGAATACATTGTGATACGTCCAGCAGTTTCACATTACAGTAAGCTGAGTAGAGGTAAAAACATATTTTTTTATTCACACGTGATTTATTGTGTTATTTATTGCGTATTTGTGATATTTAATATATACATATTTGTTATTTTGTAGTATTTTATTAATGTTGTCTTACGTGCTATTGAAACATTTATTTAAAGCATTGCAATATACTTTAACAGTTCAACAATTAAAAGTAATTATTTATTTTAACTAACCTTTCATTATCCAATTGTTCCATTTAAATAACATTATCACGTAATTCCTAGTTAATATAATTTTGTTTCCTTTCCTACCAAATATAAATAATTTAAGAATAAAAAACACTTTACATCTTAAAATAAAAATTATTCACTGATAATTTATAACAAAAACACAATAATATCATTATTTTTATACAAATAATGCAGTTTAACGACCAGTTTAAAATATCGGTTAAATTTAAGTGGTATTTAATCGATGATAAGAGATGTAGCACAACTCATGTATCAGATAAGGAAAATTAATTGATTTCCTCATTGCTCCATCTGATATATTCGCTCTGAAACTAACCACTAATAAATATTTTAATATGATTTGACAGTCAGTTCACAAATTTTAATTACGACTATATGCGCATCGAGAATAGCATTTTTATCATGGAAATTCGTGGGGGGTTTTCGCGAGCGCGGCACTACTTTCGCCGCGCGGACGTGATTTGATCTCGGCAGTGGCGCGGTCGCAGATTTCCTATGGTGGAATGTGGATGCTGTGTGCGGTGGTTTGTTTCGTGCGCGATTTTTGATTATTTGGTGACGATTTCAGTGGGATTCTCTGGATTGCGTCGACCCAGTAAGTTGACAGTTGTTTTTCTTTGTGATACGTCCGTGAGAGGGCGCCTGTTCGCTGCCAATTACCCTGGGATACGTGTGAAATGGTTGACTACGGGCTAGTAAACAAATGTCAGAGCCAGCGAGTGAGTGAGTGAGTGAGCGAGTGTACTTAGCGAGATAGCGAGAGAGCATAAGAGAAGGAGATTCGGAGAAAACGAAACGAAATGAAACGAAAGAGTTCGACATTGTATAAACGATGCAACATTTTTATATTTCATCTCTTTTTTTACCTATAGTTTCTGTATCACTTTCACGACTTATCGTGGAGGAGGTATGTCAGTCGTTTTAAAACAAACCAGATATACTTTCCTTATTTGTGACATATTTCATAGTAAATCTACTCCGTGCCAAGTACCATTTTTATGTACCAGCTGGAGATACAAGCTGTCAAAATTAAATAACTGACAGGGCAAGCAGAATAAACATTCACGAGTGTTCCTTCTTGTGCCTAATTCCAGTGTCTCGCGTGTCTCTCGTCTCATGTATAGTAAGAGAAACCTGGGCGAGGGTCTTTAAACGTTCAAAGGGTCCCACTTTCACGTGGCGCCTTCTCACGCGCTATGGTATTTAAATTTTAAAGGGCCCGAAGTCTACCTGGTTCTCATAACGACTATAGTCATAACCGATTGACATTCGTTATAAGCAGCACAGCTGGTCGGCTGTCAATCGATGCTTGTTTTTTTTTAATATCATTACGTTCTCGATTGTCGTAATTTTGTGAGTCACGAGTTATCGACTATCCTATTGCAATTTCATTGCTCATGTAGCGTTTAATTAAATTTTTACAATTTTTTTCGCACGGTATTCTTGTCGATTTCTCGTGAACCAGGTTAGTCAATTACATAACGACGTCCACAACAAGACGGTTAACTCTGGATTCTTGGATTCTGGATGTATTTATTGTAAGAATAAATTATTCGAAACTATATTTCCCCGGAATGCGAGGCTCGTAAGAATATCATGATTATTCTACTCTCTCTCTCTCTCTCTCTCCCCCCGCCCCGCCCCTCTCTCTCTCTCGCTCACTCGAAACTTTGACACGTTATTGCATTTAACGAAGTCACTTCAAACGTTGTTGCAAAGCGTGACATAATGCTGTTTTTTACTTCCGAAGCACAACCATGTTTCCTTTGATTAATTTTAGACCTTCAAACTCTAAATGTCTGTACCCAGCAAACAGGTGCTCTAACACGTTCTATTTTCATATTAAACTCGTCTCTTCTCCTCGAACTTTAACTACGATCCAGTGAAAAGCTTTCGCCGTGGAGTTCAGTTTTTTTTTTTTTTTTTAAACACGTAGACGCTGTTTTCTGGGGAATCTGAATTATGAACACCAATTAACGAATGCCTATTATATGGTTGAACATTTTATTTTGAACTTTACAGCTGTACAATATTCCTCTCGGAGAAAAGTAATTGAGCAATTTAGTGATTCGTGCGATACGCGATACCTCCCTCAATTCCCTCGTATAAATAGCATACAATTTATAATTGCCGTTCATAACCATTCAAGAAAGGGTAAGTACGTAGGCGTCGTGACGCCTCGTTACGTACTCGTTTCGTATTCAAGAACGCGTTAATACACGTGTTTTAAAAACGCCACCGTAACTCAAATAACTTTTACGTCCGAGGAGCTCAGTGATTCGAGAATGAGTCACAATTTTTGGCACGTTTCATAACTTTTCGCGTCTTGACTTAGGTGTGCAAAATGTGCCATCGCGTCTACGACCTAGCCCTACCGTTACGCGCGGTTTTGGTAATTACTATGACGTCAGCTCTTACGAACGTGCCAAATACCGCGTCTAATGGAGTAACGTTGCCAAAATGCCAGCTGCAATATCAATTTATTAATTTACACCAATCTATACGTATTAGCAATTTTGCTTTGTTCTTTTCCAATTAAATTTCTTTGTTGTCTCTCTTCCCCCCTTCCCCCTCTCACAATTCCCTTTTCTTTCTTCCCTCATCTGTCTTCTTTGTACAGTCACACACACCGTACATATTATACATGTATGCGAATATCGTTTCTGCCTTTCAAGCCCGGAGCTATTTCTCCTACCCATTTCTACCCATTGCTACACGCATTGCTACACACAATACCCCTTTATAGTTCGGCGTCCTGCCTCACGGATAAACCGAACGAAATGAATTACACCGACGCTGCAATGGTGAAAGTGTACGAGAAACTTTATATATATCCAGCCAGATACGTATAGACACACTCGTAGTACTGATGGCATCGATACTAAATCGTCTGTTTATTCGCGTGCAATGCCACACTCTATCTTGATGCGCTATCCATGCCGTGAAATAGCCACAACGTTATTTTTACGAAAACTTTGTCGTACGTTGCTATTCCCGTTATAAAAACAAAGATACATAACTGTGTGTAGACTTCACAGAGTCCGAATATTCGCACGTGATTATCACGATTACCTGATGCTCTTTCTTGTTAGGTTAGGTGACACTGTTAATGCTTTGGAAAGCATCACGAAATGTTGATATCCAGGTTCTATGACGATATTGTCGATAATGGTACTTCTTACGAAAATGATATTTCTTCGTATTCCTTAATGCATCCACTGTAACTCGTACAGTATAACCGGCAGGCATATCTTGTCATCTGGCATAATGCTATTTCATGTACGACTCTTTATCCTTCGAATGCTAATGCAGAATGCGACTCATTCATATCGTATAGCACCGTTTACTCTACTGCTGGATATGTATATTTCTTGCACATGGCTCTGGTCACGAGTCGTGGTGTGCACGTCCATTAAGTAAAAGATCTTGTACTTTCCCGATGCTGAATCGTAGAGCCATGCCTCGCGTAATTGACGTATCTACCTGCTGCTTGTATAAGCAAATGCATTAGGGCTTATCGTTAGTGCGTAAACCGCCAGGGCGCGGCGCATGCGCAGTCGCTCGTTTTATATAAAGCCGTTGTGACGTCACGGTACTGCGTGCTCAAATGCGTGAGAAATTATTTACTAGTCTTTGCACTTGTGATTCGAGAGGTTAAAGTTCGAGAAGGCATTTTAACGTGTTATAATATATGATTAGGTCCTTGGTTTGTTATTCTTATCTTAGCTATCAATTTTTTATGTGTACTCTACTGCGTCTTACGAAACTTCATTTGTTTCTCAATAAAGCAATGTCATTGGGAGTTAGAACTTTTTAACAAATTCGGATGCTTGGTTGGCTGTTTAAGTATATAATTGACAGTGTTGTGCAATCCTCGCAATTTTTTAAATTTATATATCTGCTCATCGATTCCGTTAACGATTACCTTTTTGTTTTGCGATAATTTATTGATTAGTAAACTTTGATTGGTTGTTAATCCAGGCGCGGTGCCATTTTCCGAAAACCACCAACGAACATTATATAACAACATGTATGTACATATAACGATGCATTGTATATACCGTTACAATTGTTTTATGCATTGCGTCGAGCTCGTGGAAAGATATTTTATTTATACATAATATTTCCCCTAATTAAATATAAACTATCGAGCTACTGTGGCTGTTTCGTTTGCACAGACCTTGTTTTGCCTTTGTTTGACTATTTATGAATTACGTGCAACACAAAAGCTTCCATTTCGTTCGTTCTGTATGGCTTAGATACTTCGCAAAGCAGGATCTGATAAAATTGGGTGAACTTTGTGAGCAGATTCTTTTGCTTGCCGAAAAGAGAGATATTAAATTGTTGGGATTTTGATCTTGAGAACTCTGACTTTATTGTCTTTATATTCGGAATCGATTGTCCCCATGTTGAGAATGAGTCTAAAAGGATGTTTTTTAGGAAGGAACGAAGAATACTCTCTGGACAGAAGGGGCACTTTACCTTTCCGTCCTCTCTGAAACGAATGGCCACGATTCTTTATTATTTTTTTTTTTTTAGAAAAACTTTTCGCCACGTGGGAAAACTCTAAAAGATCGATACTTGCTATGACACGTGGTATACTATAAGACCCATGCATATTACTAAAATATATATAAATATGTATGCTGACGTTTTCTTGGACTCACGGTCACAAGGCGACTGCAGTTACCGATTCAGATAACGTTCTTGCTTTCTGGTTCCCTTCGAGTCGGCACTCTGCTCAGAAGCTGCGCTCTCGGATTGATTCGTACAGCTACCTGAGGAGAGTACCCGACGGTGACGTCTCCGCGGACCGGCAGAAATCCAGGTGAGATACCGGTATCCCGGTGGAGAGAGGCAAGGGCTGTACAGCGGGCGGAGATAAGGTTTTGATACGGTTAAGGGCAGGGGAGGAACCCAATGACCCGAGTTACGGTTGCTGTGCCCAACTGTCGCCCGATGCCCTGGGGAAGCAGCCGTGGAGGATCTCCAGTTGTTACGTACCGATTCGCTAAGAAATGCTCTCGATTTAGTTTAAAGGCACGACCGAGGGAGAGGATAATAGTTATCGGCTATAAGGCTCTCGACCAATCAGAATGATTAGTTTCTGAATCTTGGGACACCGGTCGAGGTGCCTCGTGCTGGCTCGCGCTTCCGTGCTATCTGTTGATAGTTTTTCTATCTGTCTTTCCTATACAGTATAGAAAGTGCTCGCTTGTGTAGTTCTCGCGTTGCTCTCGCAATATGCAGAAAATTCTATCGATTCTCTCCATGCGTTTTGGAGGTGCAGTGCTGTGATATAGTGCAGCATCCAGTGTCCCCTGGATAAAGTTCTCGGCCTTCGCGGATTAGCCGAACCAGCTCCGGTGAGGACTTTCAATTAATTAATTGATGGAGGGACTTAGATTTTGTAGCTCCGAATCGTTCTGCTACGTTCTCGATTAATTGGTCTTTGTTTCCGGGACTATTTACCTACAGTATACAGGTACTAGAGACACAGAGGAGGTGCGTTAAGCATAATTTTATCAAAAGATACGGACACTCGGTTACTAACTGATATAAGTCAGAGATGAAAGAGAATGGCTATTGCACATG